TGATTTTGCTTTTTGCGTTGGGGTGGTTTGAGATGTCGACGCACACAGCACCGCTCTCTGCGACGGAGGGCCTCTCGCGCTCGGTGGGGCATCAAATCAATCACCTGCATCGATGCGCTGCCCCCCCCCCCCCCCCCCCCCCCCCCCCCTCCCCCCCCCCCCCCCCCCCCCCCCCCCCCCCCCCCCCCCCCCCCCCCAACCCCCCCCCCCCCCCCCCCCGCCCCGGGTGTCACTCTCGCCGGGCATGCACCGCTGCAGCGCCCACCACGCCCACTACGCCGCCTGCGCCATCGCTCTCTAGCCGCCCGTCCGCCCATCCACTTTCCACCGCCCACGCTCGTCTTCGATTGCTGCGATCGCCCTGGCTCCGCGCGAACTAACTAACTAACCAAGCCCTTTCGCCCTTCGTGACTGGCTGCACGTTCCTTGCTGCGAAAGAAAAAGCCTGGCCCGCCCGCCCGTCTAAGACAGCCGTGGACCACCAACTGACCACTGCCTGAAGAAAAAGGGGAGAGGGGCAAGTTGCCTGCCCACCGCGGAACCGCATCCGAAGCCCACAGAAACAGATATATTCGCTTCGTCCGCGCCCCGCTGAAGCTTGTTCCGCTGTCTCGTTAATCTTTTTTTTTGTTCGTTGTTGCGCTGGCTGGCTGCACGCTTTCCAACACGGTGCACGACGCTTGTGATCTCTCTCAAAGCTCGAGCTCTATCTTTTTGGTTATTTTTGAGCAGCTAATAGTACTATCCCCCAAGGCGTCGCTGTGCGCGCCCTGAAGGCACTCTCGCCATGTCCCTGAAGCAGGTGGGTGTTCACTGTTCTCGTTACGAAGGTCTAGGGATGGCAACTCACCACTGGTTTGTGCTGAATAGGAAATCGAAACATGGGTCCAAGCCCTCGCACACTATGACAATAATGAATTTGAGGAGGCTCTCAAGATATTCTCTAATATTTCCGACACCTCGAGAATTCTGTTCAACTGTGGTGTAATATACGCTACGTTGGGCGAGCACGCAAAGGCTGTACGATCTTGCTCCGCACATGCCCCCCTTTTCTCTACCAAGATCCCGCTGACTTCGATGCTGCTGTCTTTTAGGTCGACTATTACCAGCAAGCTATCGCTCTGGACAAGTATTTCGCTATTGCTTACTTCCAAGAAGGTGTCTCGAATTTCCTCCTCGGAGACTTCGAGGAAGCGCTCGTCAACTTCAATGACACGCTGCTCTACCTGCGAGGGAATACGTCTATTGATTATGACCAGCTGGGGCTGAAGTTCCAGCTGTTTTCCTGCGAAGTGCTGTTCAACCGTGGGCTGTCGTACATCTATCTAAACCAGATCGAACAAGGGATGCAGGATCTGGATTTTGCATCCAAGGAAAAATTCAAGCCCGATCATGAGGTCATTGACGAAGCGATCAGGGAGAATGCTGAGGTATTTACCTGCTGAATATATAATATCCAAAATGTCACTAATTATTATCAGGGCTACACTGTTTTCTCGATCCCAGTCGGCGTCGTTTACCGTCCTAGTGAAGCAAAGGTGAAGAATCTCAAGACAAAGGAATATCTAGGCAAGGCAAAGCTGGTAGCAGCCTCAGATCGCGGAAATGCTTTCGTCGGATTCCAAGGCTCCGAAATCAAGAGAACAAGAACGCTCGACACTTCAAAGGACGACAGACCTCCAGATGCTATTTCGTATGCAGCTACCAACCTCGTACAGAAGAACTTGGTCAGCAAAACACGACAACAGTCAGAACCCCCAATCAATCGCAACATGTTTCCCCCTACACCTCCTCCGGATGCCTCGCAATCGTTTTTCGGTGCAAACTCCAATGGCCCCCCCAAACCCCTCCGGTCTGGTTCGCTACGTGAGCCACCATTCGCTGTTGTCCGAAATCCAACAGTGGGCGATGTCCCTCCAGTCGACAGATTACGACTCGGGCCTTCTCGATCGGTTTCTGAGTCTCGAAATCCAGGCATGAAGCCACAATTTGCCGCAAAGCCGCCCAATGGAAACAATCAGTCTCAATATCCCCCTCCGGGAGGAAATCGCCGTCCAAACTTTATGCCGTTGTCCGAGGAGGAAGATACCGGTGCCGTCTACGACATGTATGCTCGCCCCGAAGCGCCTCGGAGCGTCTACGCCCCACGATATAGAAACCCCAGACAGCCGCAACAGCAACCGCAACAACAACGGGTCTACGGCGAAGATGACAACTACGACAGCGACGCCTACGAAGACGATTCCATCGGCGAGACACAGTTCGAGATGATGGGCCCGCAGCGGCGCCGCACCACGGGCTCCAAACGCTCCGACATCAAGAAGATCCGCGTAAAGGTGCACGCGGACCAGGACACGCGGTTCATCATGATCGGCCCCGCCGTCGAGTTCGGCGTGCTCGAGGGCAAGATCCGCGAGAAGTTCGGCTTCAAGTCGCGGCTGAAGATCAAGATGCGCGACGACGGCGACATGGTCACGCTGGGCGACCAGGACGACTTGGACATGCTCCTCTCAGCGACGCGCCAGGCGGCGAGGAAGGAGAGTCTCGATATGGGTAAATTAGAGGTATGTTTTGGGCTGTTTGTCTTGAGTTTCACGGTACTCCTTTCGGGGGATTTTAATGGCTGACATGCTACTTGTTACAGATTTGGGTCAACGAACAGTAATATTTCGAACATATGTTTTTTCTCCTTTTTGCCGGGATAGCTCTATAGGGCTTCTCATAAACAAGTACTGGGCATATTTATTATTATTCACTTCGTATCCCTCCTCCTCCTCGTCGTCCTTCCCCCCGTTTCGTTCATAAATTAATTAGCGAGGAGTTTTCATCTTCTTTTTTTCAGGCATTCCCTTTTCATCTAAAAAATCTCGTTTTGAATCAGGCCATTTATGGTTTTTTTTTTTTTTTTTTTTTTTGGTTACTGGTTGATTTTGGAACAATGATTAGTACTATATACCTGACGCCACCTAGGCTTGTTTTGCGCCTGTTTCGCATTTTTTTTTATTATGTACTTTTATTATTATATGTGTCTCCTGCTCGGCTATATATGACACAGACTCATACGACTTTTCTTGCATGAAGGAACTCCCCTTGTTGCATCTTCGTAAAACAAATCTAAGTTCCTAGTCAGGGGCACGGGGGATGAAGTATTTAGGTTCGACAGCATCGTCAATTATGTAAGATTTCTGTGATTATATAAGCATACTTATTTTAGAGGATAAATCCAACTTCTTCCATACTTCGCGTAGGGAGCACAGAGTATTGAATTGAGATATGCTCCTTTTCTCCTTGGTGAAGCCGGTTAAAGGGGAACAATAATCAGCGCCAGGGCCATCCAGAGTATCGTAGATGCGACGGTACCCTGGAATTGCCAGAGCTGATTTAGGATGAATATCGAATAAAGTGTCAGATGGAAAGATAGCAGAAGAAAGAAATATCAAATACTACATACATCTGACAGGTGAATGTGGCTAATCCGGAAGACACAGAATACTCTTGACATGTTTATCGAATAAGAAGCAAACCTGCTCGAAAGTACCTGAGAGTGTTGGAACAAAACAGCAAACATGCTTCTATACCTCGTGAACTGCTCGTTGGCGGCGCCAATATACCCATCCCTACTTAAAACACGATACACCCTCACCAGGGAATAAAACGTGTGCATTATTTAGCGACGCATCTGAGCCCACCCCGATCGCAGTCCTCGGCGCTTATAGCTCAGCCTCTCTCGACAATCTTCTTCCTCCCACTCCTCTTCGACTTTAACGGCATCCGCCACTCTAGGAGCCTCGCGCGCACTCCGCAAATCATCCTTGGCAGCAATCGCGAGCCGGCGCTTTTTCACGCCGATATTCGCCGCGGCACGGGCTTTATCTCGTCTCTGCTCGCGGTACGGAGCCATGATGACGTCGTGCAGGGCGCGCAATTCTTTGCGGATGGCTTGGGTGGATTTGTCCAGCATGTCGGCCCAGTACGCGTAGGCTCTGAGAGCTAGAAGGCGCTGAATGGACTCACTGTGGGGGGCCTGCTTGTGTGTATGTTGTTAATATGGGATATTGGCGGAGGGTGAGGCTGGTGAGGTGGGGTCTTAACTGGAATGCAAGGACTGTGCGCTGTGATGCAACGCTGGCACCGCTTGCGACCTGCTGGTATGCATGCTTCGTCGATTGAGACCATGTATGGCAAGCACCGCTTGCAGGGCCAGGTACTATATCCAGTAGGACTTGTTAGCAAACCGCCGTATTGTTAAATCGCGTCTATAGTACAGTAAACAAGGTCTAGAAGAGAGTGAACAGATGACAAAAAGGATGACAGAGGTTTTGGACAGCCAAAACATAACAATAAGACAAGCAGACAGCTTGTTGTTCACACAACAAGCAATATCGGCAAACAATGTCCACAAGTGGAGCATCAAAACAATTTGCTTCAACACATAAATACTTTCAAGGGACAAATATTTCACATATATCAAGCCTGAGCTCACATACATAACTTCTTCGGGTGTTGGCATTTGGAAAACGCAGTGACTTGGGTATCAATAGACTCCTCAATGCGTGACGTGATGGCAAGCAATGCTTGAACGCGACTATGGATGGAGTGGACGCGTCCACGGCGCGCAATGGTGGAAAAAGGTGATCGTTATAAGTTACGTCACAACAAGTCACATGGAATGCTGCGTAGAGCATTGCCGAGCTGGCAGAGCCATTGAAGATCTTCCTCAGCAGCAACTGGTAGGAGAGCGGCATGGCGGACGGACTTCGGATCCGTGAGACAAGTCTTTATAATAGAAGAAGGATGGTTATTTTCACATATTTTGCAAAGTACTCCGTATGTCCTGAGGACACTGAACCCTTGTCTATCCTCTTTTTCCAAAATGGTCTTGTGGTCTGTTCCACTGCCGTAGCAGGTCTGGTTTTTCTAGCGTCCCATCATCGACGGAGCTAACAGCGTTGAACCGTTCTTCTCGATATACGGAGTACTCCGTATAAAATGCTCATCCGCCCAAGAATGAAGCTGATACATTGGAAGTAGTAACAATTTTGAATATAATATTAAGTTACATGATATTGTCGATCACACACGGAAAGTCTAATCAGACGAATTCTAGAGTATCTCCCAAGTAGCTAGCCCACCGCATCCCCAAAACACACTCTCGCATCAGAAAGAGACAGCTCGCGGCTCGCTTGGGATGATCCGACAGTGCCAAGAAGGCCCGACGTCTCGTCGCTGCTTTAGAAATCAATGACTAAGCAATATCTGTCCAGATCTTGCGATGTTGATCAAAGCTCCCAATGAGCATGAACACCAGACAAGTGCCATTAAATCGATGACAATGGCAGATATCACTCTTGTTGTCAATGAGCTTTTGAAGGCTCATGGCGCTCCCGCGATACTAAGTATAGAAGATCGCCGGACAAAATATCAAACAGTCGACGAATTCCTAAAAGAAGCGTATAGAATAGTATGCATATCTGTTTATTTGGATTGCCCACGAGGCGCTCGTTGAGTAGACGAATGATGCTAACTTGTAGGCTCACTGCAGAGCGCCCATATATCTTCCCTACTCATATATCTAAAATCTATCCGACAAGCCTATCTCTCCACTGCACCTCGTCCGCCGGCTTCTCGACGCCAAACCCACCAGTCTACCACATCAGTTGCCAGTCTCCAATCTTCGACATCCACCCCTTCTTCCAAATTGCAAATAGATCAGCACCTGAACGACGAGGAGCGGGACTCTGTCGATTCTTCCACCGCACTTCTCCTCCGCGACCTCTCATCGTCCATAGAGAACCTCGCTTCTGCTGAGACCCTCCGACAAGAAACGCAAGCGAGCCTTCTGCGCAAGAAATATGGATATAAGCTTAATAGCAGGTTATGGAGATGGGCGGGCGGTAATGATGCGGAGCAGCAATTGTCACGCAGCCCTGAGCATGAAGAGGCGGAGGATTCGGAGAAGATGATCAAGACGGTACGGGAAAATGTATTGTGGTTACTACGCAGGAGACTTGAGGGCGCGGCGGAAGTGCAGAGGGCGATGGTAGAGAAGAGGATTGAGAGGGCGAAGGAGAAGGAGAAGAGCATCTTATATAAGAGCGGGCGTGGGGGAGATGCTGCGCTGCAAGCCCGCTCAGAGAAGTACCAGGCACCCGTGGATAAAGATCCGGGAACCCCTGGGGTACCCACTAGGGTTCAAGATCCATCTGTGGATAAAGATATGATGGCAGATATTGAATCGCAGCTTTCGCCGGAGCAGTTACAGCTTTTTGCACAAGAGAATGATACGATGCTGAAGCACTATGAGGATACCCTAAGTAAAGTGCAGTAAGTGTTCATATTTTGCAGTCTCGAAACCTTTCCTCTACCATTGTTTTTTGGGGCTCTAATTTGTTCTTTTGCAACTTAGGAATGCCGAAAAGTCATTGCTTGAAATTGGCTCCTTACAGCAGACCCTAGTCTCTCATTTATCAACGCAGGAAGACTATATAAACCAGTTGGTCTCCGATGCAACAAATACCCATTCGAACATCGGACGCGGAAATCAGGAACTAAAACGTGCGAGGGAGAGAAAAAGTACCGCACAAGCCGTCTTCTGGGGCACCGTTGGACTCTGTACCGGCCTCATTATCTGGGACGCTATTTTCTAACGCCTTGGAGACTCTTGAGTCTAAAATGCCGTCGGAAAGTGCCTTCGAAAGGCCGACTTCCCTATTACACTTTTCTGTTGGGCTTTGGCTGGGAACCGCAATAGACGCGGACCTTGTTCCCGGTGACATGCATGGGAATACGGGCCACCTATTCTATATGTCTGGCGGAATTTAGCGAACTGTATAGCACCTCTAGCATTATGCATCTGTTTCGAAATATCCAGGCAAGATGCGTATATCTTTGTAAAGAGTCATGAATTGCTGATACCCGTTACTTTTAAGACGTTCTATTTATATCAAGGAGTTTTCATATACTGAAATAGCGAATTTTAGCATATTGGCTCCGGCTGCAAATAATAAATATTGCATTCAACCATATCGAAGTTGTGCTTTGATATTGGGTGGAAGTTAATTCGAAGTTAAGATAGAGTTTGAAAGCAACTTGTTATAATACATTACTTTATCACCTTCACTAGTAACAAATTACAATACGATACGCAGTACTCTGGACTCTGCAGTATTTTGATTGAGGCTTCTCAAAACTTTCATCAGAGCTTCATGAGCACATCGAATATACCCCCAAGCCCTCAATGCGGCAGCTAGAGCAAGCTGCCCGAAAGCTCCATACGACTCACTGCGGGAAATACACATTGAAGCGCGATGTCCTCTGCTACTAAATCAAGATGGGCCGAAGACGACGCCGAAACGCGAGAGTACCTGGAGCAGAAAAAGCGCGAGAAGGAAGAGAAGAAACGAGCGAAGGCCGCGAAGCAGAAACGATCGGAAGAAGCGAAGGAGCGGAGCCAGCGTGCCGCCATAGCCAACGAAACCGCAGATGCGAATGGTGCTGAGCAAGAGGCCTCCGCCGTAGAGCGACCGACCAAACGAAGGCGACTTTCAATTGAACAAGCCAGCGCTCAACCTTCGGGCGAGAGCAAGTCGACTTTGCTTCGTTTCCCCGGAGCGGAATGGGGCCCTTGCCGCCATGTCCTCAACTACGACCGCCTGAACGCCATCGAGGAGGGCTCATATGGGTGGGTTTCGAGAGCGAAGGACGTTACGACGGGCGAGATCGTCGCGATCAAGAAACTAAAAATGGAAAACTGTTACGACGGGTTTCCCGTCACGGGCCTCCGAGAGATTCAGACGTTACAAGAGGCTCGACACCAGCATATTGTCAGACTGCGAGAGGTAGTGATGGGAGATAAGATGGACGAGTAAGCTCAGCGATTTTCTTTTGTCTCTACTCTTCTGAAAAGCCCAGATACCAGAGTGTCATTAACCTTCTCCTTTGCAACCTATTGCAAACTTCGCAGCGTATATCTGGTTATGGATTTCTTGGAGCACGATCTCAAAACGCTACTTGACGACATGCGAGAACCGTTTTTACCCTCGGAAACGAAAACATTACTTCTGCAGATCATGTCCGCCGCTGAGTTCCTTCACTCGCACTGGATAATGCACCGCGATCTAAAGACGTCAAACCTACTAATGAATAACCGCGGCGAGATAAAACTAGCAGACTTTGGCATGGCTAGATACTATGGAGACCCACCTCCAAAGTTAACGCAATTAGTTGTGACGTTGTGGTACAGATCCCCGGAGTTGCTTCTTGGGGCGAAAACGTACGGGCCAGAAATTGATATGTGGAGTATTGGTTGTATATTTGGCGAACTACTCACTAAGGAACCTCTTTTTCAAGGCGGAAACGAAGTAAAGCAACTTTCAAAGGTATGTATAATTTGTTGTTTATAATCCAGTTTCTGCTTCCATTCTTCATAAATGCTAACGATTCAGCAGATATTCAAACTCACCGGGCCACCCAATTCTCAAATCTGGCCTGGCTTTCGCTCTCTCCCCAATGCAAAATCACTGCGTCTCCCGCTGGACCCTTCGACTTCAAAAGATCCAGTCTCGGTGCCACTGCTCCCCCGCTCCAACTTCCCCTACCTGACCACCGCTGGCCTATCTCTCCTGTCAAGCCTCCTAGCGCTGAACCCTGCATCCCGTCCCACAGCAAAAGAATGTCTCTCGCACGCCTATTTTCGCGAGGACCCCAAACCCAAAGCGAAAGAAATGTTCCCTACCTTTCCGTCCAAGGCGGGGATGGAGAAGAGGAGGAGACGAGACACGCCAGAAGCGCCGAAGAGGGGAGAGGAGGCACCGGAATTGGACTTTGCAAATGTTTTTGGTGGCGGGGGTGGTGTGGATAGCGGTGCGGAAACGGGGGCGGGCTTCACGTTGCGTCTGGGTTAAATATTGGGTATGCTGGATGAAATAGATGGAATATGTACGCAAAAATGTTACTCTTAATCTGCTTATATTCCAGGTTAAAATCATACAAAAGAGTCTTCATTCACTGAGTCATCATTGCTATCACTCAACTAGATATCATCGAACAATTTCAACTTTTTTTACGCTAGTCAACCTAGTCAAGTTAAGTAGTTAACTATGTAACTAGTTAATGCAGCAACATCGGTGAACGTTTCTGGACTCCGACAAACTTGGAATCACCAAACCATAATAAATTCACTTCGCTCAAGGGGTTCTTGCGCATAGATCCAATGAAGCCTCTTCTGCTTTGACCCCAAAGCACCAAGTACCTACCTAGCCAGAGCTCGTGGTCAATGTAAACCCAGACTCAACCACCGCCTGAAAGCATGCCTCCTGCATCAGCGACCCCAAGCATCCTAGCCACTTGCAAACAGACTCGGTTCCATCTGCGCGACGAAAGAGGCTCAGGGGAGGTATGGATATAGGACCCAAATGCTACCATAAAACGGCCCTCCACTATGTTCCTAACTCTCTTTTCTATCGTGCTTTAGATTGATGTCCAGGGTCTTGATCTACTCATTTCGTCATCTACCACTACCCAGGATGGTTTAGGAAACCAGGCAGGCGCCCTGGCAAAAGCTCGAAAGCAGAAAGCTAGAAGCGCGGGCAAGGAGATTCTCATGAATGCAAATCTACGGTTAAAAGCCGGAGTGCATTATGGCCTGGTTGGGAGGAATGGGACGGGGAAGTCGAGTATGTAAAACCATCAATCATCTACTACGCCAAAAGTAGCCTCCCCCCAAGCCAGGTTATATACCGAAGTCCAATTTGATGTAATGCTAACGACATGATTGATTACATTGCCAACAGCGATTCTCCGTGCAATGGCGGAGAAGCTGATCCCAGGCATTCCAAATGTAGTGAAAATAGCTATCATCCAACAAACAGACGCCGAAGAATGCAACCTAGAAGCCTCTTCATTATCTAGTAGCCATGGCGAGAAGTTCTCCCATGAAAAGACTCCCAAAACAGTGCTTCAGCAAGTTCTGGAGAGCGACGAATCAAGGAATGATATAGTAAGAAAGATAAATAGTAAGCATATTGGCTCACGCAATCCTACTTCTTATGTTCACTCTTCACGCAGCTCTATCTCGTGCGTTTGATGGGACGGAAGACAAATTCGGACCAGTGCGCACGCTGAGACAAATCCAGCACGAGCTGTTGGAAGAAGACCTCTTCCTTGCGCAAAAGAACGCGGCATTGAAGAGCGGTGCCCGAGGCCTGCAGGCAAGAAAGGAGCTGAAAGTCGCAGAGAGCAAGGTATCTGATTCTGCGAGCAAGTATGACCTCTATATGGCACCAGACTTTGGGCCAAGGTTAATCAATCTATAGACTTGAAGAGCCGTTGGAAGAAGTAGATGCGTCCAATATCCAACAGGAGACTCAAGCTGCCGTGGGGATGCTTGATGATTTGCAGGCTCAGCTCGAAGCGGTAAGAAAATAAGCATGATGCACAAGCTAGAAAAGAAAATATATCAAAATGCTCACAAAAGTATAGATGAACATTGTGGACAGAGATAAAGAAGCTCGAAAGATATTGCTCGGACTTGGGTTCAAGGAGACATCATTCGACCAGCCATTCAACTCGCTATCCGGCGGGTGGCGCATGCGTTGCATGCTGGCTGGAGTATTGATCCAGAGTGCAGATATACTGATCCTCGACGAGCCCACAAACTTCCTCGATTTACTGGGAGTCATTTGGCTCGAGACATACCTCAAGCGCATGCGCGAAGACAGCGAGAAAACAGTCGTCGTGGTCTCGCACGACAGAGACTTCCTGAACGCGGTGTGCGAGGAGATCGTCATCCTGAAAGACCATTCGCTCACCTATTTCAAAGGCAACATCAGCGCGTACGAGAAGGACCTCGACGCGCAAAAGCTGTATTGGGGCAGAATGAAAGAAGCCCAGGACCGGCAGATCGAGCACATAAAGAGCACGATCAGGGAGAACATCAAGCTGGGCAAGAAGACCGGCGACGACAACAAGCTGCGCATGGCAAAGTCCCGGCAGAAGAAAATGGAAGAACGGACGGGCGTGGAGGTCAGCGTGACGGGCGGCCGATTCAAACTCAGCCGGGACCGCGTCGGGTGGCACGACTCGCTGCGCGCGGAGATCGAGGTGCCGGCCGACGAAAAGGGAGCCACGCTCGAGATCCCCAAGGCGCCGGACCTGCGATTCCCAGGCGCGCTGCTGTCCTTGGAGCGAGCGACCTTCCAGTACAAAGGCGGCAGAGCTCCGGTTCTAAACGGGATCGACCTGGTGATGCACATGGGCGACCGGGTCGGTATCATGGGCCTTAACGGAAGCGGCAAAACGACACTGTTGAACATTCTGACGCGAGTGGCAGAGCCAACGCAGGGTAAAGTATCACACCATTCCAGGCTACGGCTGGGGTACTACTCCCAGCACGCGGTCGACGACCTCCAGAGCTTGGGCAGGTCGAAGCCTGAACTGACCGCTCTGTCGCTGGTGATGCAGGAAGCTGAAGAGCTCGACGAAGGTGACACTCGAGCGCTCCTGAGCTCGCTGGGGTTGGCAGGGCGGGTGGTATCCGACGTGCAGGTTGCACAGCTGTCGGGCGGTCAGCTGGTAAGTGCACCGTCTCTATACAGCTATGTACACCGCCGAACGCAAAAGAAAATACTAAGCCGAACGAACCAGGTCCGCTTAGCCCTCGCTCGGATCCTCTGGAAGCAGCCGCAGCTCCTCATTCTCGACGAGATCACCACGCACCTCGACTTCCACACCGTTCTTGCGCTCGCGCAGGCCCTGTCGGCCTTCAACGGCGCGGTGCTGATAGTCTCGCACGACCGTTTTCTGGTTCGAACGGTCGTCGAGGGGAAGGACGATACCCACTTTTCAGAGGAACTGGCCACCTCGAGTGAGGCACTGGATCAAGATTCACCAAGGGGGCGCCAGGTGTTTGTATTGAAAGCAGGAAAATTGAACCTTCAAGAAAACGGCGTGGAGCAGTTCGAGAAGGGCCTTGAGAAAAGGGTGAATAGGATTGTGAATGGTTAATGACCAGACCAGGTAGACCACGTCTAGACCACCTATAGGATTGGATATGAACTCATTTTGGTTCATATCAATCCCATTCCTTTGAATGTCTGGGTTCTGTACAGAGTTGCGAACTTCGCAATACGGCGTAAATGATATTCATCCGCCTCCTATTATCCTCACGCATGATTGGAAGATTTGGAAGCACATGCACGATATCCTGCATGCAGCCTCAATTCTTGCTTGTGACCCGTATCATCGGCATTTGGGTTGTTTTTTCCCAGCATCGAGATGCATAACCTGGCTAGAAACAATCCGCCCTGGCACTTTCGAGCGGGAAAAGAAATACTTAGCAGTGGGAGGAGGGTGTATATTGGCGCCATGTTTCTCGGCTCCAGGGGATAATCCCGCCATGAACGGGCGATTCTTCACCCATTTTCTAGGCGTTTGCGGGAGACTATATAGTTAATTATTAATTACCGTGGTGGCTTGTCTTGGTTGCTTGTGTGCCGGCTGGATCCAAGCGGTCGGGCCGTCGCTAATTCCTTCCCAGTAGGATAAAAAAAAAACAAAAGCCAACGAGGCGTAACTAGTACGGAGTAAATCCCAATACTATTCGTCGTACGACAGCCTCGCATCAGACGGAGATATTATCGCGACGGGCGAGGATGATATTTGATATGCAGTAACCGATAATCAGCGCCCCAAGCCAGGCTATCTCCGGCGCGTGGCGATCTGTCATGGAAAATGATATTCCCGGGGCCCGCTGAATTTTTGACAATAGTAATAATGGGAGACTCCACGGGAATATCCACACAGGCGCCAATTATTTAGTTTATTTCCGGCTCAGACATAGAAATCAATACCAAGAGGCGCGTACGGGAGTTACACGCGGAGGAAGGTCTCTGGTAGAGAACCAGAATATGCCAAAGTCAACGGATCCACCAGCGTTACTTTCCGAACATGCGCGCGCACACGTTTTTTGCAAGGCTCTCTCTCTCTGGGGGGCACGCGGCCTATTTTTAAAAATTCCAGAAAGGAAAAAAAAAATATTGGAGTATCGGGAAACCCCGAATAGTAAGAAGTATGTAAGTGGATGTTTGGCCGATGTAACTTGCTCAAAGACGCTGTCTGTCGACGGCGATTGGCATTATTCCCTTTTGGGATCAGACCTCGAGTTACTCCCTCGACAACGTCTTCCCCGTTAGTTGGAAGCCCAACGCAAAGCGCCCTGAAGATCTTTCCTTCCTCCCCTCAAGTTCCCAACTCCGGTCGATCACAACGCTCGGGCGCGTAGAGGGGATGTGCGCTGAAAGTGTCTTTTTTCAAAGCGGTTTCAGACGGACTGCCCCTGGCCCCTCCCCCAAGGTAGTTAAAGGATCGACCATTCCCAACACAACAACAATAACCGCAAGATGTTTCGGACCTAAAAGCTGCTTTGGCATAATGAATATTGTCAAAGCTGAACGAATACGAAGGAGCAGAAGTGAAATTGGAGCTGGCGCCCGCCCCCCTGGCCTGGCGGGGGTGGTGGTATGGGGTGGAATGGGAGGGCGGGTGTACGCGTTGCGGTGCTTATATTGCGCAGGTAGCAGGGGAATAAAGGCTTCCAGAAGGAACAACGCGCGGTTTGTTCGCCGGACAACCACAACGGGCAGGCAAGATGCCTGGAGGGCACGGTTGGAAGCCCCAAGGGCCTTGGCTGGATGGAGTGCTGGCTGGCTGGCTTGATGAGCAGGTTCGCGCGGGTGTGAGAATTAATAATAATGATGGGATGGCTTGAGCTCTCAGCCCTACGGGAGGATTTTGGCGTCCTTAATAATAACTACTGCCTAGTCGGCCAGGCCGCCACGGCACAAGAAGGAAGTGCGCGGTATTTTCTTCCCATTGCGGAGCGGCAGTAGCAGCAGCAGTAGGTAACTATTAATTATTATTATTGAGTGACACCACGCCCCCATAGTTCTACCCACAGGTTATGCAGCCCGTGAATTTCTTCCTCCTGGCACGCTGTCCAAGCATCCTTCTTCACGGGCGCTGTGACAGGAGGTGTAGCGGGAGCTGAGGTAGCCATTGGCCTTGGCTGCACGACGTGTTCACTTGAGCAGGATATGCGACACAGCCTCGCCTGTTGACGCAGGGCGTCAGGCAGACGCCAAAACCGGGGCACCGGGCAGACTGACAGGTGTCCTGAAGGAGGGCCACGTAGTTATATGCCGTTTAACTGGATAGTATGGTGCTGCCTGAAAGCGTACGGTACGGTACGGTACGGCGCTAGGCCGAATGCTGCGGCCTTGCCGAGAAACGACGGCGCCAGGATAGGAAATGGCGGGTTCCCAATCGGGACTGGGGGTTTCTTTTTTGGGCAGGGGGGATGCTCCTGCGCGGCCGGGGCGGGGCGGAAGAATTATTAATACGCCCAGTACGGAGTACTCCGTATCATTTCAAATAAATACCCCATAATACTCAACAACCCGGCGAGCGCAGCGCGCCATTCGCCCCCATTCGCCAGCCCAGCCCGCCGACAGACAAGAGCCGCACGGCGTGCCCCGAGAGCGCTGCGCCCGACCTGCCTGCAGCGCGAGAACGCCGACCAGGGTCGGTGCAGCCGCAGACCGCCCGCACACCCCCTCCCCTGGCCCAAGGAGAAAACTTACCGTCCAAACGGGCCAGCACCCTGCTTTCTGTGCAGGGGAGAGAGCGCCGGCATTATTATGTATCAGAGACACCTTCGGAGCCACGTTTCCCTGGCGTTCTTTTCCGTTAAGGTTGCCCGGTCTTTGAGGTAGTTAGTTAGTTACCAGCGACGGGGCGCGCGCGGCCGCGTCGAGTCCGGCCTCCAGGGTGTTTGACCTGTAACTACCTTCGTAGCCGCGACTATGCGCGCTTCCAGAGCAGTCGTAGCTTGCGCGGGTTGTTTGTCAGGCGAGACAGCTCGGGTTGTGACGCATCAGGTGAGGCGCGAGCTGGCTGGGCTGGGCTGGGCTGGGGGGGAAACGCCGTATCCGTATTCGCTCGGGGCAGGGTCGATCGCCGCCTTGGTATTTTTGCGGGCGGACTGCCAGCACATACACACACTCCCGGGCTGCCCGTGCCTGAGGGGTGCAGGCTGCACAAAAACGTGGCGGGGAAGCGGGCGGTGGCACAGATCCATGATGTGGAAATGAACAGCGGTAATAATAATAATAATCGATTAGTCGTGAAAGCGAGAGTTTGCGGAGAGGAACGAGCAAAAGGACACACATCGTGCGTAGGAGGGAAATACTGACAAATCCAGCGTTTGTTGGAGAATTGGAGAGCAGGTTAGTCAGGGCGCACGGGGTGAGTCACCCATCAGATAGGATCTGGATTTGTCAACTGTTCTCGCGCGTACGGGAGTAGAGTTCTGGGGAACGTCATCGCTTCGTACGCAGATAGAGTTACGGACGGTACCTGTCACGGTGCTTCGGAGAGTGCGGTTATTATTATTATTCTTACCGGATCGAACAGTCGCGATGCACGCCCAGCGCCGCCGCCGCTGGAGGGGGGACAAGCTTCCTGGCGGGACGGCCGGCATCTGAGGGAGAAAGATTTATCGATCTGAGCACGCCTTGCCCAGCACTCCTTCTTGCGCAGCCACGCTAGGCAGACGGATTCGTCGAGACCAAGAGACCGCGATGGCCAGACTATTGGTGCCATTATTGCCGCCAGCCTGGAGTATCTTGCGCCAGGACTACCGTGCGAGCGCCGTGCGGGCGTGTGTATGTGTATGTGCAACGCGCTTAACGGGCAGCGTGGGAATGAATTCGTCCGTGTCGGGACCCGGAAGAGAGCGTCGACGCCGTCGGGCGGTATTGGTAATACGGCGCCCATAAGGCTGGGCCGCAAGGTTTGGCGGGCTCACCGCCGATTAGTCACCGTGCGCGCGATACGGCCGCTCGGCGTTCTGCAGCCGAGCCACCCGTGCGCACGGTACGGTAACTTTGGTTCTGTCACGGATTCGGATGCGAAGGAAGCTGCGCAGCCCGCCCGCGGTGTATAATAACCACCGCCCGCCCCCTCCGTCGCGATGGTCCGCTGTCTCGTACGCCGTGCTGCTGCACTGATAGGATCAATTATTATTATTCTCTCCTGCTGCCGACACCGCTGGCTGTGAGCTATCATCTGCACCTCCTGCCCACCCACCGTCTGCCACCCGGCCCCACGCCCGCCGCCCATTGGCCAATCTTACTCCCGACCGGCCAGGACCAAAGTCTAAATTTTTTATACTTCGCTATCAGGCCTGAGTCACCGCCAGGCAGTCATAAGAGCAGAAAAAAATAGAAAACTACGGGGCCATATATACTCGCCTTGTCCGCCCCAAATGGCCACCGCAATCCCACCACCACCACCCACCACCTTCCCCAACTTCTCTCTGCCCACGAGGAGGAAACCGCGCAAGATGACCATCACGCAGACCTACTTTCTCGCCCACACCGCCCGGGCCAAATTGTCCCGCGAGGCCTCGCGGCCCGACCACAACCTGCGCCTGCTCGTCGGCCACGCCAACATGCTCGACCTGCTGATGCTCGAGCTGTCCGAGGCCGAGCGGGAGCAGGAGCGGTGGTTCAACCACTCCGTGCACGGCGCCAGCGCCGCGCCCGAGCGCCAGAACAAGCACATCGAATGGGCCGACACGCCCGTCATCATGGAGGAGGACGAGGACTGGGACGGCGAGGTGGTGTCGGACTCGGACTCGGAGGAGGACGAGGATGACGACGACGAAGAGTATGGCAATGACGATGCCTTCTTCGTTGATATCACGCCCACCCTCACATCTACTACCACCACCGCCGCCGCCGCTGCTGAATCCCACCCTCGCCCACAACATACTTACTACCACCACCAACAAAAACAACACCTCGTACATCTCGAAGACGAAGCCGATGTCTACGACGACGACGACGATGACGATGACTACGAAGAGGACGACCAGGACGATCTGGCCGACCTCGCACTCATGCGCACCCACTCGCACTCACGGAACCCGCCTGAGCTGCTCGCCGACGACTCGGGCGACGACGACTCGGAGGAAGACGACGCCGGCCCGCCGTCCCCGCCGCAGCCGTCGTTTGACGAGTTCTCTGCCTCGTCGAAACACCACCATCACCACGACGAAACCGGCATCCTGCTGCGGCGTCCACGCTTGTACGCGCCGACCGCGGAGCTGAAGGTGCCGCCGCCGCCGCGGGATGCGGGCTCCAAGACCGCACCACCGGGCACCACGCCAGTATCTGACGCCGCCGCTGTCGCCGCCGCAGCTGGTGCTGGTGGTGCCCATGGTTCGGCGCTCCTGGGAGGTGGGATTTTTCTATCGCCGCAAGATCATCCCGCTATTGAAGCTTTTTGATCCTGCAGCCGATTCCTCCGTTCGATTATATTGCTCTCGACACTAGCAATACTACTTACCCTATATTACCGGCTCCTGTCAACAAGCGAAAAAAAAAATAAAAATAAAAAGCTATTTGTCGTGTTCTTCGCGTCTCTCGAGCGAGCGAGCGATCGAGCGATCTACCTTTTTTTTTTTGGAGCCACTGCTGGCGGATTTGATTGCATTTGTTTTTTTTTTCTTTCTTTTTGATATCCACTTGACGATCGTCATTGTAAGGAGGGAAATAAACAACCCGGCCTTCTCCTTTTTTGTTGTTGTTTGCCCCCGTCTATCTCGCTGCATCGGCATTCCCGGTTCCTTTTTGCGAGACCAAGAACACCATCGCTTCCCCCTGCATGGTTAGCGATCAACTATAGCACTCGTACCCCGCTCCCCACCGATATACTTTTTTTTGTTGTCAATAGCCCAATGTTGTCTTTGTTTACGCCCAAGCTGTTGTAATTAAGCATAGGCATTAGCAAAATTCAATTGGGAAGCATATTGATCTACCAAATATACAGTATTTTTTACGAAGAAACGTCAGGGGTCGCTATCTGATTTTGAACCCCTCTTCGGCGACGAAAAGCCACTAGTTTAAGACCAGCAATCTCCCCTCGTAGTTAACTAGACGTGCGATTCTCGTCCTGCATGCATGCATGCATCGCCAGCTGCCATTGAAATCCCCACCCACCGCCACACAACAGCTCAGCATCCCATGAAACAACACAACCATCCCCCGATCACCAACCCGCCGTTCGCCCCCGGGGAACCAACAGCGCGCGCCCAGGCGTGGCATGTGGCTCCCCCCCCTCACCGCCCGGCCCACGTGTATGAGAGGGGCGCACGCGCGCCGCCCAGTCCTTCCCCCCCTCTTCCTCCGCTCCTCCAACGCTCCAAGGGCCAGGAGGTAAGTAGGTAAGTAGCTAGGGTGTTGGCGTCTGGACCGCCTCGCGCTCGTCCATCGGACATCGATATCGTACGATGAGAAGGGTCCTTCTTGTAGTAGTAGTAGGCAGAAAGCAGGTTACTCTACCATCTAGTTAGTTAGTTACTGCTGTAGGAGTGTCTGGAGGAGTTAGTTTTAGTTTTCAAGTCGAGACGGAAAAGTGAAACCCGAAGGGAAAAAAAGAAAAGAAGAGAAAAGAACCGGGTGATTATCGCGAGACTGCATACATTCATGCAAAGCATGCATGGCTCTCTCTATCTAGTTAGTTATCTATCTACCCATCTCTCTCGACGTGTCCATGCATCACGTTTTCCGCGATAACTAGCTACGGAGTAAGTAGTTGACAAGGCATGAACAACAAAAAAACGGTTCTCAGCGCGCAGATCTTCGAGACGTACGGGCCCAGACCGCCGTCTCGACAGCGCAATTCGCTCAAATGGGTTTTTTGCGTCGGGCGATCTCGGTCCGAACGATATGCAGGAGAGTGGGAGGGGAGAGTAGGTGAGGGGGAATGATAATGACGTTGAGGAGGGGGGGGGCGTAGTTAATCAGACGGGGAGCTTCGGGAGTTTGTGGTCTTTTTTGCGATTAGTATACTACATGTAGAGATGCATTGCAGATCGGGATGAATTTTTGGGCGAGTTTCTGGTTTTTTTGGGATTCCAAAAAGGTGGCCGCCTCGGTACCACCGAGCCTGTAGATACTTTATACTTGGAACTCTGCTACGATTCCCCATCGGGTTAAACCTCGACAACGGCATCAGTAATAATCTTTTCAAGATAAGGGAAGCTCTCGAATGTTGTTTCCAAGCTCCCTCCAATCAGCTTTGTCCCCATGGCTCTTGCTTAGAAAGAAGGTATATAGATAGAGGTTAATAAACAGCCGATACTGCTACTACTGACTGAGCGGATAATGGATTTCCGAGTCTTGATTCCTCATCTTCCCCGCATATCTCGACGGCAACGATCGTCCCGAGATTAGTTGACCAAGGTCGGAAGAATAATACATAGCTAGCTCATCGTTCCCGCTAGAGGGTATGTTTAAAAATCACACCCGAGCAAGTAAAGTAAAATAAGGTAAAAAGAGGGGAAATTTGTTTAAACCCGTTCACACATGAAATAATACTGGATACAGTATCGCATCGCATCGCATCGCATTGTCGTCATGATCACCCCTCCATTAATTATCCTTTCGCCGCAGGAACCATTTCAGGCATAAGCCCCTCCTCCCGAAATACCGATAGCAAACGTCCGTAGACGGCTATCTCTCGAAAAAAAGAAAAAGAAAAAGTAAGAAGTGTGAGAGCCCGGGTTGAGAGAGTGTTCGTCTAGCGAAAGCAAACCCAGCTAAGAAAGAGATAGGGGGGAAGGAAAAAAAAAATATCATGGGTTTGCCTCCAACCACCAAATCATCACACATTGCCTTGCAAAAACAGACCCAAAGTTGCGAACAAAGGAGCCTGCCTCGCCGAACTTCCCTTCCCTCCCCCACCCACAGAAATTGTTATTGCACGACCCCAGAAATGTCATCTTGACCATCGTTCTTTCCAGCTTGCGTCTGCTTCTCCAACTTGTCTTCCTCATCAGACGCATTCGAAATGTTAACACTGGGAATGATAGGAAGCGTCACATCCTTGGCATCATCGGCAGTGTTCTGATCAAGCCTGCTTTCCTTGGAGCTATCGTCGTCATCTTCATCGTCAACCTCCTCCTGCTCATCATCCTCGCTGGCCAGGGGACTCTCTGGCAGCCCGGGGCTCTTGAGAACGACATTCGAAAAGTCGAGCGAAGGGGATTCAGGATTGGGATTGGTGGAAATGCTGCCGCGCCCAATGGATTCTGTATCACCAACATCACTGGCCTGGCTCGAGGTGTAGTCCTTCGAGGACCGCTTCGAGCTGCGCTCCAGGTGCAAGTCCGTCACGCTGCTCGACGGCAGACCGATGGCCTCCGCAACAGCTGCGGCCTCTTCGTGCTCCGGTAGTCGCGAGGTGCTGCTATTCGCGCTTGTGGTGTCGAATATATTGTCGCCTTTGGCGTTGCTGAGCCGCAGGATATGGTTATAGCTTCGTCGCGAGGGGTCTGCTAGGCGCTTTTGTTTCTTCTTCTCACGCTTTTGAGAAGGGCGTACGACTATGACCGGTATGGGGGACTGCTGAAGGCAGTATTTCGATACAGAGCCTGGAAGCAGACCCTGCATGCCGCCGAGGCTGCGACCTCGCGTCCCAACGATGAGTGCGGCAGGTTCGTAGATTTGGATCTAGCGCTGTCAGTCGCTATGGAGTACAATGTGATGAATCTCTGGCCCACTTACCATTCGCTGTATAATATCTTGAACTTTGCCCACAGCCAGCTCCATCACCAGGCTGATGGCTTTTTCATCATGACTGTTCTTCGCAATCACTTGCTCGAATAGCTTCTCCGCTTCTTTGCGGTATTTCCCACTCTCGATACTATTATCACTGGCGATCTTGGAGTGGTTCTCGACGACGCGTAGGCACACAATCTCATCGCCATCGTCCACCAGCTCGTCGATCAGCCACTCCAGCGCAAAGTCAGAGTAGTCGTTCTGGTCGGCGCCGCACAGGAAGGTCCGGCTGCGGCGGCTGCTATGGTAGTCCTTGTGCTTGTAATTGAGCGTCAAGGAGAAATCGGTGGCATCGCGGTTGTCAAAGGTGTCAAAGGAGACGCCACGATTGTACGAACTAGAGCGTTTATGAGAGGGCGTCAGCGCACGGTCAGACTCGGGCGGCTCTGCGGACTGCATCGCGCGCGGGGGGGGCGCGCCTCCCGATGAAGATGTGGCAACAAATCTGGGGGAGCAGAAGCAAAAGCGGGCTCAATCAATGCTTTCACGGGCGGGCGACGACAAAGAAAAAGCGAGCAGCAGGAATGGGATGAGGGTTTTCTTCCCGCGTGAGTGCTGGGAGTTCCGTTTAGGAAGCGGGGCACGCTATCCAGCGCCGGAACCAGAAAGCAGAGCGGGGCGGGGCGAGAGACGCCGAAACGGGGGATTCCGTCAGGCCTTACTGAGCCACCCGCGCTTGTCGCAACCAGAACGAAGCTCCAGAGGCGCAGAGAACAGGACGAGGACGGGGAAAATGGCAGCAGCAGGACGGCAGGGAGAAAGAGGAGGAGGAGGAGGAGGGTTGGGGAGACGGGGCATGCGCGACTTACCTCGGGGGAGGTGGCGACGAGGGGCGGCGGCGTAGGGCTTGCACGCGGCTCTTCCGCAACGACAGCGAGCGCTCGCGCAGGCGCGCCTCGGAGCCGGCGGTGTTGAACTGGATGGAGGGGCGGCGGGCGGCGCCGTCAGGGCCGGAGAGGGAGGAGCTGTCGGTGTGCGATAGGTTGGTGCCGTCCAGGTACGACGAGGGCGCCACATCAGACACCAGCGCGGACGAGCTGGTGTCGGGCGACGTGGGTGGCGAGCACAGCGAGGGCATTATTGGATAGTCCGGAGGGAGCAGCCAGGTGCAGGTAAAAATAAGCTGCCGCAGTACGCGCTGGGACAATCACGCCGCTTAGGACGGGGAGTTAGTCAGTTCACCACCTAACTACATCACAAGTGTGGCTGAGTCCTGGGGGGGGAAGCACGGGAGGTGGCCGCGGGGGCAACAGGAGAGTCGGCGGCCGTTACGCCTCGCGGAGTGTGAACGTACCTTATCTAGCTAACTAACCAGCCAGGCTCTCTCCACAGAGCGTCCGGGTCGGATGGACAGCGGGCGGGCGGGCGGACGGGCGGGCGGCGGGTGCGGGCGTGGGCGTGGGTGGTGGGCGGTTGGGCGGGAGGAAGAGCGACGGGCGACGTCGTCGGCGAGGAGGCCGGGGCTGGCTTTAAAGGCGCCAGGGCCTGCGCCCAGTGGCCGCACCCGGCTGCGCGCTACAGGCGCTGAGGGCCTGCCCGCTGCTCCACTCCCAGCGCACGCTGAAGGCATCCGCTGTGCTCCCCCCGCGCGCGGCCGGGCGATCGCTGGAGGGGCGCGCTGCTTGTGCTCAGCTAACTAACTAACTACATAACTACCTACCTTGCTCACCACCCAACACGAGCCCAGACGCGCAGCGGACGGAGGTGCCAATTACAAATCGTCGAGTTACACGCCCGACAGCGCGACGGGCATCTGATAGCTAACTAGCCAGGCAGTTCGCAACGCGGATCATCCATGCCGCAAACTCTGTTTCAGGCCATCGTCAGTCGGGCAGGTCGTTCGAACGGCCCTCCAGAGCCAAGCACCACTGCGCTGCCCGGCGCTCTCTCTCGCCTCCGCCGTGCGACGCCAGCCAGCAGCTTTCTGGCTTCCGCCCCGGCCGCCTCCTTGGACTAACTAACTAACCAACTTACTACCTAACAGGTTTCGGCGGCGTCGGCGTTTGGCCGCCAGCCTCACAACGCCCGCCCCGTCCCGCCAGCGGTCGAGACCACCGTGTCTCTCGGGCCAGGCGCGCATCCCTGCGTGTCGGTGAGCCCTCAGACCGCCTGGCCGACATTCTCGTCCAACGTGGGCCCAACAACAGCCCAGCTTCACTGCGTGCAACCGCCGTCATCGCGGCCCGGCCGTTGCTGACTCAGCGAGGCGCGCCCAGAGTCTGGCCAATCACCGCGGCCCATCTCCCGCTGCACGTGATGCCGCACGGGATCGGGAGCTAAACCTTATTAGCGATTGAATTTCCTTGTTTTCTTGGTAAACGCAAACCGGGCGTCAAGTATGAAGATATAAAGATCTAGTTGCGACGGTCAACACCTCGCTCCCCATCCAACACATCCTTCTCCTACCCTCAAAATTATTACGCCAGGATGCTCGGCCTTCTCAATCCGTTGAAATGGCCTGTGTGGCCTGCCATGTGGGCCTGCCTCTCCGCCCTCACCGCCCGCATCAGGTTGCTCTTTTCCAGACCCAGCCCCCCAGTTGGTAGCATCACCTTGGTAAGACGTATCGTGAATTCCCGTCCCTGGAAATGGAGGCCTAAAGATGAAAAAACTAGAAAAATATCCTTTGTATAGATGTCGAGGACGATGAAGCCTCATATCGAGTACGGAAAAGATCACGCGTGGTATATGTGTATCTTCTCGGCCCCGATATAATCCCAAGGGACTTCCAGTACGGCTACATGCTCTGGGAATCTCTGCAGAAACTTCCGAAATGGGACGAGGAGTGGACCTCGCTCACCGTAAGGAAGACTCCTCACGGCATTGAAAGCACACTCGATGAAACCCCCCCGCATGGTTTGGATCTTAAACAGCTTGATATCCCTGATTCTATGGCCTTCATTGAACATTCAGATTTGACAATATTAACTGGAATCGGCGAAAGATTGTTTCGTGTCTTGTGTGGTGGTGAAAGTCTCCTATTGAAAGTCGCACCATTTCCATTCGAACTTCGCTACCTGACGACAGAGGTTTCCACGTACATGAAGCTGGCGGCCTCTGGTTTTCCTTTGGCCCCAAAGTTTTACGGTCTGGTCTATGAGGGAACTAGAGACCGCGTCACTGGCTTTTTGATGGAAATTATTCGTGGGAGATATCCAACCATGGAAGATCTTGGCGAGTGTGAAAAGGCGCTTCACATGCTACACGAATATGGATTCATTCATAAAGATATAAATAAGTTCAACTTCTTTATCACTGATCATGGTGTAAGGATTCTTGACTTTGAGACTGCTGTCCTCAAAAGCGATGCAGACCCAGGGGCAGCAGACGCGGAGATGAAATCTCTTCCAACCATAATTCAAGAACAACTAACTTTTCGCGGACCCTGGGAGTTTTGCTAAACACTGTTCTGATTCTTAGAAAATACATTGTGCAGCCAGGGCCGCCACGCACTTGGCTCGAAACTATCTGGGACTCTTGAGACAATCCTTACACCTGTACGGCGACTGCTTTCCATCGACGTACTCTATCACGGAAGATGAACATCTGAATTCCGGTTTGCCAAGGTGTCTCTTGCATTTGAAGAATCTTCCACCCTTTGAATGACCGCACAGGTAACGGACCTGCACATGGGTGCAAACTTCGGGGGGAACTTCGGGTTCTTGGTTGAGGTCTTGTTTGGGTTGGGGTTCCATTTTTGAAGGCTCTTATAATACTGTCAGCAACCAAACCAAAGAGCATGACTACTAATTTCTTACTTGAGGATACGTATTGTACCTATCAATCCTTTCAACTTTTCGCTGGGGGTTTGGTTTGGTGGTTGTGATCGCTTAACAGCTGAGGATGCTTTGTGTTGATATTTATACTAAAGCGCAACCAAGCATGCAGCTGGGAATATTCCCATCTTCCCCTCCCCACCTTGGCCTATGTTCTGACTATCCTTGCAGCGAGGCAGTCCGAGCGTATTCCCGCCCCGTTTATGTGTTCGCCGCTAAATGGCTGTACAAAACAACGTCACATTTTGGGCCTTGGACATTGCATTTCTAGCGCCTGTCAAATAAACCGCGTTGCACAGCAGGAGGGGGAGGGCCTCGTAATTGACCAGGATCTTGCATCCTCAATACCCTACGCCGGAGGAGCTGACATGAGAATAAGGCTACCATTGGTAGTGAAGGGCTCTCGCCATTGACTCTTGACTTGAGGCTCACGGCGGACCAATTATAGCCGCGGCCGTATCCCTTCCCTCACTTCCGAAATCTAACTACTTTTCTGGCCCTCTGCGCCTCGCCAAAAATGAGCCTCGCATTGGCGCATACCCTTGTCAACATGGCCAGGAAATCCTGAATACCAGCAATATCCTTCAATCCATGACTATAAGGTATGTTAAGCTTCCAAATTATCCCGGTGGAGAGACCACTTCGCGGTTGGTTCGTATATAAAATAGATTTGCATACCTATGGATCTATATACAAGACTGTAGACTGCGCCGCGCCCAACGTGACACCTCTGGTGTTCTGTTAAATTTCCTTTGCCCCAATCACTTAGGTATGTATTCCTATCACCTTAAATCACAGTAGGCCAGCGAAGCGTTTTTGATACAGAACTTTGATGCTTCTATACAATATTTAGTTTGTTAACTTTATGCCAAAATTAAGCTTAAAGCACGTGATTCACACCGCGGGAGCTAATTTTTCTTACTTTCTCGGCAAAGCCAAACATCAACAGAGTATTTAGATCGATGGACTCAGTTGTGATACTTGACTATACAATCAGCAGGCTTCTTCCAGCCTTGACGCTTTGCTCAAAATGTTCAGATTTTCTATTCCGTCGAGGGCTAGCGTGTGGGCGTTTTTCTCGTCCATTCCCGCCTGCATTGGTTTCCTGTTCTCCAGACCCACTCCCCCCACAGAAAAACCTGACGTAAGGCCGATATAGAGCCTTGCAATTTTACTTAACTCTACTAAGAACAGAGAATATAGGAGGAATTTCTATCCCTGGACCTCGCTGAAAATGACTATCTATACCGGGTAAGAAGAGGCTCGCGGATCGTTTATATTTCCATTCTCGATGGGAGTATAATTCCCGATGAATATAAGACTGGCTTCTGCCTTCTTAAGACTCTCCGGAGACTCCCAGAGTGGGATGAAGAGTGGAAAACACTCACTGTGAGGAGGATTGCCCCGGCTATGGCTATCGAGAGCACTAGAGACGAATTCTTGCCACATGGCCTGAATCTTGAAAATTTGAACATGCCAAGCGCCACACCCTTTTTCAGCTTTCTAGATTTGCCCAGGATATCTCGAATTAGTGATCGCCTGTTCCGGGTGATGTGTGACGGTGAAATCTGCATCCTGAAAATTGCAAAATTCAAGCATGAATTATCATACTTACACCAGGAGATTTCAGTGTATTTAAAACTGTCCGACTTCGCACAAGCTCCGAAGTTTGTTGGGGTTGTCTATGAAGAAACTAAAAATCGAACAATTGGCTTTTTGATAGAGGCTATCTCAGGAAGACACCCAGATATAAATGATTTTGAAGCCTGCAAAAAGACAGTTGGTTTGCTGCATACCCATGGCATCATACATGGAGATCTGAACAGATACAACTTCCTAATTAACACCCATGCACAGGTCTTTGACTTAGAAAATTCAGTTCTGAAAGAAGATGCAGATCCAGCAGCAGCCGAAGAAGAGATGCAGTCTCTTGAAGTTATGCTCCAAGATGAGTCGGATATTGGCGGGCGTTGGGAGCGGCATGTAGGCACTGATGTCTTGAATTAGCCAGACAACATGCAAGGTAGCTACTGGTACAAAGCTTAACTGATGGAGTCATGGAGTTCAGCTTGTCTTAGTACATTGCCTGCATTTTTTCTTGAAAATTTGGAATTTATATACTGAACAGCAACAGTCAAGCATCTGGTTTCCTCCTTTTCAGTATGATAAACACAGTCCACTACTCTGCCATGCATATGGTCACAAGATCTTTTGGTTGATTTTCTATGCCTGGCGACTCCTATAATGTTGGGAATATGGTAAGAACAATAGCAAGTATCTCTTACTCGCAGCAGTGTATTTTATGTCTCACTCTGGTGGAAATGTGGACTAATCGTTCCTATAGTAATTTGATGGGTTACTCTTTTGGTGCTTTAAAGTAGCCTTGATCATGATATATATATTTCAAGGCCAATTCAGGCGCCAATTAAAGCAAGGTAAATGGTGCCCTGTCCTTTCACCCCTCTTTTTCATTTTCATTCTGTAGAAGAAGTATTAGCAACTCCGCCTGATTCTCATGCTTCGGTTTCCCAAATCGGAGTAACTAACTCAAGCGGATCGCCCAACTTAGTTGATGTGTTCACCTCTAAGTGGACTGAATAGAGCAAGGTCGCATCTAGGAGTGTCTTTCGAGTGCTAACAACATTAACACCGTACACAGCAGGGCACGGCGGGGATTGTAATTGGCCGCAATCTCGTAAAAGCTATCGTTAACCCTGGAATTAATGCTCACAGTGAAGCAACCACATTACCGGTGGTCTTGCCCCTCTTTTTGGCCTGTGTGGTGTGGAATTTCCACCCCTTTTCTAGGTCGCGCCTAGCAAAACAAGACAAGAACGATAAAGGTTATCCCTAAAAAAGAATTAGGAAATTATAGATATAACTATAGAAGCAAATTCTCCGACTATGAGCTATGGTAAGCCCCGAATTTCTTTCCGGGAAATAACATTTCTCCACTCTTAGAGCGCCTCAGATATATTACTATTCCAACCGAAAGGAAAGCCCTTACAGGCCCCGTATAACCGATAAATTAACGAATCGGATGATATGGAGAACATGACGCTCAATAGCCTTGCTATTTTTTCCTGCGCTTTGTCCCTGAGCTGTTTTAGGTAGGTATGGAATTGGCAATCAACGGGCCAAGCCTGGATTGGAAGGTGATTATGAGCTTTTAAGGGAGGAGTAATCATTGGAGAATCATCAAGAGCCTCGCCTGAAATTTGAAGCATTAGAGGAATCAATGCATTTGAGCTTTGGTGTAGACAGTGATATCGATGGCCAATATAGGTATGTTATCTTTATGATTCAGAGTAATGACTATTCTTTATTTTGTCACCCGTGTTTATTCATCACAGCCTCTCAAGTATCTACCTAGCAAAGGCGCTTTTATTCGTTTTTCTTGAAAGCTTTCCGATGTTATGGAGTTATTTGGTAGCCTCAAACCCATGTATACGAGGGGTATGTTACTTAAAAGAACAATGGCTAGTTATAGAAAGAGTTAGGCGTTCTAAGAGGATTGTTGCTCCCAACAGACATGGAAAAGGATGCTAGAAATCATAGCAGGAATCACTGAGCTTTGTTCGCAGGCATCCACGTAGACATATAATATTGTTGCTCTTTATTGGCATAGGCATTTATTGCTTAGGCCTTTCTCATAACCGGTAGAAAACATATTGGATGCAGGGCGCGATTCCAGGTAGCTAAGACTATATCATTATCGGACACAAGTAGGGTCATCACATAACATAGCCAACGTGCATCATATATTCTCCCAACAAATATCCATAAGAAGCTTGGACGTTGTAGAGTTGGTTATGATTAGTCATCACAGCCACCCCAGCTGAAGCTTAGTTGCATCCTCGCTCAAACCCCCTTCTTGTGTGGATGGACGAACTTCATGTTCCATGTGGCAGACAAAACCTCGAGCCAGATCACCCAGTCTTTCTTGTAGCTTAAAGAGACCTGGCTATAATACCTTCTATCATAGCCTCTTGGTGAACAGTATTTCTATGATATCCTTAAAGTGAATATCCCTACGGATAATCCAGCTCTACACCGTCTTTTTTTCTTCACTTTCCAAAATTAACTGATACGGAAACATGGTTGCATCCGTAAAACAGGAAAACAAGGCAGATCACCCGAACCCACCTACGGATGGACTGCGGAACAATCATGAGCCTGCCTCCAATCCAGCCGGTGATGGCTGGGGTTCAGAAAAGCAGCTGGTCTCGGCTCTATCTCGATTACAGGAAATGGAAGGAAAGGTTGGTCAGATCATATTGCTCTCCTCTCAAATGATATTTCAGAAAACCAAAATCTTGGTCTTAAAATTTTGTATATTAATCGCTACTAGATTCAGAAATTGCGGACCCTTGTTCCAAATCGCATATGGTCACCTTTGGTACCGATGGTTGCTGACAAGAAAGACGGTTCTCTTTTTTTGAGACCAAAATCCCCCCAAGATTTATTTGATCAATTGGGTCAGTCTGCACGAGAGGCAAACGACGAACTGGAAGCTTTCAAGGCATCTTGGAATAGCCCAGAGATGGAAGCAACACGAAATATTGTTAACAGAAGACTCAAAGAAAGTGGTGGAGAATACCCCTATACCACAGGAACGTGGGAGAGAGATTATGTCAGGATATTTAAGCAACTAGATGCCGAGGATCAGCGGAAAGAGGAGGAGAAGAGAAGGGAGTCAGCAGAGGAGGAGAGAAGGCGCTTTGCACCGGTTGGAAATGATTGGAATGGTATTGTTGAATCGTTTGCAGCAAATGCGAAACCTGGACTTGCAGTAAAACTCAGACCTTCAGCCGATAACCTCTGCCGATTTAATATTTTACTTCAGAAAGCTTCAGTTGCGTTTTCAGTTTGGCAGATAAATGATTCTGCTGGTACACATCTTACGGAGTGGGGTGTTGCAACGGAGTCTCGTCCAAATTCGAAGGTTGGACTGGACATATTAGCAAATATACAGTCTCGTGATCGAAAATGGGATTTGAAATATCTTCTAGTAAGCAAGCACGACCTTGAAGTCAATTTCGATTAAAAGCTGACATATTTCTTTTTCTAGAGCCTAATTTCATCCTATGCTGAGGCGAAGCCCTGCCTCAAATGCAACTCTATACTGGGACAAAACGCTCAATTCCCGACAATACGCAAACCCAAGTTAGTTGGCTCTTCAGAGGCATCGGGAAGTACATTTATATGGGAATCGTTCCATGCCTCATGCGCCTGAATGCTGCGTTGCCAATATGTCGTTGCTCGAACCCCAAAACAGAATTAAACATACGATCATGGGTTCCAGACCATCCAATCGACATATGGGATCATTATCATCTGAGGATCCCAGAAAACCAAGGGATCTTTACCACCGTTGGAGTATTGCACGTAACTCCATGTGTTCGCGTCGGGAATTTTATATTTTCGTGTCTTGAAGTCATATCTTTTCAGGCCCCGATCACAACACTTAAACAACGGTGGTGGTGTTGGATCATCATCAGGGTCCCCATAAAGATCCTGCCATCGAGCCCAACGTGGCGTTTTGGGATAAGACCGGGGCCCATCGAGACTCCCCACGAATACATCTGGACCCTTATTTGATAAAACGTCTTTAAAGCGCTGTCCAAATGGCCATTTCAGCGGATTACCTGGCAGAGGATCTTTTGGCCAGATCCAACCTATCTGCCGGGGTTTCTCCATTTTGAAGTGTGGAAGCTATGAAAATTCGGATGGTCGATAGTGTTAGAAAGGTGGCTTAACTTCTCTAAAAACAAGCAGCCAGCAATGGATAGACGACCTCTCGCCTTTTGTTATTGACAGCAACCGATTTATAGAGATAGACCGCAATCTTCTCCTAGTCAAGTTTAGCATTGTTTGGCGTGTTTTAATTCTTCTCTCAGCAATCAAGACTTTGTATATAAGGGATACTCTTATCAAACGGCTGGGCATTGCGCTACTCCGTACTTCCTCGCAGATTCTTTAAGTTGAGACGTCACACAGGGCCTCTATGCATGCCTGGCCAACTAGATCAAACTTCGAGACAAACTTTATCGTCACGACTTCGTTGCTGTAGTCAACACGGAGGATTTATGCCTACTCCGTGCTAGCAGTAGCTTCGAGTCAGTGTATGTTTGAGAATGTACGTCTACGGAGCACGCATGCAAACATTGCCAGCGCGGATGCAACTTGCCGCAGGTCGTTACCATTAACAAGTTCAGCTTGCTTTTTCTGTTTACCGGCATAGATGCTTAGTTAACTATGCAAGGAAATGATATTGTCATTTGCGTGAGCACAATCCTCTAGGCTGCTTATTTGAGCAAGCGTTATTATCTTTAGCCTAATTCTTATGTTTAGATTGATAGTAAAGTAGCAAGGTCCCCAGATACACATAGGATACGAAGTACTGAAAAAATATTTTAATTATTCCTAAAAAACATTGAAACCAATTTGCGTATCTCCCTCCACATAGCCAAATGGAATGAGGTGATCGCACCTTCACTATTATGTAAGATGAGAAGATCTTAAGAATCGACAAACACCAGCACCATGCTCAAATTGCGCAATCGGACACATTTCCCAAGAGCAATCACACATTAACAAAACTAGGATACAAGGTCACGCTGTAAATGACAAAAGATCACCTTTCGCTTTACCACATGGCTGACTAGGTAACATCAAAAACACCATAAGCAGCCGAAATGTATGTACAAGCAAACATCGACAAAATGGGCTGGTTGAAGATGAGGAATTAGATAAAAGTATGACATCATTAAAGAAGGGGTAAAGCATTTTGAATATGTAGAAACACCGAGATTTTAAGCAAATAACCCAAATGCACTGGCAAACCAACTAAATGAGAAAATAGTCACTGCGACCATGGTAAACATAAAAAAGAGTGCTTGCTGTTGAGTGCCAGATATGGCGCCGTTAACAAGGCAGGTCACACAATCGGATTCTGATAAGTCATAGCATTGTCAGCCTTTGATTTCAACCCGATAGAAAAGAAAAGCCGAGAGAGTACTTACGGCTTAACGGAGTATAAGGCATTGGCGAGTAAATGCCAAACCTATAGCCTTGCTGGGCTGCTAACCGGCCAGCAGGAAAATTTGATGGACCAATAGCAACATCATAAACGAGGAGGGTATAAATCTCCGTCAAGAGCGGGGTATCTTCAGTTTTGTAGACGCTAGTGTCCCAAATTACGCCCCCAGTTTCCTGTACACTTTGATTTGCTGCAATTGTGTAAGAATGTTGATTCTTGCTGCAAAAAGCTACGATGTCGATTGCGGACGGGGTAATCTTAACAGATGTATAGTTCCATGAAAATGTTGCAAACTCGCCCATCTTGACATATGTCGTGCCATCAGTAGGTGCAGGAGTTATTAATTTGATGCCACCAGGTGGAAGGCGAGGATCCACAGTGGTGGTGGCATTGACCCTGGTTGGTTTCGCATCACCCCTTGATATAGAACTTCCACTGATAACTTGGGGGCTGTTTGTGTTTGTGATTGAGGAACCGGTAGTTCTCGTGGGTTGGTCGGAGGACGCATCTGTTGTTGATGCTGAGACTAAGTTAGATTAAACACCTAATAAACACAAACGATAGCAGGGTCGCATAGTTACCCTGGTTCTGCCGCCTTACGAGGCCAGGATATCTCCTTTCTGGGTAATAAGAAGCTGTGACCGACGACACGAGGAACGAGCAGACAAGAAGGAAGTTAAATGATTTCATTTTGTTAGGCAGCTATTGGTTTGCTGATTTGTAGATTTCCAACAGCACCCTCGATCGAGTTGACTCTGAGATTATCGCCGATATTGAAGGGAGGAATTCAGCCACTTTCTTTATGTAGGTAAACAATGGGATAATGCAGGCGTGGTCCCAACAACAACGCTAAGGTCTCGCGATCCAGTGCATTCAGACAGCTCGAATATAGTTGACCAGGTCGATAAAGGATGCGGTATAAAGGTCCCCCTCACTAAATGTGATTTGGGGTCGGTCTTGAGGGAATGGTCAAGGCGAATAGGGTGTACGCGATGTCAACGAGAGGATTATTGACACAATGAATCAACGGTCTACAATCCAGAACAAGAACTAATAATATCCAGAAAACGAGTGTTCTTCGCAGGAAAAGAATGTCCCGCTGAAGGAAGAGATGTCTGTCTTGGAAAAAAAGGAACAGTGGATGCCCTGTCGAAGTCATCACGAGTGAAACAATGTAACTTACCATACGGGACGCTCCACTCAGGCACAGACCCCGTAATTTACGCCGGCGTGACGGTCTCAGGCTATTTGTTCTGTTTCACCTAACTCTCACGTGATAGGGCGGTGATCTCTAAAAATAACATCATCTCTCGAGCAACCACACCCACTTCATGACATCTAGAATATTTGACAACTTGATACATCAAAAAACATAAACATTCAATTGCCGAAGTAACCCACCACGTTACTATTTATCCAGTTTCTGTTTTTTTTTTACCCCTTGCATACTCGAATTAATGCACTTTTGGAGATACAGAGCATGCCCAACCAGTTACAATCCCCTCACAGGTCAACATCAACTGAACAGTCTTAAATGATTGTCGATAGTCTGAGAATTAATTGACTTGGTTCTAATCGAAACATAACAAACGGTACTCAGACGTATTCAATATTCAGTTCTGTTTTCTTGCAGGAACTTGGGAAGGCTGTTGAGTTTTCGGAATTATTCGTCCAAAAAAGTTGAGGCAGCCCATGCCACCAGTCACAAACTATTGATGGTGTTCATTAGCAACCTAACAGATAATAACAATCAAATTTCAAGAACGAAAGTGAATGTGCTTACCAAGCCACCCTTGCTGTCCTTGGTCGTTCTTCCAAATAAGCTGGCTTCCCTCGATAGAGAACCCGGGTGTTGCAGAGTCGGCGGCCAGAAAGGCACCGGCCCATTCTAATACCCATATTAGAGCTGTGATATTTTTCCCAGCCAGGAGAAAACTACTTACCAGAATACCGCTCTGGAGCCAAAAGCATGCTCCAGGGTAAATCTGAGTCGACTTGGAACATTTGGCTGGTTCCATTCAAGTAGCCTTGACTCGCAGCTTCTGTACCTTGAACAAACACTGCTGAAGACCTTCCAGCCTCGACATGATATGGTGAAAGGTACTGTCCTGCAGAATTGCGCACATAGTACAGTTTTGTACCTGGAGGTGCGGGCAAGGCAAGTGAGAGGACTGGAAGAAGGAGAGAAAGAGAGAGTCGTCGAGCCAGCATGATGGAAATTGAAACTGAGATGGATTGTTAAAAAGATGTCTGTATCGGGGCCGAGTGAATGATGGTCCAAGAAGAGGAAGAGAAAATGAGGTAAATGTACTGTGGGCTGAGTGCCCTTTATAGCTGTGCAGCTAGCCTCTTGCCTCGGATGGCGATCATTAATTCAAAACAGCTGGCAACTCGTTCCAAACTCCCTGTCATCTACAGGATAAGTTCCTTCCCTTGCCATCATGACGTATTCCACCACTTCAGCCGATGTGCAATACATACAAGGGAGACAGAATTTCATAACATGCAAAGTACCACCGGAGAATCGGCTCGAATGGCAATAAATTCCAATTAGGTTTACCTTCTTTCTGCCACCCTTATCTAACATAACTCAAAATGAACCTTATTGAGGAAAGGCAAAAGGCCGTAATATCCTGGAGCCGTTGAGGTTGGAAACCTAAACGGTTCGCCCCCCCGCATACTCTGGTTTAAGCACCCATTTACCTCTTCCCCGCGTCCCTGTTTTCTCCAGAACCGCAATCGCCCGTAAAATTTCCCTGAACTCGGCCGTATCCCTATCCGAATTACAGAATCGGTTGAAGTGGTCTACTAACATTTGCGAATATACCGCTCCGCCTTGCGCAACGATATAATCCCGAATCATGACCATGAAATCTTTACCACGGGGAGTAGTGGCGCCTGAGTCTGGACCGCCATTTCTTCGACGGCTACGGTGGCTTAGGTTTGCAATAATGCTTTCGGATAGGGGACCTTGGATTCCCCTGCGCCCTGCATTACTGCTCCCTCTGTAAATAGCTCCTCGCCCTGTGCTATTTCCAGGTCGACCAGCCGTGCCAAACTGGCCTGTCCAGGTGGGTGTTCCAGCTGGGACAGTCTTAGCAAGCACTTCGGCATCAAGCAGTGCTTTTGCCGCCTCTTCTGCAACACGTTTGGCCTCCGCTTCGATAATCTTGCGGTCCGCTTGAACGGTAGGTTTTTTGCCGTTGACAATCTTCTCATGCTCAAGCGCAGAGTGGACACCTGAGCGGGCGAAAATAGTATTTAGCAAACGTTTATCCGACTTTGACTCAGCTGTAGGTTTTACTTCTGCGCTAGTCGCGGATGGGATTTCTGTTTCTGGCTGGTATTTTTCGACAGATGAAACCCCGGTGACATTGCTGATTTTATCTTTTTCTTCGCGATCTTTCCCAGCTTGGATGTTTTCCGTAGCTTCCTGGGACGCCGCACCCTCTTGGAATGTGATATCGGCATCCTTAAATATCTTGCTAGTTTCCGTGACACCATCAGTTCCTAGAGTAAACAAATCATGAAGGTCACCCATTTGAAATGTCTGTCGTTGCTTTGAGTCCCTCAAAATTTTGTTTGTCAAGAATTGTTTGAATATTTGCCTGTGATATATTTTTTCTTCGATTGTACCAGCAGTCATCAGTCGGTATATAGTCACCTCACGTTTTTGACCAAGTCTCCAAGCCCGTTCCCGTGCTTGAAGATCGGTGGAAGGGTTCCAATCTGGATCATATATAATGACTCTGTCCGCCCCTGTCAAGTTGACGCCAAGTCCTCCAACCTTTGTAGTCAGTAAAAAAACGTGTATATCTGGATCAGCATTGAACTCGTCGACCATATTTTGACGGAGCTTAATTGGAGTGTTCCCATCCATTCGCCGATAATTAAACCCAGGGAATGAATTTATATATTTTTCCAAAATATCAAGCATAATACGATGCTGGGCAAAAAGTAAGGTCTTGTGGCGCGTATCTTTCCACAACTCAAGCAAAGCTTTTACAACCTGCATTTTGCCAGACTTTGCCCCACTACCGTAGTTATAATCAGTTTTGAGGGATAGTGTTTTGTGCTCTGGAAGATCAGGATGGTTGCAGATTTTGCGAAGTATATCAACACCAAACAGAACGTCTTTCCTTCCGGTCATAATCGCCGACATGTCATTGGATGCCAGGAAGGCCTCATACGTCGTCCTCTGAAGTTTGGTAAGCTTGCAAAAGAGAACTTGCTCCGTCTTTTTGGGCAAATCGGTGGCAACATCGACTTTGAAACGCTGCAGTAAATATGGACTAATTGCCCTTTTTAAAGTCTTCGCACACTTTTCGGCGGTTTGCACCTGCAAGTTTGAAGCGTTCGCATACCCTCCCGCCCGGATAGGAAACTCAAATTGGTTGCGAAAATCTACCAGCGTGCCAAGTCGCATCGGGAAGACGAAGTCAAACAATGACCAAAGCTCCGACAAGTTGTTTTGCATTGGGGTGCCTGATAAGATAAGGCGGTGAGGTGTACGTAGTTCCTTGCAATGGATTGTTATCGCTGTGTCCGGGTTCCGTATCTTGTGCCCTTCATCAAGGACGGCGCAAGCCCAATCTATGGGAATTAATAAAGATGCATAAGTCTGTAGTCCCGCGTAAGTCGTTACAAGGACATGGCCTTCTTCTAGGACTCGTTTTAAAATCTTATTTGCCGCCTTTTGTCCTCTGGTTAGACGGGCTGGCTTTTCTGGATCCCATATTCCTGACGTAAGTCTGTCTTCGTCATAGCTTTCTTTTCTAATATTTACCATTCCACTTCCTGATGTATGCAATATCGAAACGCGAAGGGGTGGCCACCAGCGGTGAAATTCATTTACCCATTGTTTCATCACAGTTGGCGGGCAAACAACGATAACAGGGCCTCGGAGCTTTTGACTGTAATGAAGCCCAGCTAGAAAGGCAATCACCTGAATTGTTTTCCCCAGGCCCATTTCATCACCAATGATCCCGCCAACACGTTGCTGATACAGTTCCCAAAGCCACTGAACTCCCGTTTTTTGATAGTCGAAGAGATAGGGATAAATATCACCTGGAACTCGATAGTCACCATCCAGAAGGATGTCAGGAACCCGTGGGTGTGGGAGAAACCACTCTTCAGATTCAGCGTTTGAACTCTGAGCGTGATCTTCGGTGCGCTCCCGCGCTTCTGACCTTCTCTGAACCCAATCACGTAGACGACGTTGATATACATTTTCATTGCCATCATCCAGTCCGCGAAGATCCTCCAAAATTTCTGCCGAATTTGCAGTACTTTTTCTCTTCGCTCGTGGTTTCGTGGTAGGCATATCTGACTGCTCCTCCCACTCATCATTTGTGGATTCTGCAGCTGACTCTTCGGGCTCCTCAACGTACTCATCGTCGGAGGCTATCTCTGACGACCTGGCATCTCCTTTTGACCCTTCTGGTTTAACGTTATTGTTGCCTGCAGGAGTCCCATCAACAAGCTTTCTTCTCTTCTGAGGGCGAGTTGCGCCGACTTCAGAATCTTCGGGTTCGTTCGATTCACCAAAATCAAATCCTGGGAGGAGGAGGTGTCGGTGTGATTCGACCTGTCGGCTGCGTTGATCACCCAAGACCAACTCCTCATCTTTCTCGTCTTCTGCGTCAATCAAAGCATCCTGCAAGGCACTGGAAGCATCTCCATGACTATCTCCAAATTTTGAAAATGGCGTGATCTTACCCGTCCGAATGAGATAATCTCGTCTGGACTCGTTTGGTAATCTCCCAGTGCCAGATGTTTGGGCGGTATCTTCGATTCCCTGTTGTCTTTCTTCAATCCGCTGCTGTATTTGTTTCACATCTTCTTCCAGTGCTAATAGCTTCGCTTCGACATTTTGAAGTTCAGCACTTACACGAACCCTACCGGCGGTTCCGATGGGTTGAGAAAGGCGTTGATGGAGTTGAACGATGTGTAACTCAACAAGCCTGAAATTTTGTCAACTGAAATTAATATCAGCCACTAACAGTACTAATACCTACCGCTTTTCTTTGTTTGTCCGCTTTAGTCGTTTCTGATCCCTGTTGTTCGCCTGTTCGGTAAGAAGCTTGTCGGCCTGATGATTGAAGACTCCAAGTCAATCCAAGGTGAAGTGAAGATGACATGGTGTGACAAACCTGACGCCCAATGTCCTTTTCTATATCAGTTTGGTCTCGCACAGCTGTATCAAGCGCTTTGAGTGCGCTAGATTCTTCTCCGATCAAAGAGTCTTTGTGAGAAATTTCTTCCATAGTGCCAAGATTGCTATCAGTTCTTGCAACCTCCTGATAGCTACTGGGCACATCAGCCGTCTCGGAGTGGCAGTTTTCCATTGTAGCTTGGACCAAGAGAAGAATAAAGTGACAATGATGAACAGTTAGTGCAGATGGCGTGCAAGGTGAGGTATGAGTCACGTCTTTACTTCAGCATCTAAATGGTGGAGTGAGGGTTTATATAATTGTATGGTGGTAGGCTTATTCAAAGCATCGCGGGTAAATATCTCCGGTATAATACTTTCAGCCTGCCTTTCAATAGGCTTGTTGCAATCAGCTACTCAGTAAAGAGTAGTTATAGGACCACATAAATTTTCCAATATCTAAGAGAGAAGAACCGCCCATTAATAAGTCATATAGATTTCATATCCTCCATGCAAAGACACCCTTTGAATGAATGACAGATGAAGGGGAAATCACGGTCTGATCGTTGTCTCCAGGCAGAAATGGGGCAATGTATGGAGTAGTAGCGCGCTTAATTGTGAATAGTTACGGTACTAGTCCATTCTAGGCAAAATTGGAATTTGCTTTGCTGACTAATTAGTTAGTTAGTTTACTGTTCACTTTAAACCCGTCAGCATCTTCCTCTCAACTCATGGCCGTACGTGCATGACTGTGCATGTAACTATCCAGGCCAGGTTGGCAAGTTGAGACATGCCTGAAAGATCCCCCTTTTCACCTTATGACATCCACTGCCTTCGGCCATGCAAGATTTTCATCTGTAGCACATATGTTTACACAGAACAGAACCTGAGACACCTGGATTTATCAGGAGAGTCAAAAGGTTACAGTTAGAGAGTAGAACTAAATCAGGTAGGAATCGCAACAAAACCCGAATTGAGTCCATTTGACCCTCGAGGCAATAAATACTCGAAATGCGGAATCGAAAGGGGAATTTAGGCCACCAAAATGCACTACGGCTATTTATCCTAAAAAAGATGGTTTCAGCCCAAAGGCATCCGTTGATCCGCTGAGTGAAAATTGGGTGCGATATTTTTTTCCTTCTGGAATACTTGACCAATAGCTATCCTCCATATTTCTTGGGAAAATCAAAGTGATTTGACAAGGCCAGGCTACGAAAGTTCATTTTGTGACTTTGAGAGCTGTTTGCTGGTGGTTCGGGGCCAGACAAGCCCAAGCATTAAGCCTAGCTCAAGGCTGCATTAATAACCACGAAATATGACATGCTTGATAGTTCCCAACCATTAATATTGGCAATGATTTACTCCGTACAGGACAAGTAGCGAAATGTGATTCCTACCAGATCGGGGTCTTCTCGTGATCCGAAAGAATACATGCGAAAAACGCAAGCATTGCAAGCCGTGCAAGTTTGCGAAGTAGCCGACCGGAAAAAAAATCGGTACAAAAAGTCAATCTGTTCGAGGATGAACGGCTCAGAGCTGCAAAGTCCATGCTCGCCCAGGTTGTGAGCCTTACGGTGCCCGACAGTGTAGTTAGTTAGTTAGGCGACCCACGATGCCCCTCCCGCTCGAGGAGTCGAAGGAAGCGCCGTGCATCCACCGCACAATTTGCCCGGTGGGGATTCTCAAAGTAGAATCTGCTTGTAGACGCGCTGGACGAGCTCTGGACGCAGCTCGTCCTGCCAGCGATCGTCGGGCGCCCAAAGCCCGCGGCGTGCTGAGGCAAGTTGGTGTGACGCCGCCAGGCCGTGATTGACTGCGTTTGGCAAAGCCTTGGCTCGCCCGCCCGCCCAGCGTGCACGTCTTTTAGTCAACGAGTTAGCCGTCTCAAGCAAAGCAATCCACCCAGTCTCACTTCCTATCAACCCATTACCCCAAGCCCTCGCATCCACCCTTGGGTGGCTTCGTCCTTTTCTATTTTGTTCCTCGTGCCCGTGTGTTTTGGACGTGTTGCCTGTATCCCTAGCCCGCCTCCTGACTGTCGACACTACCAACGTCAGCCCGTGGTAGTTACTCTTTGGGCTGCTATCCCGATCGTCGTCGTTTGAAAGGGGTCCTCGCTGTCAGCACTTTCTCAGACTGAACACCAGTGCCTGAATGGATTTTGTTGCTGAGTAAATCCAATTGCCAGTGCTGTTTCGTCCTAGCCGTCGCCTCGACCCCGCCGTTCCGAGAATGAGCATTTCTCGGGCACCATCCGTCTAACAGCCTCCATCCCCGGTCCTCCGACCGGCGCTGCCATCACGACACGGTGCCAATCTTTACTCTCGCGAACATTTGCCTTCGCCCATCGTCGCGTGTACATACATACATACATGGTCATAGTGTACGCGTTTGTGGGAACTTGACGTTGTACTGACTTGCGCTGCCTTTGGTTCGCACTCTCCAGGGTTAATACGCCCTTGTCGACAACACCGTTGATCTCAAACGAGCTATGGATTCGCAGTGGTCGACATACCCTGATTCGACTGGAAATAGGGCCAGCCAATTTGGAAATGGCTTTGGGAGCCATTCCTCACACATGCCACAGAAATATGCCGCCCATGGCTCTGGGCCACAAATGCAACAACCACAGGCACCCTTGGGCTACACCTATGAAACGTATCAAAACCCTACGGCCACAAATCCCCCGCCTTTACCTTCGAGCACCAAATCATTATCTATAGCAACGTCCCCCGCTGAAACGCCGCTTTCTCGGGAATTCATAGACCCCGACACGGCAATGGAAGATGCAGACCCGTACAATCGATCGAAATATTCTACTAGATCTAGCCAGCAGGTACACGGATCCTCACAGTTTCTTTCTAGCGAAGATAGCTCAGCAATGAGGAAGTATTCGCCGATGAATTTGGTATCATCCACGGCCTCCTACAATACTAGTCCCAGCACTACTCAAAATTCCTATAATTTTTCTACGGGAAATTCACGGCCCTCGCCAACCAGAACAAGTACATATAGTGCCTCGTCCCAGGCGTTCCAATCTCCACCATGTAAGTTATCCCTAATTCCGTTTGTCCTTTATATATCGAACGCTAATAACGCGCTGTTTCAAGCCGGTGCACCTTCTAGGCCGCATGCCCCACGATTACCGCTAATGCAGCCAACAGACATGAGCCCCGAGCAATACTATCCACAAACTGCGTCTCTCCAGCTTCATACCAGTTTTTCGCAGAACTCAAAGCCTATTTCCCTTCAGCCATCACAGTTGAACCTTACAAACTCTGGTATGGAAGCACCTATTGTTAGAGGACCAGTTCCTAGATTCCAGAAAATCAAGTCAGCCCAAGATTTGCATCCGAAATTAAATCCGAAGCCTGCCGGTCGTCGTTTAACCCCAGAAGGGAGCTACATTAGTGTAAGTTGGTCTTCTTGACTGGCTTCTGGACAATCTGACATTCAAGAAGCCTCTCCAAGCTTTAACCACGCACCTCCCTGCAAGCTACCGAATATGCAACCCAATGTTCCAATATGAGTCCTCACGAAATCCTCGCCGAGTATTGACGAAACCAAGTAAAGGAACCAAGAACGATGGGTTTGACAACGACGATAGTGACTACATTCTTTATGTAAATGATATTCTTGGAAGCGACGAGCCTAATCACAAGTAAGTCAGCTCACGCTATAAACATTACGATTACGTACTGACGCAATGCTCCCAGGAACCGATATCTCATTCTCGATGTGCTTGGGCAGGGCACTTTTGGTCAAGTAGTCAAATGCCAGAATCTAAAGACGCAGGAAGTTGTAGCCGTCAAGGTTGTGAAAAATCGGACAGCATACTTCAACCAAAGTATGATGGAGGTATCTGTTCTAGATTTGGTATGTCCCCGACCGGTGGCTAGATTGAACGTTTACTTACATGCAATAGATTAACAGCAAACTGGATAAGAATGATGACCATCATCTTTTGCGTCTAAAAGACACCTTTATTCATCGTCAGCATTTATGTCTTGTGTTTGAATTGTTAAGTGTCAATTTATATGAACTCATCAAGCAGAACCAATTCCGCGGACTTAGCACAACATTGGTCCGAGTTTTTGCACAACAGTTACTAAATGGGCTAGCTCTACTCAACAAAGCCCGACTCATCCATTGCGATTTAAAACCAGAAAACATTTTGTTAAAAAAGTATAAATCACCTTATACTGATTCTTGATTGATACGCTAACAATATCCTTAGCCTTGAGAGCCCAATCATAAAAATCATCGATTTTGGGTCTGCTTGCGATGAGAGACAAACTGTCTACACATACATCCAATCCAGATTCTATCGTTCTCCAGAAGTTCTTCTAGGTTTACCGTAAGTTAAATATACCATGCCGATACATGATCTTTATCGCTCAACTCGCATTTATAGATATTCTTCTGCCATTGACATGTGGTCCTTGGGCTGTATTGTTGTCGAGCTATTTCTTGGCTTACCGTTATTTCCTGGATCGTCAGAGTATAACCAAGTATCTAGGATAGTAGAAATGTTGGGTATGCCTCCCAATTGGATGATTGAAATGGGAAAACAAGCAGGCGAATTTTTTGAGAAAACTCAAGATGAATTTGGAAGGCGAACATACAGGCTTAAGAGCCTGGAGCAATACTCGCGTGAGCACAACACCAAAGAGCAGCCAAGCAAAAGATATTTTCAGTCAAATAATTTGAATGAAATCATACGCAGCTACACCATGCCGAGGAAAAATATGAAACAAGCAGAGATTGACAGAGGTAAGCAGCCTTTTATCGATATCGATGACTGGGGCTTACTTGTATTCATTTAGAATTAAATAACCGCGTTGCCTTTACGGACTTTGTTCGTGGTCTTTTGACAATCAACCCTTTGGAGAGGTGGTCACCACAGCAGGCTAAGCTACACCCCTTTATCACACAACAAAAATTCACACAACCATTTGTGCCTCCAATGAACCTAAAGTCGTCTGTCATCAACAAAGCAGTTGCACCTGGTGTTCAGCAACAGCAACAAGCTGAGGCGGCAAGCAAACAGCGGGCAGCACAAGAGGCTCAAGCTCAGGCCCAAGCCCAAGCCCAAGCTCAATCTGCGGCGCAATCTGCATATGCAATGCAGATGAACTATAACCCAGCATCGCATAACCAACCTCCGCCTGTATACAACAGCATGTATACTGGACATCAGCAGGGTGCGCCACCGCCCTATCCTTCTCAACAGGCTGGTTACGGCCACCAAATGGGAATGATTCCAAGCTCCAATCATGTCCAGCAACCTTATGGGCCTTCGCAAAGCCTATACGCCCAGGCGACAACCCGAGCTGGGAGACAAAGAGCCTCCACTATGGACCAACAACAAAGCGGCATTCCACCAGCAATTCAACGGGTTGCTAGTCACTTGGATCCGAATGCGCCAATTCGCCTCCAGCCCAGCCCAGCGTATTACCCTCCTCCTCCGGATGGATATCCTGAAGGCAACGGCTCTGGAAACCGACGAAGAGGCAGCCGTCTAGGGGGATCGCATGGCCGAAACAGGGACTTTATTCGTAACCTTGAAGATGGCGCACTTGGCGATGGATTTATGAATCAAAATCAAAACCAATGGCGATAAGAGATTTTCTTTTCTGCTATTGTACAACCAGATGTGCTACTTGAGACGAATCTCCAATTCTCGGCGGTACCATTCAGCTCAGCCTAAAATTGGGCGCCAATTATTTGCCCCTTTTTCTTTTCTTTTTATATATACATATATGTATGGTGCCACTTGGGTGTCCGGTAAATGAATGCGGCAGAGGACACTGGCAGATTGGTTTCGGTGGGTATGTCGCCGCAGCAAACACGGTCGGGACACAACGACGCTTTGCAAGGAATCCTGGAGCTCATGGCAATGAGGAGATTTCGGTTGCCATGAAACGAAATGATAAAGACTGGGTTGGGTTTCCATTGGATGACACTTTTGGTTTCTTGTTATTAAAGAATGATATGATGACTTTGGCCCCTCAAAAGGTGGTGGAATTATTTCACTACGTTTTGGCTGGATAAATTCTTTCTTTCTCTCCCTGCCTCGATCTTTTATACTTCATGCATAGCGTCGGCGCGCGGTTTCGTGTTTAGGAGGGTTATGTAGGTGTCTTTGCATAACCATTTTACTTTTCTGTATTCAAATTTCTTAACATAAATGCTTATACTGTAATTTCAGCTCCGATTTGGTTGTATGATATATATACTATTTGCAAACTGATGTTGAAGATATTCAGGTGTGCAATGCTGATACATATTTGAGTTTTTGATGGTGTTTGAGAAAATAAGCTTTGAGCTACGCCAATTCCGGCTAGACCAACTCGCTTATATTTCTGGCGACGGCCTAATCTTTTGCCTTCAGTCCTGTCGACGTGATTTTCTCTCAGCTTGATCAGCCCTTTGGCCGTGGTGTTTTCTATATAATTTTAAATAATTTCCAGGAGAAACATTAGCCGTCATGTCTCGATTTTTCCACGGTGCCAGCGATAGCGAGAGCAGCTCTTCGGACGAAGAGGAGCTTTACTCGGATCGCGAGGAAGCAGTCTCTGAAGATGAAGAAACCACTAGCGAAGAAGAGTCCTCCGAGGAGGAAAGCAGTTCGGATGATGAGGGCGGTCTAACTGGAGCTAAAAGTTTCTTGAGGGATGTTGCTGAAAGCGATGAAAGTGAAGAAGAGGATCGGGTTACCGTTGTCAAGAGCGCAAAAGATAAAAGATTAGAGGAGTTGGAAGGAACAGTCAAATTGATCGAAAATGCGGGAAAAATAAACGACTGGGCAGTCATTTCGACTGGTATGATATATTTAAATTTCGACGGTCTTGGGATGTTACTGACGGAGGTTTAATCTGCAGAATTCGACAAATTGAACAGACAGGCCGCGAAGATTATTCAATCCGGGCCGTCTCCCAAGGCGTACATTAAAGCGATTGCCGACTTGGAAGATTTTGTTAACGAGACTATCGTTAAGCAAAAGACAACCACAAAAAAAATGAATGCAAGCAACGCCAAGGGATTCAATGCAGTTAAACAGCGTATTAAGAAAAACAACAAAGATTACGCGACAGAGATTGATAAATATCGAGATGACAAAGATGGGTATTTAGAGGAGGACGAGGAACAAGAGACGGTCGTTGTAGAGAAGAAGACTCGAGCTGTACGATTGGAGGATGCTTTGGCTGTGAGCGACGAGGGCTTCTCAACTGTCGGTCGTGGTGGTCGCACGCTTCAATATACCCCAGAAAGCATTCTGAAGCACCTACGCGTAATCGTGGAATCCAGAGGAAAGAAGAATACCGATCGCATAGAACAAATCAAAGTTATGGAGAAACTACTGGAGGTTGCCTCGACACCCTACCACACTATTCGCATTCTTTTGACAATGATTTCAACACGTTTCGACCTCACAACTACTACATCATCGAATTATATGCCAACCGATCAATGGAAGCTTGCAGAAGGCGAAATTTGCACACTAATTTCTACTTTGGAGAGCAACCCACAGTTCGTTGTTACTGAAGGTGCAGAGGAGTGGGAGGACGATGAGAAGATTCCCCAACTTGCTGCTGGGGAGACTCTTAAGGTCCCTGGAAGTATCGTCTCGTTTGTTGAAAGACTTGACGATGAACTCATCCGGTCTTTGCAGCACATTGATCCCCATACCGCTGAATATATTGAGAGATTGGGTGATGAACAGCTTTTATACAATAACATTGTCCGAGCACTTCTCTATGTGGAGGGACTTAACAATATCGAAAAATCAGAGCCCCGTCAGGATAGCGTGAACAGAGTTTTGATGAGACGTTTGGAACATCTTTATTTCAAGCCATCTCAAGTTGTTAGCATCCTAGAAGAGAACACTTGGAAGGGCCTACCAGACACTCTGAACTCTATCATTACTGATCGTGAGAGCAAGTCCGATATTGCCGGTTTGGTTCAGACCATTTGCAACTATCTTTTCCAGTACAGCGACGGTATCATTCGAGCCCGTGCCATGCTTTGCCAGATTTATTTCCTTGCCCTTCATGATAAATACCACCGCGCTCGTGATCTGATGCTGATGTCCCATTTGACCGAAAACATTTCGAATTTCGATGTTAGCACGCAAATCTTATTCAACCGAACCCTTGTTCAGATCGGTCTTTGTGCCTTCCGTGCTGGATTAGTCTACGAGGCCCAGAACACACTCTCGGAAGTTTGTGGGAGTGGTAGACAGAAGGAATTGTTGGCGCAGGGCATCATCATGCAACGCTATTCTTCGGTATCTCCCGAACAAGAGAAGCTTGAACGTCAACGCCAACTTCCATTCCACATGCACATCAATTTGGAACTTCTCGAATGCATCTACCTGACCAGTAGCATGTTCTTAGAAGTCCCGCTAATGGCTCAGACCTCCTCTTCCCCGGAAATGAAACGCCGCATCATCTCTAAGACATTCAGAAGGATGTTAGACTACAATGAACGACAGGTATTCAGCGGACCACCGGAGAATACCCGTGATGGTGTAATCATGAGCGCCAAATTCCTTGCAGCAGGCGACTGGAAGAAAGCCTCCGAAACGCTCAACTCGATCAAGATTTGGGATTTGATGGCCCAACCAGACAAGATCAAGACCATGCTCACCCAACAGATCCAGGAAGAGGGCCTTCGAACCTATCTTTTCACATATGCACCGTTCTATGACACTTTATCTATTTCCACCCTTTCCAACATGTTCGATCTTCCTGAGAAAAAGATTTCAGCCATCATCAGCCGCATGATTTCACACGAGGAGCTTGCAGCAGCTTTAGACCAAGTCAACAACGCTATTGTCTTCCGAAAGGGCGTCGAATTGTCCAGACTGCAAAGCCAGATTGTCACACTTGCAGACAAGTCGATGTCGTTACTTGAAGCCAACGAAAAATCTCTTGAGCAAAGAACACAGGGCATGGCCAACGCTTTCCAACGCGACCAAGGCTCGGGTGGCCGTGGTGGTAGAGGCCAGGGCCGCGGTGGACAGAGGAACGCTGGCGGTAGACCACCAGCTGGTGGGCAACAGCGTAGGCCTGGTGGACAACAGTTTAGCGGTGGTGCTTTGGGCGGAGCTATTAAGGCATAAAATTAGTTTGTTTTGGGCTCAAAATTCATATGAAGCTATGCCGTGTGTTTTATGATTTGACTGCGAAACTGCTTACTTTCTTCTCTAATGCAGCATGGTTACTACTTTTTTTAAACTATGTCCAGGTGTTTTGTGTCTGTTAGATAAGCTGACTATTTACTCTGCCATTGTACTGGTCTCGTGCGGATGGAGAGTTACTCGATGAAATTGATTCGATTTTACCATCTGGAAACGGTTATGGGGATACAAGATAGACAGTTTATAGGAATTTCAAAAGATCGTTCCTTCATTTATATTAACCACTCATCGACTATCAAGACATGCACTTCGTATGCATCCATCATACACACATACATATAGTCCTTTCTTGTTGCTAGGGAATATAGCACCCCAGTATGTAGCAAATAATCCACGTATGGCCCATATGCTGCGGCTTATGGAAGGCTATATAGATAGGAGTGCAGAATAATCCTATCATCGAGTATACTCGGTTACTCAACGTCAGCCATATCGGTGGAACAGATATATGTATGCGTACCCCTCATAAATGGTGGGTTATCTATCATAAGTATTTCTCTGAAGGTTGTCCTGGGCTCAAAATAGACGAAGCAGATTCACAATGGCCACTAATAGACGGCAACGTCAGGGTAAGCGACCCTTTGTAGGGTTTTGTTATATCAGAACTCCGGTGGGCGAGTATCCAAATAAATAACCCCATTCAGACATTCTCATCTAGTGAATTCTGTGGCGACCAATACTCATGCTCCTCGCACTGCGTATCGAGCCATACAAGTCCATCAGCAAGGAGATCGTCTAGCACGGTTTGCGTCCGTGCTTTCTCCCACTTCAGATTAAGCTGCAACATGGAGACTGTCACGAAGCCTAGAAGTTGGATGACTTCAAGCACCGTAGCCTGATCCGTGTTGAGCTCCTTGGGGACTGAGCGCACGAATTGCTTACTACCGACTTTGATGATGGAGAAGCCAGACCCGAGAGGCTCAAGGGACTTCACGGCTCGGAGGACGTCGTCTCTAGAAGAAGAAAGTGTTAAAGAAAGCGTGGTCAAAGAACCGTAACAGTATTGAACATACTCTGAGACTTCCAACCCACCACCGATTGCTTTCCCCCGCGCTACTCGAGTACGACATTCTTCCACGCTGATCAACCCTCCGTTTTCTGCCCGCGTCTCCCTACATAACTCTACCACCCTCACTGCAACCTCGAAATAGAAGTCATTGACATCTCCACCTAATACCTGAGTCCAAAAGCTGCCACCTTCAGCTAGCCCCGAAACAAACCCTCGCTTACCTTTCCCCTTCACGTTGCTTGCGGCAAGCGGATCAACCCCAATGGCATGGCACATTCGTGCAAACTCTGCCCGAAAGGTGGGGTTGGATTTGATAGTCTCTCCATGTTCAAGTGCGAACGTATGAAGCAAGGATTGAAAGACAGAAAGTTGCGTTTGAAGGGAGGTTAGATGGGTCGACCGAAGGCTCGCACCGTGATTGGCATAGGACTGAGTCGTTTGCGAGCGATTTGCGAACGCCCCTAAGCCAACACCTCGACGAGTAGACATCTCTATGATGTTACTTAGTGGCCGAGCCGAAAGCTTGATGCCTGCAGTCAATATGCTAGCAACAACTGGTCTGCTATGACATCAGGGGCGAGCTAGATAAAAAACGTGAAGCAATAAATAGGATTAAAAAGAATGTAGGGAGTAATGGAGGAAATGCAAAAAAGGAACTGCGGCTTGCCTGGATCGAACAGGCGACCTTTAGATTGCAGGCTGAAGGCTTGCTTCAGTCTAACGCTCTCCCAACTGAGCTAAAGCCGCTGTTGGTAGAATGTGGCTCCACCTCTAAAACTATGAATCAATAGTCTTGATTCCCTTGATTTGATTACCTAATAGCCCTATTTTCCCAACACGGAAAGGCTGCTTTTGCAATCTTGGCAGGGCTTCCACACAAAATTCGCTTCAATTCGAGACCTTCAACGACTCTGACCAGCCAAATTCTTACGGAACGACAGATCCAGCAGACACCGCCGCCCATAATTCGACATGGCAGCCTCAACGTATGCTTCCCATTGCCCCTCATAGCTTACTGATATCCACCGGTTGTGCAGTCTCAGCTATAGTCCGTCCCTTCTCGCTGGAGATGCTGCTTAACCTCCTTGGAGTAAAGCAATGCACCAGCTCGATCGATCCAAACGCGTACTCGTTCTTTTCAATTCCAATTATGGGGAAATAAATGGGTGACATGTGTTTGGGCTTTGAGGCTGAAGGCGCAAGCCTTCTCCTTGAAATACATTGTTCGTTCTGGTTGCCTTATTGAATTTTTGAGGCAGTTTTGCCCTAAAATCACAGGGCAAAGATAGATCAACATTGTTTTCCTGAGCTTTAAGTTTGGGGCATTGTCAGATGAGGTGTATGGCTCGTGTGGTTTCTTCGATATTCTCAGCATTCTCAATGCGGAATGGAGAACGTTAACTGCATGTAGCAAGCTTCACTGATGAAATTCATTTCGTCGAGTTTCTTTAAAGCCTTCAGTTGAGAATGCGGCGCTACTAGCTGCAGTTCTTGTACTCGGCGAGATTTGTACATGCTCCTTTCTGGACAGACTATACTGACCCCAATCGGCTCGTAGCTCCGTTCCTACCAAGGACCAGATCCTTGTCCCTGAGACCCTTCTCAAGAAGCGGAAGAGCCAGGAAAAGGCCAGAGCTGCTCGTACTTCCGAGCTTCAAAAGAGAAAGGCGGTAAGTCATTATTTTTCATACTATTCGCGAGCTTGTTCATACACAATGTATCTATACGAGCGATTTACTATGATGACAACTACCAACCTTGCGACTAGACCTATGGTCAATGCTGTCGCTTCGTTAACCATCTTTCGGGGCTGACCACATTTATATTTACATTTTCTCCTGCTTTTCATATTTCACGCCCGATTCTAACAACACGTAAATAGGCCAACAAGGAGAAGCGCGGTGTCATCTTCAAGCGTGCTGAGTCCTACGTCAAGGAGTATCGGGACGCCGAGCGCGAGAAGATCCGTCTCGCTCGTCTAAGCAAGCAACAAGGTTCCTTCTACGTTCCAGAAGAGCCCAAGCTTGTTTTCGTTGTCCGTATCAAGGGGTAGGCTATCTTGAACATCCATTTATACTGTGCCATTTTTAACACTTTCTCCAGTATCAACAAGATTGCCCCCAAGCCTCGGAAGATTCTTCAACTCCTGCGTCTTCTCCAGATTAACAATGGTGTCTTTATCCGCCTCACCAAGGCCACCGCTGAAATGCTCACCATTGTCAACCCTTACATTGCCTATGGCTACCCCAACCTTAAGACTGTTCGTGAACTCATCTACAAACGCGGATACGGCAAGGTCAACAAGCAGCGCATTGCTCTCACTGACAACCAAATTATCGAGGATAACCTTGGGAAATTCGGAATTGTCTGCATGGAAGACTTGATCCACGAAATCTACACTGTTGGCCCCAACTTCAAGCAGGCTAGCAACTTCCTCTGGCCCTTCAAACTGTCTAACCCCACTGGTGGATTCCGCACTCGCAAATTCAAGCACTTCATCGAGGGTGGCGATACTGGTAACCGTGAAGACAACATCAATGCCCTTGTCAAACAAATGAACTAGGGAAGTGGCTTTCTTCGTTGAGGGCGATTGTGCTCATTAGATACTCGGATTCCGGTCGACTAGGCAGTTCGCTATACAAATAAAAAAATCTTCTACGTGTCAATCCAGCATATAATGTAAAAATTATGATTTCTTCATGAGTTGTAATAATTTAGCGAGTCCATTTCTTTCAAGTCTAGATCCCTAGAGATCGGCAAGCTAGATAAACGCGACCAGGGTCTTGGGTCGGGCGTCAATGGCTATTCTGGACTCTGGTCATAATTTTGTGCGTGCAAACCAGCTAGTTGGCCCATCTGATAGGAGTACAAATTGAAGGTTCAGGCCCTTGCACCTTACCTACGGCCCGCGGGCGAACTAAATTAGTTACCTAGTTGACTACTTCGTACTCCATAACATAGCTCGAATTCAACTGGTTTGTTGAGCGCAAGAAATTCCGGCTTACGGAGCACAAAACCCAGCTCCGTACTCTGCCCGGGGGGAGACAGCTCCACACCTTCGTTCCAACTCTCGAGCTCACTCCTTTATAAAAACACAATCTTTCTTATCCAATACTTTCTACTATACCCAGCAAATCCGCTTGCTGCCGTTCACAACATGGATCAGATCAAGAATTTTCAGGCAAAGCGCGCCGCCGAAGAGTTCATTGCATCCATTGACAGAAACCAAATCTGCATCCTGGCGTCCTCCTGGCATCCGCAAAAATGGCCATGTCGAATTTTCTCTGACACCATGCAGGGCAGTTACAACATCAATTTTCCTGTGGTTTTCTGTGATCCCGATGGGCGCGAAATGGAGAAATGGATTGTTCGTATCCCGTTGATTCCTCGTTTAGCATTTCCAGAAGAAAAAATGCGTGGCGAGATTGCAACTATGAAGTGATGATTGAGGGCTTCTCTACTTTGGGTAAATTTTTGCGATTGCTAATCTTCACCCTAGATACGTCTCTGAAAAAACAAAAATTCCAATCCCCCAGTTATCTGGGTACTCGATTAGTAGCGATAATGTACTTGGTCAACCGTTTATGCTACTAGAATTCATTGAAGGCCAGACTTTACACAGTGTTCTTGAGTTCCTAGAGGCAAACGAAGAAAAGAGAAAACATGTATACAGCCAGTTAGGGCTCATATACCTGGAACTCTTTCAACAACAATTTGATCGCATCGGCGCTCTCACTCTCGATGAAACCGACCAAAACTGGGTCTTCAAGCATAACCGACCCCTGACAATTTCTATCAACGATCAAGAGGTTGGCGGACTTAACGTTTGCCAATATCTCTCGAAACACCAGACTTTTACATCTACAGTTGACTATGCATACATGTTGCTGAATACCATATTCAATGAATTCTATCACCGACGTGATAGTGTGTATGATGAGGAAGATGCGCGATGCTATATATATTCACTTTATCTTGCCCAAGGAGTCATAATGGAGTGGATAAGGCCAGAATTTAACCATGGCCCATTCATCCTCATGCACAAAGATCTACGACCATGCAAAATTATTGTAGATGATAACTTAAATATCATCTCTGTCTTGGATTGGGAATGGAGCCACACAGTACCAACACAGCTCTTTGTTCCTCCTTCCTGGCTGACGAGGCGCACGCTCCTTTCAATCACACACCCCATAAGTATGATTTTATATAATCATGAACTTTACCATTTTCGAACCGCAATGGAAAGAAGAGAATACGCGGACTATAATCCCAGCAAATCGCTAACTGCAACCCTTCCGCTTACAAAACTATGGCGTGAATTCCGGCAGAATCACCACCTTTTCCTGGCCTTCGGACTCCAGTCGCCAGGGTGCTTCAGCTCCGTCTTCCTGAATGTCGTAGATACACATTACTTTGGACTCAATCGCAAGGAGCGGATGAGGGATTTTTTCGAACGGGTGATTCGACAGCCAGCACTATCTGTAGTAGAGCAGAAATTGAACGAAGCCAGATTATTCCAACAAGAGTGTGAAAGACTTGGTATTGGTGTGGAACCACCAATAGATCTTGAGGCTGAAACTATGTCCAGTGGGAATAGAACGAAACAGGCGATGCTTCCAGCCGAAAACGCCATACACTTTAACACAAGGCCAGCAGAGCAGCTTTCGGTAGGGAGGCTACAGTGGCCATTGATTAGTATCACTGTTTTTGCCTCCGTATTTATTCTGATGAAATACCATTGAAATAAATGAAAGTTCAACGACGGTTCTATCTCGAAAGCAACTCGATATTGCTCCTAGTGACCTCCAGCTGGCCCACGATCTCCGCCAGCCTGCGCGATTGGCTGGCTATCTCCTGCTCTATAGACAGGGCTGCACCCTTCTTACGCCCTCCTCTTGCCTCGGCAGCATTCGAAGACAGAGCTTCCAGGTCAGCCTTTGATTTCCGCAGCTCTTGAATAAATGCGATCACGTTGCGCTGCTCTTTCTCAAGTTTTTCAAATTCAGCCTTGCGAGATTGAAGTTCGTTTTTGATACTATCCATGAGGGACTAACCCCAGCATTCAACTTGGGACTTGCACCTAAATAGGTCGATCCTAACTAGGTAGCCAATCACATTAACAAATCAATCAGGTGATAATACACCATACAGAGTACGGTCATTTTTCGTGGGTTCCAATCGCGCGCCTCCATAAATGCCTTCTGACCCCTAAAAAAAAGACTGGGTTTCAATCACCACAGACTATTCATGAAATTGATATGGATCAAATAACACGGCATAGACTTGAGAAAGAAGTGCAGAGGTTTGTGCTGTCTATTGACCGTTCTGTTGTTTGCGCCATGGCCTCCTCCTTCCATCCAAAAAAGCAGCGGTGTCAAATATTTGAAGATAAAAAGAAAGGTTCTTACAATATTTGTATTCCGGTTGAATTTTCTGACAAAAATGAAAAGAGTACTGGCGAAAGATGGATGGTGCGGATACCACTACTTCCACGTCTCGCGTTCCCCGAAGAGAAGCTTCGGGCTGAGATTGCTACAATGAAGTAAGATCACATTCCTGTTGACTATATATACTCCTGTCTCCTTCCTCAAAGTAAGTGTGATTGGATAGTCAATTCTAACACTCTGGCTTGACTGATTTATTGCAGAAAAAACCACAGTCCCTATTCCACATCTACATGGATATTCAATAGGAAAAGACAACATCCTTGGCCTGCCATTTATGTTGCTGGAGTATATTGACGGGAAACTCCTCAGATCTGTGAGCATGATGGATCTTTCAAACTCTGACCGATGTCAATTATTTAGAAATATCTGCGGAGTATATTTTCAATTGTTCCAACACAAGTTCAGCCATGTCGGTGCATTTACCCTGGACTCAGCTGATGAACACTGGGTTTTTGAACACAACCGGCCTCTGTCTATGTTTTTGAATGATCAGGCTCTTGCTGGATTCAATTTATGTTCTCAGGTTCCACCAAATCAGATATTTCAGTCAACCATTGATTATGTCTTCATGATTCATCGGGCCCTGTTAATGGATTTTGATTTATGTAAGGATACTGTGTACAATGAATGGGATGCCCGTTCATATTTATTTGCCCTGCATAGCTGCTGCCAGTGGTTAATGGAGTGGGTGAAGACTGACTATAATCATGGACCCTTTATTCTGATGCATGGGGATCTGCGCTCTTCAAACATTCTGGTGGATGACAGACTCAATATTATGTCTGTACTGGACTGGGAATGGAGCCATACTATTCCAGTACAAATGTTTGTTCCGCCACCCTGGCTTACTGGTCTTGAGCTGCTTGGAGTTTTGGATGGGGTTAACCAGTTGATATATGAGACTTGTGTGGATTTGTTCAAGTCGGAAATGTGGAGCCTTGAATTCGAACGGCATTCTAAGACCATGAATACGGCCGAGCTCCGGCTGTCAAAGGTCTGGGAACAAGACAGTCATAGGGAGAATTTCATCAGCCTAGGGTTGAACCAGCCCCACTATTTTGGCAATCTCTACTGCAGTGTTGTGGATCATGATTGCTATGAATTAGGAAAACCGTTTGAGGAAAGATTGGATGAATTCTTCAAGACTCATACATCCAAGCTGGAGTTGGTACAAAAAAAAATTGCGGATCTCGAGCAGTTTGATAAAGAGTGTGAAAGGCTTGGAATAAAAATAACAAGGCTCGCACCACCTTAACCAAAATTTGCCTTCACAGTTTTTGACCAATGGGGGCGATAGAATTTGAAGCTACGGCATGATTAGGGTTAGCCCGGTTAGTTAGCTAAAATAAAATAGATATGCAAACAGCGCAAACAGTTAGGTCAATTAACGTTAGCGCGTTGGTATAGTTATAGTTAATTAGTCACGCGAAACGCGAAACGCGTCCTTCTCGACATTGTCGAAGCGCATTGGGACACTTCATTCGAAAGCATTTATACCCTACCCAACTATTTCAATTCCATGATTTAGAATAGTGGTTGTTTCCAATGGCTGCTCGAGCTAAGCTAGCGGAGCTACGCGCTCTTCGTGCCTCGGGAAAGAAACGCCTTGCGACTTATGAAGTCGAAGAGGAGGACGATATCTACGAAGAAGTCGATGAGGAAGGCTATAAGAAGGTCGTCAGGCAGAGACTGGACCGGGATGACTTTGTTGTCGACGACAATGGCGAAGGATACGCTGACGACGGGCGCGAAGATTGGGACAGTACGAGGAGGATAGACAGCGGGAGCGATAGCGATATGCCTCCTCGGGGTAAAGCCGCTAAAAGGAAACGAGAAGAAGAAAAGCAGCGAAAAGACAAAATAAATAACGGAATTAATAAGTACTTCAGCAACGCTCTGGCTGCAGCCCCAAATGCTGCTAAGCCGAAGGTTGGTCGAGCTCATTCGTTCCCTATAAACCAACTAACACAACGATAGCGAGCCACAGCTGAAGATGAAGCATTTATGGCCGATCTTCTTGGAGAGGTTGATACGAATGCTGCACCATCCCGTGCACCTGCTAAAAAGTCTGTCAAATCCGAAACTCGACGAAAGGTCCGGATCATATCCCCTCCTCGCGGTATCGAGAAAACACCCAAACGATCTTTGCAAAAGGAAGATATCCCACCCGCATCGGATCTTCATGGGAAATCAGAGATGGATTTCCACGATGAAGGTCCGCTGCTTGGAGATGAAGATGTTCCAATGAGCGACCCCCTGCCATCATCACCTGTAGCGAAGGCGGTCGAACGCAAGAGTTCCTCATTAAAGAGAGAGGAGGTCAAAGCCGAAGATATAGACGATGATGACTTAATGGCCATTGCGGAAGCAACCGGACACAATGAAGCGGATTCCGCCAGAGTTAATATATCCGGGAAACGACCCGCCCCTCAAAAAGAAATTGGGGAGAGCGTGTACCCTTCTCCAGCCTTGTCGTCTCCCCCTAAAATTCATTCAGATGCAATAGACCCTTCTTCTTGGACAGACGTGACACGAAAACTTAACGTTCTAAGCAGCCCAGCCCCGGATACGCATACCTTTGGAAAGCTACGGGCCCAGGATGCCGTCGAAGAAGATGACAGTTTAAATTTCTTTTGGATGGATTATACTGAAATAAACGGAAGCCTTTGCTTATTTGGAAAAGTTAAAGATAAACGGTCCCGCCGATTTGTCAGTGCCTTTGTTAAAGTTGACAACATATTACGAAAGCTTTATTTCCTCCCTCGCCAGTATCGAATGAGCCACGGTCAAGCTAGCGACGACGAAGTCGATATGCAAAATGTCTACGAGGAAGTGGATAGGCTGATGACCAGGCTGAAAGTTGACATGCATAAGATCAAACCTTGCTCAAGGAAATACGCCTTTGAACTTTCCAATGTTCCGAAAGAAGCAGAATATCTGAAGCTTATGTACCCCTATGATAAACCAGCATTAACTGCCGATGTCAAAGGCGAGACATTCTCTCACGTTTTTGGTGCCAGCACTGCTCTTTTTGAGCAGTTTGTCCTTTGGAAAAACATTATGGGCCCTTGTTGGCTGAAGATACAAGAGGCAGACTTTACTGCCGTGAATAATGCATCTTGGTGTAAGCTAGAATGCCAGGTTTCGAAGCCATCTCTCATTTCACCAGTATTGAATTCCGAGAACCTGGAGACCCCTCCACTTACATTAATGAGTTTATCATTTCGTACACAGCTCAACACCAAAGAGAATAAGCAAGAAATCTTAGTTGCGAGCGCGAGAGTTTACGAAAACGTCTCCCTTACCGACCCTACCCCTCCTGAGAAACTCCCATGCAAGACATTTACGGTAATGCGACCTTCGGGTCCAACCTATCCGATAGGTTTTGAAGCAGAGACCAGAAATCATCGCGGTACTTTCATGCTTGAAAAAAACGAACAGTTTCTTCTAAGCAAGTTTTTGGTGTTGTTTGAGAAAATGGACCCTGATGTACTGATGGGCCACCAGCTTCAAGAGGTTGACCTAACAGTTCTTATAAACCGACTTAAAGACAAAAGGACCCCTGGTTGGCACCGAATTGGCCGGCTAAAAAGGAGCGAATGGCCGAAGAACTTCAAAGGAACTGGCTTCTTTGCGGAAAGGCAACTACTCGCCGGACGGTTGATTTGTGATCTTGCGAATGACATGGGCAAGGTATGCTGGTCGTCACCTTTCTGATTGCAGAGCTAATTGCCCCCTAGTCTTTACTGATGAAGTGCCAATCATGGAGTTTAACAGAAATGTGCCAACTCTATTTGGGAGACGAAAATTTACGGCGAGATATTGATAACGAAGTTGCACTCAAAACCTGGGCCACGACTAAAGAGGGTCTGATGAACTATGTCAGTCATAGTGAGGCTGATTCATTCTTCATTGCTGCTCTCGTTCTTAAACTGCAGATGCTTTCTCTCACCAAAGTTCTTACGAACCTTGCTGGAAATTCCTGGGCCAGAACCCTTACTGGTACAAGGGCAGAGCGGAATGAATATATTTTGCTTCACGAATTCTATCGAAATAAGTACATTTGCCCTGATAAATATCCCGGGAAATCACAAGTAAAACCTGAGGATGCCGATGGTGACAATGATGGTACGGACAAGAAAAAGAAAGACAAGTACAAGGGAGGTCTTGTTTTTGAGCCAGAGAAAGGTCTATATGACAAATATGTTCTTGTCATGGACTTTAACAGTTTATACCCTAGTATTATCCAGGAATACAATATCTGCTTCACCACCGTGGATCGACAATTAGTGGTAAGAGTGTTCCTTAAGTTATCTTTCTTTGTATCTCTAACAAATTCTTTAGTCCGAGAATGAGAACGACGAGAAAGTCCCTGAAGTACCAATTTCGCAGGCTCAAGGAATTTTGCCACGGCTAATTTCAACGCTTGTAAGCCGCAGGAGAGAAGTCAAGAAATTAATGAAAAACAAGCGTGCTAGTCCAGAAGATCTGGCCCTTTGGGACACGAAGCAACTTGCCTTGAAACTTACAGCTAACTCTATGTACGGGTGCCTGGGATATACTCAATCACGGTTTTACGCTCGCCCGCTCGCTATGCTTACAACATTCAAAGGTCGTGAAATTCTGCGCAACACCAAAGAACTGGCTGAGAATAACCAGCTTCGTGTTATCTATGGCGATACAGACTCTGTTATGATCAATACTAATGCTGATAACATTGAGGAGGCTCTCAAGGTTGGGAATGAGTTTAAACGCCTTGTCAATGATAACTATAAGCTGCTCGAGATTGACATCGACAATGTCTTCCGCCGTTTATTGCTGCATGCGAAAAAGAAGTATGCTGCAATTAATATGACAGAAGTGGATGGTAAATACGTTGACCATCTCGAAGTGAAAGGCCTGGATATGAAACGGCGAGAATACTGTGCATTATCGAAGGAAGTCTCATCGAAGCTCTTAACTGAAATTCTTTCTGGTGAAGATACCGAGGTGGTTTTGGGTAAGGTATACGACTATCTACGCGACCTTACACAAAAGATGAAGGAGTTCACAATCCCAGTGCAGAAATACGTTATATACACGGTAAGCTCATTGAGCGTCACCTCGTATAGACCAGTTTCTAACCTATTTTGCAGAAACTTTCCAAACGGCCTGATGAGTATCCCAATAAAGAAACCATGCCGCCTGCCCAAGTGGCACTTCGTGAACTAGCGCGTGGTAAAGCGGTCCGCCCTAACGACGTTATTTCCTATATCGTCACATCAGGCGACTTGGAGACCGCATCACTCCCTCCAGCGAAACGGTCCTATACATTGCAAGATGTCATCAAGCCAGAATCCGGACTAGCACCGGATATTGAATTCTATCTCCTGAAACAGATCTTTCCTCCCATTGAGAGACTTTGTGCTCCCATTCCTGGAACAGACGCTGTGCAACTCGCAGAGTGTCTCGGGCTGGATGTCAAAAAATACCAGATAAACACATCTAGTTCTCATGATCAGCAGAGCATGGAACTATGTCCACTTGAATCGCAAATTCCTGACTCACTTCGCTTCGAAAAAGCAGTCCGCTTCTCTCTTCGTTGCCGCGCGTGTAACGAGAGGATGAACTTTGAAGGTATTAATTTGTCTGCGAAAGCCTGCACCCCGAATGGCCTTGTGTGCCCCAATGCAGACTGTAAAACTCCGTTCGCCGTTATTTCTATCGTGGCACAGCTTGAGTCTCAAATTCGGGCCCAGACGTCAAAATATTACGAAGGTTGGCTCATATGCAATGATTCTGCCTGCGGTAACAGGACACGGCAGATGAGCGTATATGGCAAGCGTTGCTTAGGTCCCCATGGGCGAGCAGAAGGCTGCTCAGGCCACATGGCATACGAGTATACTGAAAAGCAACTCTATAATCAACTATTATACTTCGCGACTTTGTGGGACGTCGAAAAAGCAAAGTCGACAGCAGAAAAAGAAGCCGCCGGCGACGATAAAGAAAAGGTCCTTGCACTTGCAGAATGGAATCGCGCTCGATTTGGAACTGTCAAAAGTGTGGTCGACGGCTATCTAAAGAAGTGCGGGCGACAATGGGTCGAAATGGATGTTCTTTTCGGGTTGCTCTGAATGATATAATCTATAACATGTATAAATAATGAATGTCAATGACTGTTTTCATATACCTTTCCGTGTAACGAACGAGATGCTTTAAAGCATCACACATATCTTACGCGAACCGGCTCGTTAGAGAGTTAGCTGCCATGTCTGCTCTCATGTTTAAATCTTTAGGTTCGTCGCTTCCTTCATGGGCCCGCGAAGTAGCCCGCTTCTAGGGTTGTGCAAAGTATTCATGGGGCATACTTCGTACAGAGTATAGATTTTCGGATACGGAGTACGGAGTATATAAACGATAGTTACTTCACACACGTGGGGCCATCGGGTTGAAAGCGGCTCAACCACCGATTTCAAATTAATTAATTAGTTATAGCCAGGAACCAGCACTCAACACCCACGGCTTGCATTGGGAAAATGACAAAACTGCGCCGCGTTCTTGTGATTGCCGGCTCGGATTGTTCGGGTGGGGCGTAAGTTGATATTATCCATCCATCTGCTTGTTCTTGACACTGGTGCCTCTCCACCCTAAGGTGTGCACGGATAGTTGCTAACAATGTAGATGACAGAGGTCTGGAGGCAGATCAAAGAGTGCTTGCGGCTCATCGCTGCTATGCATTGACTGCTACTACGGCTTTAACGGCGCAGAATACTCTCGGTGTCCAGGACATTCATGTTGTACCAACCGAGTTTGTGCGCAAGCAAATCAGTGCTGGGCTCGAGGATGTGGGGGCTGATGTTGTGAAGATCGGTAAGTGAGACGATTTGTACTGTTAAATGGGAGCGGCAAAGGGTTTGATCTATTGAATATTCGATATTAATCGAGCGTGGTAGGAATGCTGGCATCCAAGAATACGGTGCTTATGGTGTCCAACGCCCTGCGACATCATCAAGTGCCTGTGATTGTTTTAGACCCTGTAAAAATAGCCTATCCGGTCTATCTTCATTGAAATGGTCCTAATCTATTCCCCCGTAAAGGTCATGGTATCCACCAGTGGTTCCCAGCTTCTTCCCTCGGAAGCTGTGAGCTCTGTGCGCACAAGCCTGCTACCAATTACTACGGTTCTCACCCCAAATATACCAGAGGGCCTATTACTTCTTCGCGATTCAGGCATCGGTGTACTAGACCCTGAAAATTTGGACGACGCAATAACATTGGCCGAGCAGCTTCACAAATTGGGCCCAAAGTATATTTTACTCAAGGGGGGCCACCTACCCTTGACCGCTGCCCGGAAGAAGCCCAAACTTCTCGAAGAGGCTTCCATTGTTGTTGATATATTGTATGATGGCACTTCTGTTCATCTAATCGAGACCGAATACTCCCGGTCTAGAAATACCCACGGGACGGGGTGTTCTTTGGCATCCGCTATCGCTGCTAATCTTGCCGAAAATATGGAGGTTTTGCGGGCCGTGAGAGAAGCTTGTCGGTTCGTGGAAGCTGGTATTAAAACAAGTATTGATGTTGGTCAAGGCCATGGGCCTATAAACCACTTCCATTCTTTGTACTCGCTACCTTTTTCACCGTACGTGCTTGTGCTAAGATTGACCCGCTCTTCGTTTGAGCTAACTGGATTCAAGCGGTCATTTTCTAGACTATGTCCTGGAACGACCCGATGTCCGGCCATTATGGGAGTCTTTCACTAAACACGAGTTTGTGAATAGATTGGCAGATGCAACTCTCCCACTAAATAGTTTCAGGGACTATTTGATACAGGACTATCTCTACCTTGTAAGTGGGCTTTTCAGCCTATTTTGAATGCCCTGGGGTTCTAAATGTAAAAGGTTCATTTTGCTCGCAGCAATGCACTGGCAGCGTACAAGAATCAGACAATGGAGGGTATCTCAGCAGTAAGTATCCCCAGCTTGAACTCCACCAAATATCAAACTCGCTGCCTCATATATATCAAGAGACGGGTCAAATTCCTCAGCTTATGGCAGTACATTGGCTGGCTTGCGATGTTTTATTTGTCGTTGACTCTAGAGAACGTGTTGGTCAACAACCGCTGACGCTTCCTCCTTGAAGTCGGCTAAAATCGTGCTCCATATCGAAAGGGAAATGGCACTACATTTAGACTATTGTGCCTCATTTGGCCTGTCCAAAGAAGATATTGAATTCCACAAGGAGAGTCAGGGTATGTTTAGTATAGTCGGCGTCCAGAGTCTTGGCTGACCAACGACGGGCTCATAACAGCTTGTACTGCGTATAGCAGATACATTCTAGATGTGGGACAATCGGAAGACTGGCTAGCGCTACAGGTTGCTTTGTCACCCTGTTTGATTGGCTATGGGGCAATAGCACAGCGACTCCATAGCGATGAGGGAAGTGTGCGCACTGACAACAAATATTGGAAATGGGTCGAAAACTATGTTGCAGAGGACTATTCTGCCGCTGTAAGGCTGGGTTCTGGTAAGTTCTGGAATATTTCTTAGCTAAAAACCCCGACATATCATCCGGCGCATTAACATTCTATCGATTTGTAGAACTTCTTGAGACTCATATGAGAAACGTTTCTCGATTTAGAGTGGAAGAGCTCGTTCGAATCTTCAAGCGGGCCACGGAGCTAGAAATTGGGTTTTGGGACATGGGCCTCCAAGGACAACACTGCGTAGAGGGATAGCCTTCGAAAGATGCCTAGCCTGCTGGAGTCCTCCATGCAGGCATTCCTAAGTGAATCCTAACGGAGTATTTGTACGAACTTGTCGTCTGTAATCTTATGACTAAGCTAAACAAAAGTGGCAATCTCGCTTATTAATAAAGACTAAACTCCGTTTGGCGCTAAACCCTTTCCTGAAGTTTTCCACTTTTAGTGTTTTTTTTGCCTGAATGTTCACTTCAAATTCTCTTCTCCTCTCCTCTTTCAAAACTTCAACACCTTCACTTCGTGCTGATATCTTCTTCATTCTCTCCATTCCCTTTTTTCACGAACTAGAGTCTACTTTTTTGCTTGCTCTTGCTTTTTATAATTTCTATTTTCCAAGTCCCTGTCTTAATTCATCAAAACACCAAAAGTCGAAGTTCAACATGTCTTACGGAGGCGGCTATTCTTCTCGCGATAACCAAAGTGGTCATTATGGCGGAAAGTAAGTACTTTTGTTATTCATTTTCTAAAGATGCCATATTGTCTTGAGAATCCTATCCCCATTGTTCTTAATCAACCTGAACTAACTGGATTGCAGTTATCGAGGTGGTGGACACGGTGGTAGCCATGGATATTCTAATGGCCATTCCAACAACCACGGATCTTACGGCGGAGGCTCGTACGGCCATGGTGGCGGTTCATACGGTGGTGGCCATGGCGACAAGATGTCCAATCTTGGTTCTGGATTAAAGCAGCAAGAATGGGGTTTGTGACTATTTTGCACTCTGCATGATTGACCATCTAACAATCGTTTTCGAGTAGATCTTACTTCGCTGCCGAAATTTGAAAAACATTTCTACAAAGAACATCCTAACGTGACGAATCGCTCCACACAAGAAGTTGACGCTTTCCGAAAAGAACACGAAATGACCGTATACGGCAAAAACGTTCCTCGGCCAGTTGAAACATTTGATGAAGCTGGCTTTCCGCAATACGTGATTTCCGAAGTGAAGGCCCAGAAATTTACGAAGCCTACACCTATCCAATCCCAAGGTTGGCCAATGGCTTTGTCAGGTCGCGACGTTGTTGGCATCGCTGAGACAGGATCCGGGAAAACTTTAACCTATTGTCTACCCGCCATCGTTCACATCAATGCCCAGCCCCTTCTTGCTCCCGGTGATGGTCCAATTGTTTTGGTTTTGGCACCAACTCGCGAGCTTGCGGTTCAAATTCAAACTGAAATTACCAAATTTGGGAAATCCTCGCGCATTCGAAACACATGTGTCTACGGTGGTGTCCCAAGAGGCCCGCAGATTCGTGACCTTTCCAGAGGTGTGGAAGTCTGCATCGCTACTCCCGGCCGTTTGATCGATATGCTTGAAGCTGGAAAAACCAATCTCCGTCGTATTACTTATCTTGTTCTTGATGAAGCAGATCGTATGCTTGACATGGGTTTCGAACCTCAAATCAGAAAAATTATTGGCCAGATTCGCCCAGATAGACAGACTTGCATGTGGTCTGCTACATGGCCCAAGGAAGTTCGGCAGCTTGCCCACGATTTTCTTCACGAATATATTCAAGTTTACATTGGCTCTCAGGACCTTTCAGCTAACCATAGGATTACCCAAGTCGTTGAGATTGTTTCGGACTTTGAGAAGCGCGACCGAATGATCAATCATCTTGAACGTATCATGGATGATAAAAAATCCAAGGTTCTCATATTTACTGGAACGAAACGTGTTGCAGACGATATTACTCGATTCCTGCGTCAAGATGGATGGCCTGCACTTTGTAAGTATAAATCTCTGGCTGTTCGGGTTCGTATTTGAGCTAATCGTCCTTGTTTCACAGCAATTCATGGTGATAAACAGCAAAACGAGCGTGATTGGGTTTTGAACGAATTTAAATCAGGCAACAGCCCAATCATGGTAGCCACCGACGTGGCCTCCCGTGGTATTGGTATGATCAATTTGCAATCCTACCCCTTTCCCCTTTTGCTTCATCATTTCCCTCTCCCGTATTGATTTCGTGTGATCTCGACCCAATGCTTTGCTCTCTTTAGATAACATGTTCGTACAACATGTTTTCTTTCGATGTCTCGGCGCCTTTGGTTGGTTATCTTCCAAAGGAAACCTTGGACTTACAGTGCAGTGTAGCACACTGTGCTTCTAGTTGCGCCTCTCTACGCCATACATTCTGTCGTCTGTAGAGGGGCTAAATTCTCTGTTTGAGCTTTCAGCCTGCATTTCCCAGGTTTTGCCGGGACCAGGATCAAGTGCCAGCCTGTAGGCTCATACGGTGAATGATACTGAAATTAGTCCAAGAGAGTAACGCATAAGTCCACACGATTGAGAAAGGGCTTCAATCGTTCGCTTTTTCAATCTGGCTCTGTGTTTTGCTAACCACCAAGCTGTATAAAGATGTTCGCGACATTAGTCATGTTTTGAACTATGATTATCCAAACAATTCGGAAGACTATGTTCATCGAATTGGCCGTACTGGTCGTGCCGGTGCTAAGGGAACAGCCATTACCCTTTTCACTACTGACAGTATGTATTCCTTGTATTATCTAAACATCAACAGCTGCTAATGAATTTGACAGATGCTAAACAGGCTCGTGACTTGGTCAACATCCTCACTGAGTCTAAGCAGCAGATTGACCCTCGCCTTGCTGAAATGGCCCGCTTCGGCGGAGGCGGCGGTGGAGGTGGCCGTTGGGGCGGCCGTGGCCGAGGTCGCGGCGGCTTCACTGCTTCCAATGCTGCCCCTATGGGCCACAATCGCCGCTGGTAAACACCGTAGCGTCAAGCCGTGACCAAGGACGGTTTTTCACAGCCTCCCACGGTCTACGTCAAAATTTCTTTTCCCAAAACCTATAGATTTGCGACTTTTTCAAGCACAACTGGCGTTTGAATTTGCTAGATCACCTTAACCGGATGGTATTGTCAATGGTGCTGTGGAGCTAACCGCCTGCAATTAGTAACCAGATGACTTATCAACGCCGCTTGACATGTTCATTCTCAAGTTTCGTGCCTGCCTTCTTTTAACGTTGACCTATTACCCAAGAGTTTTTGAGACTGGATGCTAGTTGTAATTTTTCCCCCGGTCTCTATGGACCTTTTCCTCGAATCAGTGATTTCAACCCAGATTGAAATGTCACGCCAGATTGTTTACTAATTATCAGGAACTTCCCGCTTTTGCTGGAGCCATTGTCCTTGTATCTTAATTAGTTCTAAATATGATGACATTACTACTTAAAGTGACTCCATTCGTGTTTGCTGATGCTGCGACCCTTGCTCGACTTCTTGGCATTCTCGTTGCCTGCAGGTGAATGGCACAACCGACAACGCTTGAAAATGTTTGGCGGGGTCGCTCAAACTTATTCGTTTAATTGGAATCGAAACTCTTAACCATATAAACATATTCTTGTACTCTGTTCTGCATCGTTCGGTCTTTGAGCCATGGCAACCGAGTTCTATTCTGTCTGGCTGATCAAAGAGCGCTTAACCATTCCTGATCCTGAAGAGACAACCACAAGATACCACACGTACCTCTTCGTCCAAAAGCCCAGCGATGCATCTCCTTTGAATGGTGAAAATGCTATTGCTGGCTGGATCCACGAGGTCGCAGGCGACATCGTCACCTCCACCGGCATGAGATATGCCCACAAACCGGTCCTGCAGTCACCAGAGTTCTCCGATGTTTTTCATGCCAAACGGTACCTGGGGCGGGTTAACGCTGGTGCGTACCCGGAGAATGTAGACAGCGTGTGTCGATCGATTAAACCGCCCGGGTGCCAGAAGAAATTTAACACGACGACAATGAAGTACGAAGCTGTTGTATTTGGGGAGGGTGATGCAAATGGAGGGTGGAGGTTTTATAGGCCGGGAGAGGAGCGGAAGGCATACTTTAAATGTACGGAGTGGGTGGAGCAGAAGGTTATTCCGAAGCTGGTGGAAGACGGCATTCTTACTGAGTGAACGACGAAGTAGGGCGGAGAATGGCCGGCAGAGTATGAAATAGCAGATAAAACCAGGCTTCCTCGTTCTATCTATCTTTCAAACGTGCTACTCTAAGTCATATAAATACATAGAATCCCTTTTGCAAACCAATGGGTATCCAAACAATGGCCAATGCTATCCCAAAAAACAGATTGAGTTAGAGTAGTAACTATACATCGTGGTTGAAATCCTAGGCTCCAATGATGTTTTCTTTCTTCAAGAAAGCCCTGTACTGCACATATAATTTCCGACGGATCAACGCCATTTCAAACAAAACGGACATTGTAAATGAAATAAAACTGCTATCGCTATTCTATTAATGCGGTATACGTGTTGCTCTGAGATGATGTAGATTTATATCTTTGTGGTGACGGGGTTAAAAACCGCTGTAGCCTTATAATAGCTACCTCGGCAGTCTGTTTCTCGTCCGCTGATAATAACTCCACGGTCGGGCGGGTTAAAAGTTGCCTGTATATCTGGATGACACGTATTAGAGCCCTATTGCTCAAATCGGTCATGGCGGCCTCCAGAATGGGCGAGGAAGTAGTAGATCTGGCGCCATTGTATTTAGATCGATTCTCTGTTGAATTCCCGCGGTCCTGGCGTTGTATTTTCGAAATCAATTGTTGGATAGCAGCGCTTAGACATGAGCAAGCCTGGAGGAGTCTATTTTTCCGCAAAATATGAATATCTTGTCGGGCCAAGGGGCCTCCTGTTTGCGTTTGTGCAAGCAGGACTTTTTCAGAGACACATTTCTTAACAACCTCAACATACGATATGATAGTTGCGGGCGACGAGGTAGTTCCGATTTCCGATAATAAACGTAGCAAAGAAGATGCAGTATTCAATACATTTGGATTCAAGTGGTCGCGGTTGCAGGCACCCATAGCCACATGAAAGGTTTTACCGAAGGCAAAGCCCTTAGGTATTATTTCACTGGTAATCAAGGACAGCGATGCTGCACTAGCACGATTCTCTTTCCGAAGTGATAGAAGTGAGTGAAGTGAGGGGCTACTGGGTTCTATGTGAGCTTCGTGCTGTGGTGAAGTAAGAAGCGTCCAATACTCTTCGCCGATAGAAGCACCGCCGCGAAAGCCCTCGCAAGCGCGCAGGATCAAATGGAGGTCAAAGTCGGTGGGTAAGGGGTACACGGGTTCTGAACCTGCGGCCGATTTGAGCTTCATTTCACTGAATATTTTATCCGTTGCCTCGTATCCACCATCATTTTCCATTTTATAGGCATTATTTTCGTCTTTTAAAGCCTCTTGCTCCAATTCCCATTTTCTCCGCTTGTCTAAAATATTGGTTGTGTCATCTATAAGGGTCATCATAGATTTGGGGCGTTTGATTTGCATCGTTTGCTCATATAGAGCTAGTATGTCGAAATAATCCCGTCTGAGACCTCCAAATAGAAGCAGCCTGCCCATTTGATAAACAAGCCCCTGGTCAACCACAAGTTGTCCTTTTCCCCATCTATCCAAAACCTCTAGCCAAATTCTCTTGCCATCTTTAACTGCATCACTTCTCCTCGCCAAAATAGTTGCTGCCTGACTTTTTTCGTCAAGTTTCTCAACCGCTTTCTCCGCTTCGTGGCGAATTGCAACCAAAATCGTGGAGTATGTTCTCGCATCGGCGGCATGGCTACCGGTCGTAGGAAGGTTGGATACTATTTCCCACAAAGCAGTCATGTCATTGTGGGCAACGCAGACAGTAAGCATGGCATTGGTGTGAATGATCGAGTACATCTGAGGTGGAATCGATTCGAGCAAGGCCATGCCTAGCTTTACCCCCTTTGTTAAAGGATGACTTGCTATTCCTTTGAGAATGATAGAATATGTATATTTGTTAGGTTTGAATCCCCTCTTTTTCATCTAGATGGCCATACAGAGAAGTCAATATTGTTCCATTCAGTCATTTTATTCAAACGAAAATCAAAGCGGAGTAATAAAATTAACAGGCAGAGCAATGCACTCACATCATTATATAGCTTTAAAGCATCGATTGCCGTGCTCTCTTCAAATTCTTTTTGTATAACGGCATTCCATGAGGCCTCAGCATTTATACCCTTCAACTGGGCTAGCCTAGTTAACTCCAGCGCTTTTACGATGTCCTTTTTGTCTAGTAACGATTGCACTCGCTTTAGCAGTGCCACTCTGTCTGGTCCCAGTCTGCCTAATTCTCTTTTCATACTATACGTTTGATCTTTGTTTGCTAGATGGCGATGGACATATCGGGCTCCACCAACAGTGGAAGCGAGTACCAAGGACCGTGCAAGGGGGCGCGTGGGTGTCGCTGAGCACAGTGTTGCCACTGGCCTTAAAATTTTGATAAACGACATAATGTATTCCGCGATATTTGGCTGTAGAGAGGTAGAGAAGGGGGGAATGTTCACTAACTCCGGCGTGCTGGAGACAAGAGCAAGCTCTTCGTTTGGGGGAGTGTAAGAAGGCTTTTAGGCTAGGCAATAGAAAGCACTAAAAATCGAAACCGAAACCATTGCTACCATCTCCCCCATCCTAAACGGAATGAAAAGTCCACAAGCTGCCGTCTCAAGCATCGGTCGGCCAAAAGACCCCAAAAATCATCATTTTCTGCCACGATAGCTCCTCACCGCCTTTATTTAGGGACAATTATTAATCCGATATCCGTACTACGAAAATTGAACAGCTCTCAACACCAGAAAAGAAGCCCGTAGTCACAACTGACATGGGAGTTGAGTTCATGTTTGCTGAAAGACTAATAACAATACAACTATAACTGTTAGAAGTATCGGGAAAAGGAAATAAAACAGAACTCGACGCAGAAACTCAAATATAGCAAGTCACTTCCAACCGGCTAACCTGACTAGGCACAAGGTAACAGAAAACTAGATAAAAAGAAGAATGAGGAAGTCGGGTATTATGGCAGAGAGATAAAAGAGGGATTAACTGGACCGTCAAGAAACAAAGTACCATCAGACGCAACAGCGCATCTGACAAGAGAGGGAGAAGCAATAGAGCATCAGAGGAAGCGAACACACAATGTTAACATACATCCCACCATCCAAGGAATTTTGAAACCATTAATCCATTGTCACATTATTACAAGCTTCTTTCCTTTCCCTCCACTCCCACCATTTTTTGAAGCCACCTGATAGTACTGCCTGGTTTTGATCCTCATTTCATAAGCCCTCTCCCTTTCTATGAAGGTATTGTTTAAAGGAAAGAAACAGCTCCTCATCATCACATAATAACACCAGATGATATACGGAAAACAATGGAAAGGGCGATGCCAACAACGGCAAAAATCGGTGAACGGTATCGGTGATAAAACTTGACACGTCAAAACCACCCTTGTATCAAACAAAGACACCGTGATTTGGACCTGGGTGACAAATATATGTAGAGAAACTGGGTCAATATTAAAAGGGCCAAAAGGGCAAATAAGAAGAAGGTTGTGCAAGCTGGGGGTATGTAATGCAAACCAGAGAGAAGAAATAAAGGAAAAAAGACAACAAATTCAACACCAAATAAAACCAAACCAAATGTTGCTGGAAGTCATGGGGAGCGAAATCCTCGTCGGTGACCAGGCTATCCTATTGATAGTTGTTGAACTGGCCATCTGGGCCTGTGATTGTAGTAGATGTCAGCAGCGCCGCGCTATGTGATGCTGTTGCAAATATAGGCTTTGTGTTTAGGTCGTTGACAATGCCAATCCAATCCGCCTACAGTGAAGCGGATGGTTTACACAGAATGGAGACGTGATGTTACTCACGAGGCGGTGGTGGAGGCTGTTGATACATCTGGCTTCCCTGTCCATAGGGCGAATGTGGGTAGTTGGCGGGATATGTCGCGGGGATCTGGCCATTTCCAGACGGGTACACGAGTCCACCGCCAGTCGAGTTGCCGTATTGATTCGGTACTTGGCCGTCGGCGGACTGATATCCAATCGGCGGTAGCTGCGGACGAACGGGGCCAGCGTATGAGGTGGGCTGGCCTTGCTGGCCCGTCGACCCATTCGATGGATCAGTGGGAGCACTATTATCACCACCTTGACCCTGGACGACAGCGCGTTCCCTTTCCTCCGCGGCCTTGCGCTGGTTTTCTTCCTCCTTCTTTCGTGCTTTCCATTCTTTTCTGATTTCCTTGAATTCTAGAAAACGTCGAAAAAGAAATCATTAGCCGACCACTCAATGAAGATGAGATGCAATGAATTAGTTGGGTCTTGGCACGTCATGAGGTTAAGGTTCAGCGCCGTTCACGACGCTACTGCAACCCTACGCCGGCTGACACGCCAACGCGAGCGCCGTGTAACCTGGACTAGTAGGATACAGGGGAGCTCCATGACGCGCCGGCTCCCTCGTTCAAAACAAACAGCCCACGTCAGAGGAAAGCTGAGCACACATACCATCTGGAGTGCGCTTTGCGCCGTGCGATTGCATAGTAACGTGGGCATTCAAATGATTAAGAGTGCCGTAAGCTTTCTCACATCCATTCCATCCGCATTTGTACATTCGTTCAATTTCTTCGTATCTTCGTCGCGGTCGTTTATGCTGCTGGGAGCCGGGGATAGGAACAAAGGAATATACCTTGATGGAAAGAGTCATAGAAATTAGTAATGTTGATCGAAAACGCGTAAGGGGCAAGGGAGAAATACTTGTCCTGGGCGAGGTCCTGCCGTGGTCGCGGGCGAAGCAGTCCCTACGGTCGTTGCCGGAGAGTATGGACCGGGCAGACCTTGGTGCTGTCCATACTGATGAGGCCAATCTGGGCGCGCGTACATTTGAGGGGGCGGATGGCCTTGATACTGAGCCATCTCGTGGCCTTGGGGCTGGTACGGGGAGTAAGGAGGAGGATAGGTTGGGCTCGCCGCCGCAATTGAAGGATCTATAGGAACGTCCGTGTCAGACTTTACTTGGCTGGGATTGCGATGGCCAGTTTGCTGCTCATCTTGCAGGTTCATGGACGGACTTGTTGCTTGAGCCATACCTGCCGCGCCGCCGGCTTGGGTATGAGGCGCGTGGTGGTATTGAGGCTGTCGAGCGAGGTATTCCGGGTAAGGGGCTGGCTGCCGAACCGAGGGCGGTGGGGGAGGTTGGCCGGCTTGGTTGAGGGCGTAATCCGGTTGCGCAGCGGTGTTGCTGGCGGGACGAGAGTCGGTTGGGGAGGTGTACTGAGCAGGCGCTCTGCTCTCTGCGGGCGAGGAGTTGTATTGGGGAGACGCAACAGCGGCCGCAGCAGTAGTCTGGTCTGCAGCTGACTGTTCAGATTCTGGTTGCGCCAAGTTTGGAGATGCAGAGTTCAAACCTGACTGCGCGTAATCCGTGGCAGGTCTGTCCATATAATAGACTTGTCGCGTGGCCCTAACTAAATAGGTCCCCTGTGTATCCTCCGACAAGAACCTCGCGATATTAGCGGCGGGTGGCTTCGCTCAGTCCAGTCGATTTGGGTCAGGATAAATTATATGATTATGTATGTAGGCACGAAAAAAAGTGCCGGTTGAAAAGAAGAGCCGGTTAAGTCTCGTTTTTGACCGTACCAAAGCGTTCCTTTTTAGGTTCCAAACAGCGGGCACGAAACAGGGAGCTCAGGACCACGAACTAGTCCTGTAATAATAGGTTTGGCGAAAGGGAAAAGATGGTATTGTGGACTGCAGCCCAAACAAATGGCGTAGAAACTTGTGTTGATCTAAAACCACGCTTTCTTGGGGTGGGCTGGCGATTTACACTCTTTTTTAGTGGGCTCGGGTGGGAAAGTCCTGCAAGACGGTACCACAGAGTCGAGAAAGTAAATGCCCAAGATACCAAACCAAGAGTGTATCAGCCGTTTCGGTGCACGAAGTAGGGGTGCGTCGGTGGTTAATAGCGTGGCTCTCTAGTAGCAAGATACTGGTCTGTGCTGACCAAAAAAGTCGCGAAACACAGTAACCCAGTAGGGGAAAGACCGGTATTGGCGGAGTTTTGGCAGAGCAAGGAGGAGAAATACGACCGGAGTTTTCTCTGTATAGTTGGCTTTGAGACGATGGTGTCGCGGTGGCAATTGTCTCTGTTTTTGAACTAAAATTCGAGCCACTTGCAGCAAAGTTGAAATATTTTAGAGGAGCTAAGATTGGTCGTGTCTGGCGCAGTGGGACCTGCAGCAGGAGAAGCCGATGAAAAACTGGACGCGACCAAGAGGCCTGCTTGAGATAGCCGACGGACTGGGTTGAATCAAGGGTGGAACCGTTCCGCAGGGAATAGAGAACAAGCAATGAGGAGAGATAATGGTAGCGTGAAAAGACAATCCGGCGGACGCTTGTGCTTAGTTAAATGTACCGAAATGCAAAGCGTGTGCGGTGCGTATAAACGGTACTGGACCGTCTGAGTGGGAAGTAACTCAAATCAACCTGACGTCCCCTGGTTTGTTGGCGGATACGATGAAATCGATTGGAAGGGGTGGAGATCGTAATCTTTTTTTTCCTGCGCTTTTCCTTTCTCCTTTTGGTCACTCTTTACTCCACAAGGCAATGGGATTTGGATGTTATGGAAGGGATGATAAGGGTATTCAGATACCAGAAAACACACAGTTCAACGTGTGTTTTGGAGCCTACTAGGGTCTCAATGCCCTTTTTTTCTTCTCTCTTTCTCGTTCTCTCTCACCGATCACAAGAATTCTGGATGTCCCCTGCGCGTCGCCCTAGCCGGTAAGGAACTCGGCACTGCCAGATCGCGGCGCGCGGGTGTGGAGCTCGTCGAGTACTGGGTAGACAAAAACCGGACAAGGATTCGCGTCTTGGTTTTTGGGGGCCAAGTCCAGGCGCAATCCTAGCGATTAAATTTTTGGCGGACTCTGATAACCCGATGAAAAGCAACGGGGTTCCACTCTGCGAGAACTGGGTCTCACCCTTTCCGTTGAAAAAAAAAAAAAAAAAGTGTGCGGTTCCCCCAAGCAGGGGTCTGGAGAAATTGCTTTGCTTTGGCGGCGTCCACGGACGCAATCCAGTGGTTGGCTTGTGAGCAGCAGCGATTCCTGATTGCTCTCCAGAGCGACAGCCACACGGCGGCGAAAGCTTAAATGGTGTATTAGACTGCCCCCTCTGGCGGACGGCCAGCGGTAAGGCTCTGTGCTCCTGTTTGATCCTGATCGGAAGGCCAGCGACGGTGAGCTTGGGCCCCTCCTGTTTCTGCGAATAATGGGCAGCTGCTGAGACCCTTTTTTTGTTCTCTTGTGACTCTGTGAGGCCACCGACACGACCCACGCGTCCTAAACCTTTTTAGCCCCGAAGTTATTTTATTATTATGGCGGTAATTTCGCAGCCAGGGCGGCTGGACTCGTGGTTTGTTGCACACCCAAGGATGGAGCGAAGGTTGAACTAGTCGAAAGCGTCGTAGTGTGGCCGAGTAGCGTCAAAGGAGTGGTGCAGCGCGATAGCCTGAGATGGCTTTAGTGCGGTGGTGTGCGGAGGAGGAGGAGGAAGGAGGAGCTGCCGGGGGAGAAAAGGCGTGAAAAGTCAATCCGCACAGGCTCGGTTACGGACGCGCTAGTAACTTTCACCGCCCGGCCGTGGCGGCAAACTCAGCGGCGGCGCGCACGGGGAGCCCGCTGCCGCCCAATCACGCCGCGCCCGCCGCCCGCTGACTCAGCGCGCCTGTGGACGTACCGTAATTACGCGGCGCGGCGTCCGGCGCTGGCCCGCGGGCTTGCTGCTGGGCGACTTGCCGGGCTGCCTGGCCCATCCCGTTGCGCAGAAGGGAGGGGGCGGCACTGCCCTGCTGCCACGGCTGTAACTGTTGTTGTTGATGTGCAGCGCGGGCCTGGTGGCCGCATGGCGCAGATGCACGCGCAAACCCAGGCGGGCAACGCGCAACGCGCATCTAGTATTCTGGTATGTCGTATGTCATGGTACATACCTCCGCACACGCCGCAACCGCGCAATCCGCACGCACCCCGCCCCTTGCCACAATACGCTGGAGTATCGCCCGTACCGAGGATCAAACCCGACTTTCACAAGCTCCGGCGGCGGCGACGGTGGGCCACACTCGCCTCCGATATCAAGTTGTGGCTACATACACGCTCAGCACGCGCAGCCCGCGCTGGGACGTCACGCTGGGAACTTCATGCCCGATACGATCGCTATCTCGCTCGGGGCAAGGGAACGTCGCCGCAGCGCTGCCAGGTCGGCCGTCGCTTGCTGAAACGCCATGGTGATCGGATCGCGACTGCTGGACAAACAAGCGAGCCTGCAACCACAAGAGAGGCATTTGATGCCGCGTGCTTCCAGCTGGCCATGCAGCCCTCCATCCCTCCTCCTTGGTTGACAGGTTTTTTGTATACGAACCTCCGCGGCCAGACGTCCATGCGCGGCCCCTCTGGGCGTCTTGCGTGGATCGTGCATGATCAGCTGGCAACACGCCGCCCAGCCCACCGCGCAGCAGCAGCAGCAGCCTGCAGAGCATGGCAGACCAGACAGGACAGCATTTCTTACCCGTCGACGTTGCGATCTCCTGCGATGTCTGGCCTTTTCGACCTGCGCGCCGCAGAGCCAAGCGGGGTGAGCTCTCGAATACCACCCTAATCCCCACCCCCTGGCCACCCCGTCATCCCCAAGCTTTGCGGGAAATAATAATAATAACAGTTCAGCTCTTTTTGCTCCTGAATCCAAAACATTTTTCCCCCAGGAGTGGAGCCCATTTTGACTCCGGCTGTCTTTGTTTTTTTTCGCTAAAAGATGATCATTTTGAGAACCAATGGCCCCCGTGCTTTTCCTGGCCAACCGTCTCCCATGCACGTAACCCACTTGGTCGTAGGCGCAGGACTGCTTGCCATGCGCTACAAGCTTTCCTAGTGTTGAATTGATACGTCAGTTTGAGAGCCGTGAGCCCACGGCACCCACCGTTGGTTGCACTCTCCATCATCACCCAGGGCGGCTCACGGCTTAGTGCGCTGCCTTTCCGGCCTGCACCTGCTAGGGGCGCGACATGTCGACGCGGTCACGGGGCCTGTCGCTCCACTCAATACGAAGCGCCAGCAGCCAGCATCGATGTTGTCCATGCCCAGCCAGCCCAGCTGCGTCTTCTCCATCTCCTCGGGATTATTGCGTGAACCGCCATCGTTTTTCTCCAACGGCGGTGGAGTACAAAACGTCACGAGCGAACATGAGTAATGGCTTCACCCAAGCCGAGTTTGCATGAATACTCTGAAGCAGATGTTTACCCAAAAAACTTGAATCAAGTAGTGACAGAAGCACGTCCCAAGTAAATGGCGCCATTCCTGTTCGTGACCAAGGTAATTGATTGGGGAGTGGACCCGGGAATTTCAGCTGCTGATCGTCTCCTTGGTATCGTCATTGCAGCTCTGTCGCAGGCAGGCGCTGATCACAGGCATTTCTCCTTTTTTTTCATATGCATGGCTCTCTCATCCTTCGGCCATAACTTTTGCTTCTAGGCACGCCATATTGCCACTCTCATGCAGGCCGCGTCGGAGATGCATTTGGGCACCCACAACTTGAATCCGGAACTTGGTTCCTTTCCCCAGCCTTTTTTCTTCAAGACATTGATTCCTTCCAGCCCTATATTCCAAGGCTCGAAGCTTCAACTCACTTTTTTAGAGCGCTGGACTAACAGGGACCAGGGGAAATAATGCCCACCCGTCGAGCCTGAGGTTGAATTCTAGAAGCTCCCGCTTCCGGACTTCCGACTGCACCGTTTGGTTTTCGAGAAGATCATTTGTGCACTGTCAAACTCATGATGAGCGTTGATCCGGCCTTCGCAACTAATTCCGCATTGTGTATACTGGACACTGTACTACCGCCATACCGAACTCACAGTACATACGATCGTCGGGGCCAGATGTGAAATAAACGGCGAGCCGTGTGCGCGCATCACCAACATCAACTCGGCGACCTGCAGGTCTGCCAGGGTGCGAACACCCTTGATCCCGTAGCAAGCATCCATACGGCGGCATCGCTCGTACTGCAAGCGATCACCACTACTGCAACTGGGTGCACTACCCCGCGGTCTCTTCTGCCAACTAATCTTAGCGTGTTCCGGCGAGCGGAGACTGGGCCTAGCATTGAGTTCCCCAAAGAGCCGCGGCTAAGTGCTAGTTTGGCCGTGGCACCTGTCAGCCACGCCCCTTGTAGGAAAGCACGTCAACCCAGGCTGCGCTTTGGAATCTCTGGGTCGCCTATCAAGTTCTGACAAGATCATCGCGCGGAGCACGCCTCCTTGATCTTTTGGTAGCAGGCTGCTCAGGTGCCCCCCCTGGCTGCTGCCAGCAACGTGGGGCTCCAGCAACTCAGCAACTCTGGCGGGCGGTCGAGCGGCTAACACACTAGCCTCCTAAGCCAGGGTGCTGCAACACTGCGCCCGCTAAGAGAAGCATGGGGTTGCAAGCGTGATACCAAAATTACAAAACAACCTGGCCTCCGGATTCGGTGCCTGGGCTACCTAGTTAGTTCACTGCCTAACTAGCCAGATAGGCGCCAGCCCAAGCGGCGTTTTTAGCATCAGGAACAGTGCAATGGTTTGATGTTAGTATGAACATATAAGAATTGTTTCGGCGCGTCCCGCGATGACGACTGTAGCATGAATAAAAAATCAAGGTATGATGTATGCACCCCCAAACCCATCACCACGCATATCCCCCGCAACGTGACGAGCCACATCAAACCAGAGGCGGCCCCGGAGTGCCAGACACACATGTGAACAATGCATCCCGTCCGCAGTAACAGCAAAACCGTCTGGCCAGCCCGAGAATACGCCTGGGATTCCCCGAATGGGCAGTTCCTGGAAAGCGTGTGGTATGTGTGGCCGGAGAAGCCTCGAGCATTGGTATTTCGGCTTGGCGCCTTCCTGGCCTGCCGCTGCCCAATCAGCGCGACCTGCTGGGCGGCTGGATTCGTCCCGATTGAACCTTTCTCGCGACATGGTTCGCGAGCGAGCAGGTCCCTGCATCTCCCGCCCTTCTCCTCTCGACACGGGTCAGAAAGGCCAGAGAGAGGGGGGGCGGCATTGCCGGCTCGGAGTTACGGGCAACGAATGCGTCGTGCAAGTCGGCGTCCCGCATAGGAGGATTCTTATTTTCTGTGGAGGTGGATATGGCTGCTCCCCTATATGATATGCGCAGCTGCACACTACTACTGCTTTACTTACATCTTTCTCCGTACCCGCACATACATCTGAGGGGTTCGAGAAATGTTCTACGGAAGCTAGGCTGTCTCAGGAAATAGTAGGTGCTTCTTCTCCGCACAAAGTCGCACTTAAACAGCGCGATGACAAAAAAAAAAAATCCCTAAGCCGGGCGGCGGGCTGTCGCGCGGGCGTCCCGCCCCATCTGTCTCTCAGGGTGCAGGCTGGCTCAACCCGGCCACGAGTTGCCAAGGGCTCACCATATCGCAGGCCAATCCCTGGCAGTATCATCTCACAGTAACGGGGATGCCGGGCGCACCAAATTCAAAACAATTAGTGAACCAAGACCCTGGAACTCTAAGGGCGAGTAAATGACCAGTGCCACTGCTATTAATATATTTTTTTCGTGTTCTTTTTGTCTTTCTTCATTATTAGTATGGGATGCTGTTGTGATCTGAAAGAAAACACAATCAATAATAATAAGACGGCCTCGGCTTGACTGATGCTCCTCTCCACAAAAGACAAAAAAAAGCCACACGAGGGAAATTATTGCAAGTCGGTTGCTCGTGACGCAAACCGTTATTTTCCGATGTGATCTGCCTCATATGATCGGTTTCATTGCAGATGGTATCTGGATAGATGGAGGCGCGGAAGAATTCATGTACGGGAGGGGGGGCAGCCTTTAAGACAAGGATACTGTGCGAGATTAATCACTTGCGGAGAAAAGAGAGAGTATGCACCAATTACCGTTCGCATCTCGATCGACCTTGCGACTGGGGGGTGGAGAAAAACGTTGCCCTCTGCCCTCTTACCTCGGGAGTTTTCTCCTCTTCCCACCTTGTGCATCTCTGTTATCAACCAAAAAGAAAATGTCAGCTTTACGAAGCAGAAGATGTGATGCATCCACGCGTAGTTAACGGCCTCTGTATGGTCATGTTTTTTGTGCCAGCATGATGGCCGCCCCAACGACCGGGCAAAGATCACCGCCATTGGGCGCAGCACAATCCCACCGAAAGCTGCGCGGCCACCCGGATGCCCGACATTTTGGCAAAAAGATCAGTGTCGAGGGCAGGTCTGATCAGGCGCCTCGTTCGTTCCCCCGCGCGATTTGGGGTTTTTTCTTCATGCGTCAAGTCAGGAACGTCACATATATAATCGAGCTGGCGGGCGCGCGATTGGCTGCTCATATTGTTCAATGCTGGCGTAAAAAGCCCGCATAAGAATATTTTGCGATGGGAAAGCTGATTCGCCCAGGCCGAAACAACTTGGACAGGGAACCCTCCACTGCGCTCTCCCCCTCTTGCTATCTTTTCTGATGCACGCCCTTCTTTTTTTTCTTTTTTTTTTTTTTCTTTCGTCTTTGCTTTTCTGCGGCCAGCCTAAAACGATCGACCCCGGACTGAGCACTAATATCAGCTAGAATTTTCCTTCGCCTAGCAACTGCCCATTCTGGCCCGGAGCCAGCGCCCCTTGCTTTTTCCTAAGCGTCAGGCGAGTGGATGCCCATCAGATTGCGACACAACTAGGGCCGTTTCGACGGCCGCCAATGATGGGCCATCGGGCTGCTATTCCCGTCCCATCCCCCTGCTCTTGCGCTATCAGCTAGCCGCATCTGCCACGTGAGAAAGTAGCTTTCCAAGAGCCGGTGGAGCGTGTTGATAAGTTACACCGTATCCAATATTATTACTTTGGTGCTCAGATGCAGGATATTTTATTGTTGGCCTCAGCCGGCTCATAACAGGAATAATTATAATGGCTAACCACAAGGTCCTCCGGTCCTCGCCCGGCCAGGGCTGATGTCATGAGTATGGCCGTCATATGCCACGGGCCACCCCGGCAAAAGCGACCTGCCCATTTTGTGTTTCAGCAAGAGGTTGCAGGACCACATTTTCACGTTCACATAACTACTACTACTACTACTAACTACGGTGTGGAGTCCAGGCTCTCCATGCCCTTGTCAGTTGCATAGACAACATACAATATCCCCTGCGCGATCTGGAAAAAAAAATAACAAAAATGAGGCTGGACCTCGATACATACATATGCAGACGCTTACTACATGGTGATGAAACCAAACTATTAGCAGATGAAACTTCAACCTTCGGAATCCTTCTTGAACATAGATGTGTAATAATAATAATTAGGCGTGTAGGTGAAAAGGGGTGGGCTGCCGCCGTTATCACTTTTTATCAAGGGATTCGTTTGCAAGGATTCTGACCAAGCTTGTTGAGGAAGCCCAGCGCGGCTCCTTCTTGCAACTCTCACGTCAAATCGCGCATAGGAACTCAACAGCGGCCCAACCAACTAACCGCGCGACGTGCTAGCTAACTAACGAAGGCGGCTCAGTAGTGAGTCGGATTAGCCGCACGGCCGCTACCTGTTAGCGCCGACCCCCACTGAGCAGTCGGAGACTTCTAACCTTAGCTCTGGTGCGCGCGAGCGCTGGGGCATGGAATTAGTTACGTGCGTGCGCACTTTTTAGGCGTCATCTTGCCGCTAACCTGCTACTACTACCTAACCAACTAGTTCACCCCGTCCAGCGGTGCCTGCTACCCTGCCGGCTTGGCCGCTCTGTAAGGCTTCTCCGAAAGTAGACTTTTGATATTGGATGTAACTGCCCATGCTTTCCGCAAGTTGCTATCTCCGCGGCGGTGGAGAGAGAGGGGAAGTTAATTTTTTTTCTAGAAGGATACTTGAAAGCCGTCTTGCAACCGGGAAACGCGGAATTTACCCGGTGGGATTGATCAAAAATCACGCTGGGATGTTGGGCACGGCTCGAGATGTTGGCGAAGACATCCAGCGAGATATTCCACATCCAGCCCCTATAGCTACCGGTGTATGCTCAAAAACGCCCCTGAGTCTATTATTATTTCTAATACAAGAGCTTTTCTGGCTATCCACTCAAGCCACCGCCGTACTGTCAATACCTCATGACTGTGATGTGTCGCACGATATTTGTCATGACAATCCGCCCGGAGATCCTACAACTTATCCATACGGAAATCCGAGGGCCCCAGGCTCTAGCGCCATATTTCAATTGCCGATTAACAATTCGCCAGGGCGTCTATATGTGCCCCTTGTATAGGAAAACATAGCGTGTTTGTCGCAAGTGCATCCGTAATGAACCTCGCCGATTAGTAAGACGCGCTTAACTAGAGCCTCCTCCCGATCTGGGGACTCACGACCATGGGCCCATGGGGACGGTACTCTCTAGGGTAATACTCCAAGTAATACCAAGCAATATGGCTTCTGTTTCGTTTACTTTAGCTCCAGAAGCTATTCTACAATTCCATGATATCCTAGTGTGTTTGGCGAAGTTCAATGATGCGGTGTCCATCGAAGCAGAACATGATTTTGTAAAAAAGAATACCCCCTCCCTCCCCAAAAATCCCAGTACACTTTTCTGCTTCTGAAAGTAGATGGGACTAACGAAGAGAATACCAGCTCCGCTTTTCTACGTTGAATGCCACAAAGTCTGGCTATGCCTCGTTCAGATTTGATGCTACCTCGTTTTTCAACGAGTACTCGTTCGATGGCTCCAGACGCGGCAGTGCCATGACTTCCAATGCGCGAAGTGGAGCGAGAAAATTGTCGTGCCAAATATACATCAAGGTCTTACTTAAACGCTTCCTTTCTTTTGCAATGCTTTATCTCAGGGGCTGACCAGCCCCAGGCGCTACTATCCGTATTCAAGGGTAGGAGTCTCGACTTCAAAGACAAAGACACGGCTGTTGAGCGGTGTGAGGTTCAAATATTTGATGAACCAGACGAAACTGAATGTAGAGCTGTGATACGAATGATATGCAAGCATGGTGAGAAGCGATGTAACCGTGTTGTTTTGTTTTACCTGGTGGTTAATGACAATATATAGGTGTTGTCAAAACATCCAAGTTGACGTACGAATCGGTGGAAGTTAAACATGCTGTATTCGACAAGTCCAAGACAAAAAATAAATGGGCTATAAATTCAAAATTTCTGAGAGAAATTGTGGAATATTTTGGTCCGTCAGCTGAACAGTTAGATATATTCACAGACAACGGGAAAGCTATTTTTACCAGCTTTACTACAAAAATTACCAATGGCAAAGGCAGGTGGTCCTAAAAGAACCCAAGAATCAATTATAAAACAGATCTAACTGTTCACTTTAGAAATTTTAAAGAAACCCGTGCATACCTCTGTCTCCATCAATATTCGAGATTTCGAAGAGTGCGCTGTCGAGGAGAGACTACACGTTGCAACCAGCGTTAAAGACTTCAAAGCAATTATAATCCATGCAGACACCTTAAAAACCCTGATAACTGCACGATATACTAAGCCATGCCGGCCCTTGCAGCTTTCCTACCAGTCAGGCGGTGTGACGTGCGAATTTACTCTGATGACGAGAGGAGAGGCCGGAGATGCAGACGCTGCATCCAACGCTGATACCCGCGAGCTCTCTGCTATGCCATATTCTAAGCCTCCACAGACGGCTTCTGTCAATGATGAAACAAACGTTACAGCTGCCGAGATAGATGCTCCAGAGAATGAAGTTGTTCCAAGGCCTTTCCATGGGGCTGCTATTCAAGATACACCGCAAGAGTTACCGCCAATAGGGGCATCCTTTGATCGAGATAGTTTGTTCGTTCCACTGGACGATGATCGCCAGTGGGACGAGCCTCAGTATGAGGAAGAGCAGGAAGACATCCTTGGTTGGGATGCAAATCTGGATCAGGTAAGAAAATCCGGCTGCCTGTCACTCGTCGGTTCGTTCATTTCGTTGATATAATCCAGGGCTCGATGCAAGCACGTCTCGTTGAAACTCGCCAGGATCACCCAGCTAGAACTATAAAAGGAGAGAAGCGAGATGGGGAGTTTGAGCCTCCGGCAATTCCCCCTACGCAGCGAATATCTCAGGTATGTCTTGCAAACACTTTTCATTCGAACAATCTGACCACTGTAGATACGAGGTCTGTTTGACTGAAGTGGTAGTACACCTGCTCAGCTGACGGCGCCGACAATTGGGTCGCAATGCGCCATGGGGCAAGTTCGTTCGCAATAGTTGCTATTGCATGATAACCCTGTGCTTCTATGCAAAAGCCAGCTTTTCACATAATTTTACTCTACCGTCAACCAGCTTGTGGCGCACCCTGCCCCAACGACACTAATGACTGGCTCCGCACCATGATCGAATGGAACCTTTGCATATCGACCAGCCACATTGCCTTGGTCGTCCGTCTCTGCGCCACAGTTGCCGTGCTCGCCCCAGCCAAAGGCAATAACCTCCTTCTTATCAATGACAGCAACAACGTGCTCGCTACCAACTCCAATTGATGTGGTATCAGGGATTTTAGGTGGTGGTAGCTGCCCACGATCATTTCGACCCCATGCCATTATTCTTCCACTTGAATTGTGGCTGTATATACCGTGCCAGCTTGCTGCAACCATTGTATAGCCCCCCAGATTCAACGGAGCAGCAGATTGTATGCCCCATTTATCTGAACCAAGGACTAGCAGAGAGCCATCCTTTTGGTCCCCAACGAATGCAGTAAATTCTCTTCCACATGCAACTTGTCTTATTGCAAAAGGAACATCGATTCTCTGTGGAGACCAGCATATCTTCTGTTTGATGTCCGGTTCTCCAAGTTGGCCTTTCCTTGCATTCCCCCAGCCATAAACATCTCCATTAGATAGAACAGCAACTGTATGCCCAACACTGCCGGAAAGACAAACTACCTTGGTCCCCTCGGGCGGAAAGCCAACCATGCGCATGGGCACTTTTGCCTCCGTGACATTCTCCCCGAGTCCCAGCTCTCCTTTCATTCCAACACCAGCCACGTAAACGTGCCCAGTATCTTTCTCCACAAAACAAGAGGACTCCCAAGTTGCCGACACGGCAGCAAATCGACATACGATCCTCTCACCGTCGCGAATAATGACCCTGCTAAACTCCAGTAACTCCTCTGCATCATGCGCACATCTTCCGCTTCCATTGGAGCCAGCCGCATACACCGCTCCAGACCCATAAATAACCAGGGAATGGTTCCCTCCTGCTGCCAGATGGGTAACAAGGTCCTTTTCACGGCTATTCGGGCAGTTGGCGTTGTCATTTTTATCTATGAAAGGATCTGGTCGAAATAAACATCTGGTCGGCTGAGAGACGTCATCTTTATGGCCTAGGCCGAGTTGCCCAGACCCGTTTGAGCCAAAGGAGTAGAGCTGCATCCTGGAATTGATTGCCTTTTAGGTTTTCCTTTTTTTTTTGTTGGTGGGGGTGTATGGAATACTTTGTACCAAAATTAGAAACTTTATCACCCTTAGGACAAGAGATCTAGGTTTTAATCATATTATTCGGATTCGGAGTATCTGTGGAGGCCCTTTTGGGCCCGCAGCGGAGCGGAGGAAGTTTTGTTGAGGCCAGTGTTCCACGCGGGGCGGAAATTGATAGTCACGTGTAACTAGTTATTGAGACCTGCAAGGACATGCGCAGAAACGCGCATTGCATTATTATTGTAGTCCTTGACACAGCCTACTCTAGCCAATCCTATCCTACTATGTATATTCTGGCGAGACCCAATGGGCATGTTCAAATACCCCATATCTCTATAAATCGCTGTCTATTTCATACTGTGTTGATGCACTACGCGGGAATACTATGTTGTATAGTCGTATGTACCCCGTATAGAGTAAGTACTCATAGGTTAAGATCATATTTTAAAGGTAGTAGCTCTATATGTTTTGCTGGTGCCTTTTATGAGAGCTAATTCATAGAGAAAGGCTGGCCTGAATCAAGTATACCAGCCTAATTCCTGACCGCCTTGCAGGAGTAACTTAAAATAAAAATCTTCGGAGAGATGACAGATATAATGACATATTGTATATTAAACTCTTTGAAGTAATGATGTCGAAGATATCCGAGATTCCGAGGGCGGCAAAATTGCCTATAAAAAGGAGTAATACCAGGACGACAGCTCCATCCGTAGGGCTGGAATTGCGGTGAGAAGAGTGGAGAGAAAATGCCCGCTAACAACAGTAAATGCCCGGGAGAAGCGGTTTGGATGCCCAGAACGACAAGGACATGGTCAGCAACACACTTTCTTGCCGGATCGGGAGACAATACGCCGGAAACTCAGTATGGCGCGATGAATGCAGCCGCGAATGTCAGGCTCCTTTGTTTGTTCCACGAAAGGCGACTCGCAATGTCGGAAAATACATCCATCCTTGGGTCGATGGCGGGGTCAAGATTGTTATTCCCGCATAGTATTTCGAGGATCACAAGGCAGAGAGAAAGCCAGTGACAGTATCTCCTCGCGCGCCAAAGTAAATTATATTTCAGATCACGTAGGCCGGAGTTGAAGACAGAACCCACTTTTATATTATTAGGGTTCTGGATTCGTGTTGGGGCGGCGGTGGGAGGGGAATCCGAAGTCGCGACGGTCCGTTCCATGCTGGTCGTTCATGCGGGCTAAAAACCGCCATTTGTGGAACCTAAAGCTCCCATGCTCTCTTGCTCTCTGGCCGACACACAGCACGCCGCCCGCCAATGCCACCGCGATCTCGCACCACGTCCTGGCATCGGGCTTCTCGCGGCGATATTTTGGCCGTTGGCCAGGGCGGATTGATGCCAAGCCGCCGTTGCGTGCGAAGTGGGCGCGTCGCGGGGCTGTGATAGGCCAGACGGCGGGCGATGATGTTGCTGCTTCGACGCCCTGGCATCGCAAGCTGTTTGACCAGCAGGAATTGCTGCGCTTGTTTCGCGTCCGCTCCCGGCCAGTCCGTCGTCAGCTCGCGGGATGCCGGCTGCCAATTGCCCGTCTGGGTGCCGCAGAGGCGAGGGTGCCGCGTAGGAGCCCCCACAGTATAGGTATGCGGCCCCGGCGCCGGCAGCAGCAGGCCGGGTGTCTGGATGGGCATACATGCACATGTCCAGCACGCACCACCGCCCAAGATCCCAGCAGCAGCAAAGTGCCGCGTTACTAATCACTGCAGGAGGCAACCTCCGTCTGCCCAACCCCTCCTCGCCCCCCCTGCCCCTCCTTCCCTTCTGCTGCTGAACAACGCACCTCCCGCTCCACTCCCTTCACTTCACCTCACTTCCCTCCTCTCTCTCTCTCTCTCTCTTCTATCTTTTCTGTTTATCCTCCATCTTCTGCGCTGGGAATCTTCTATTCTTGATTCCTACTCTCACCGATTCTTTTCTACCCACCTTCTGCTATCAAAACAACCACACCACCGCCATCATGGTTAAGAAGGCTGTTCACTTTGGTGGTGGCAACATTGGCCGTGGCTTTGTTGGTGAATTCCTTCATGAGTCTGACTATGAGGTCGTCTTCGTTGATGTGATGGACTCGATCATCGATGCCCTTCAAAAAGCATCGTCCTACAAGGTCACTGAAGTTAGCAACGAGGGAGAACATACCAAGACCGTCACCAACTATCGTGCCATCAACTCCAAGCACAACCTTGACGATGTCGTGAATGAGATCTCCACCGCTGACATTGTCACCTGCGCTGTTGGTCCCAACATCCTGAAATTCATTGCTTCTCCAATTGCTAAAGGCATTGACGCCCGCACCATCGAGAAACCGCTCGCTGTTGTCGCTTGTGAGAACGCCATTGGTGCTACCGATAACCTCCATGGATTTATCAAAGAACATACTGATGCCTCTCGCCTCGAATCCCTTCCTTCTCGAGCCCGATTTGCCAATTCCGCCATCGACCGCATCGTTCCCACTCAGGACCCCAACGCGGGCCTCGACGTCAAAATCGAAAAGTTCTACGAATGGGTTGTGGACAAGACTCCATTTGGTGAATGGGGACACCCAGACATCAAAGCTATCCACTGGGTTGACAACTTGGAGCCATACATTGAACGCAAGCTTTACACTGTCAACACTGGACACGCTACCGCTGCTTACTACGGTTACAACATGGGAAAAAAGACTATCTACGAATCCATGAGTGACGAGAAGATTCGCGGCCATGTCAACGATGCTCTCTCCGAGACCTCGGCTCTTATTGTGGAGAAACACGGCATCTCACCAGAAGAGCAACGCAAGTATGTCGAGGCTATCATCACCCGTATTTCCAACCCCCACCTCGAGGATGTTGTTCAGCGCGTTGGTCGTGCTCCCCTTCGCAAGCTCGGCCGCAAGGAACGTTTCATCGGGCCCGCCTCTCAGTTGGCTGAGCGTGGAAAGAAGGTCGACGCCCTGTTGGGTGCTCTGGAACAGGCATTGCGATTCCAAAACGTCCCCGAAGATGACGAGAGTTCCGAGCTCGCTAAAATCATGAAGGCCGAATCCGCCGAGGCAGCAACCACCAAACTGACCGGCTTGGAGAAGGACCATCCTCTCTTTGCGCGTGTCGTCGAACGCGTTGCAAAGGTCCAGGGCGAATCCAAGTAAGATTCTACTAGCTAGTTCCTTACATACCATGCTGGTTTCGGCTTGTGGGTAAACCTTCGGCTGTAGCTCACGATTACACACGAAAACAAAGCACCCGACAGACGTAACAACCTTCGGATTTCGACCGATAAGCAAAGGTGCCTCGGAAGGATAATGACTTTATGGGAGCATGAGGCTATTTCTCTTTTTTTTTCTCTTTAAAAAATACCATGGCATGGGCTTACAAATGCATTGACATTCAAACTTCTCTTCAGTTAGCTAGGCGGCTCTGCTCTCTATTAAATGACCAAATAATCAAAATGCAACTTTATCATACATAATTTTTCTCTTTTGTGGTGCAAAGGGAATTTACAACATGATGTCATTACCAGCAAAACTTGGTTCCTGGTTCAGCCAAGAAGTCTGTGTAGATCCTCAGTAAGTATATACTCACAACAGACATTGACATAGAACGTTGTAATGCTTGATTTGATACAGGGGAACTTCTAGTAAAGATATTATTATTGAGGGTTATGAAAAAAGCCACGCGTCAAAGCTGAAATCTCCCATGCCCCTTCTAAGAGGTAAAGCCGAAGCTGGTCTAGAATTTATGTAGAGGAGCTATTTTGAGTGGCATTTGTGAGGTTTGCTATCGCATACGCAAGCCCAACTTGGTATGTGATTGGGCATCGTGATGTCTTCACCCATGCTCTTCAGGTGCGAAAAATCACGCAGCGTGTCTTCGTGAGCAGCCAAAGAGACGTTGGACGGTCTCGATCGATTGAGGGGCTCGGTTGATAGCGAGCCGATAAGGTAATTTCCATACGGTACAGTACGGCGCATTCCGCCTGCGATAACACAAACTTTCCCGGGAATACAGCCGTAATACCCACTTAACTAATACACGCGCAGCCCCTCACCAACACGGTGGCGGTGCAACGACCGCGATACGACGGGGAAGCCAGCGTCGCTGTGAGTGCAGGGCAGGGCAGGGCAGGCCGGGGCGGGTGACCTCACAGGGCGGACCGCCAAACCAAGTTCTCGCAGGGCCGTCGACACGCTGGCAAACCACCCAGCGTCCCCGTCCCCGCGCGCGCCATGATGTCAGTGGCCCTCTCGTAGTTAGTCGTTTGCCCGGCGCGGGTGCATGTGCCGCATGCCCCGATCTGGCGGCCCTCTCGCTGCCATCAATAATCGTCCTGTCTGCCTGCATGTACCACGGACTCTGGCCGGCCGCGGGCAGCCGCAGCGTTGGCTCGTACCTGTACTCCCGGCCCACGGATGCGCCCGCCCATCCGCCAGGATCGGAGCGAGGCCAGATAAACCCGCAGTTTTCCCCCGCCGGCCCCCATTGGGCTCTGACTCTGTGCGTATTGTTCGTCTGGTCGCTGGGGAGAGGCTGCGTCTGCGGAGGCTGCCGGATTTCGGATTTTTGCTGGGACACGCGAGACACACAGCACGGTAAGTTGTCCTGGCGTTTTGGTTCTCGCAGAGCTGGCGTGAGCAAACTGGTTGTGAACCATGGGTCTTGGGGGGTGTGAACTAGCCTGGTCCAAAGCTTCACCTTGTTTTGGCCTCGACAAGGTCTTTTCCTTGGGCTGTGGCCAATGTGTCAAGCATTTGTTTCTTCCTGCTTGTTTCTGCTCGTGGTTCTTCCTTTTTCCATACAAACAGAGACTTTGTCTTTCACACCTGTCCTGTCACAGCCAGGGAGTGAGACATACGGTCCAATGCTCGGCTTCATCACCAGTGACTCCGGAATTTCTACTCTAGATGCTAATTACCTGGCTTCAGACCCGAGTCTCCGAGAGCAGCGCTCGACGTCAAGCCTCACGCTCCTATAACCCGACGAGTCCACAAGCGTTGAGCCAGACAACTTACAGTCTTCGAGATTCAGCCAAACCATGCCCTTCGAACCCCCTCGATCCCTCTTGACGCCGTTTCCGGAGCCTCTTCCGCTCTATACTCCGCGTCAGTCGGCCCCAAACGAGTGGGAAACCGCCTCCGTCCGTTCGGATGCTCCCTCGTACGTCTCCGCAGCACCCTCATACCATTCCTCTGCGCCGCCGCATCACTTGAGAGCCTGTGATCTTGTCCCAGAGCCGGAAAACAGTAGGCCGAGGGGAGATATTTTATCAGAGCCGTCGTCCTCTTCATCTGGTCCTTCACATCAGACTGGACTACCCTCCCCCCAGAGATATGCTCCTGGTTTCGAGAGCAGAGGTGGGGATCTGTCACATACCAATATTCGATCGCTGTATAGCATTGCCGAATGGGTTCCTGTTACTGGAGGTCTCCAAGCCCGCCATTATCAGAATGTTGCTAAGAGGCGGGTTACGAACCTGACGAGATCTGGCTTACCCGCCCTGACGCTGGCCCCTCCAGAGCCAACGCACGTTTCGCGATACGAGAACACAAGTACTCCCGATGGACTTTCAAGGCGCTTTACCACCCCAGCCTTGGGTGTTGGTAGCTCAAGCGCGTTTGGCGAAAGTCATAATTTGTCTTCTTCCAGCCTGATAAACGGTCCTAACCCAAGACCTGTCTCACCTCCAGTCGCTGCCGGGAGCAGTACTTCGGTGGATTACCATCCAGGCGCCCAATCCGTCGAAAACCTTCCATTCTCCCCCCTCGAAGACCCAGACCTGGTTGGAGAAGCCGCCGCGGCGAGATTTCGTTCCCAGCGCATCTACCGAGTGCTGCAGCAGGAAGAAAACTCCTTGCAGGAGAGTCAACCCTCGGGCTCAAACTCTCGACACCAGGAGCTCAGGCAGGCCGCCCACGTGTACCAATACAGCTCATTGATCACGGACGCAGACAACCCGCGCGTTCACCAGCGGCCATCCACGGCGCCTGATTTGTCCACCGAGACCACCGATGCAGACGAGCCCGGGCCATCGTACCATGTCGCGCGCACACGCCAGCGGTCCAACACCGTGGACGACTACGACGAGTGGCTCCGCGCTCAAGAATCAAGAACGTGGGACTGTATGATGGAGCAGATGGCGGAGTGGGAGGCGCGGCAGCGCAGCTGGAAGAAGTTCAAGGACGAAGTGGACAAAAGATTGAATTCTAGCCTTAAGAAGGGAATGGGTTGGGGCGCCTGGTCGTCTTCGTCCAGCGACGGGAAGAGGAAGTTGAAGAAGGAGTTTGGTAGCCATCCGAGAATGAAGAAGTGGAAGAATAAGGTCGGCTTGGCGGGTTGAGAAAGCTGTGGATTCGATTGTTTCATGATGCCTTCTGCCATCTACGAGCCCATGGATCCCCGGTCTTGCATTTTTTATCTTTTGCCTTTTGTTTTCTTTTTCCAAATTCCGGTGCACCTTGTGGAGCTGGCAAATACTAGCACTCTTTTCCTAGCGAAATGAATTGGGTATAAGATGGATTTTGGATTTAGTAGCATGGCCCTCTAGCCTCAAAATCTTTATGGAATATGACTGTTATGATGAATGAGAAACTGCTTTTGATTGGTGTATGCTAAAAGCTGTCTTCATAGGTATCAATGCCGAATAATTGGCAGGAAGGGGGAAAATAAATATGTTCGGGAGTTTGTAACTATATCTCAGGGATGACAGCATTTACTTCAAACAGTACTTGCACCTAGACTGGCAAGCTAGCGCTGACAATTATCGAAGGTGCTAGCGGTGCTTTCGGGAGCCAGCGCCCGCCCAAGGTTAAACGGCAAGCGTATAGGAGGGCATATCTCATGTTCACGCAATCAGCTCACTGGTTTATACAATGCATTCGGCGTAGACTTAAACTAACTACCGAAGTGGAGAAACCGCGGAGTAAAGACAAATAGGTGCTCTTTCGGGGGTACAAAATTTCATCTTTGCAGCCTAGGAAAGAAACGAAACTTTTGTCACGAAGCTTGGGTACTCGAAAACGACAGTAAGAAGAGGTATAGAACATGATCGAATAGTTGAGCACCAAGGAAATGTCCGAAACACAGCTATTTCGTTCTTCCTTCAACTGTATAGTCGTAACCAGAATTTAGAACGCGACGGTCTTGTGAACAAATACGAATATTGCTTGGAGTGTGTTTTATTATCTAGAAGCTTGCTGGGTCGATGGCTTTTGAAGTAACCCCCAGCTTCTAGGGGTCAAATCTAGGCGGACGTTGGCTCCGGGGTAGCAGTCGGCTCCACGGTGGATTGAGAAACTTCGGAGGATTCAGAGACTGAAGAGTTTGGTGTTGATGGGGAAGCTTCGCTGGGGGATGGCGATGGAGAGCTGGTAGGTGCTGGGGGGTTGTTTTGTTGGGACTGAGGGCCGCCGGAGGGGACTTGAGCGCCATTTCCTGGGAACTGAAAGCCACCGGAAGGGAATTGAGCACCATTTCCCGGGAACTGGAAGCCACCAGATGGGAATTGAGCGCCATTGCCTGAAAACTGAAAGCCGCCCGATGGGAATTGTCTTTCCACGAGCTGTGCGGGGGCTTCGCGATCTATGAAGCGTGTTACCGATTAGCTTAATCAAGCGGAGGAATATTTATCAAGGGATAGGGCCAATGGGTTACAGACTGATAGCAGCGGATGCGACAAGACCTGCACAGAGCAGAGTGAGCAGAGCCTGGAAGTACATGGCTATTTCAAGAGAGATGTTTTGTAATTTCTATAGAAAGATTAGCTATGAAGATGTGGAAAAAGATTGTTGATGGCAAGTTAGCCTCACAAAGATATGTTTTGGAGTCTGAGAGCTGATAGATATTGTCGTCTAGTTTGCTTTGCTCACAGCTTCCTCCTTCTTATGGCGGAAGCAGACAAGGTTTTATATTTCTAACGGATGGCATCGTCCTAGTATCCTCGGCGATATCGCTGGAAGCTATGGTAAAGCCCGAGTCTAATTGAGACTGCAGCCCTTCCCGTTTTCGAGAGTCGTACTTCTCTTGATACTGCATATCTTCTAACGGATCCATGGTCTAGTACGGCGCGCGGTAGCACAGCATTTGCGCCTGTGAAACGAAGGGCAAAATAAGAAAGTCCACCCTTTAGGATCAGTTTCCTATGGTGCTCTTAGATGACAATCGTCGTGGAAATTTTAGTTACAGCTGGTGAGCTGCCGGGCAGCTGTAAGCAAATTCAGCGTAACTAGGGGAATGGCTTGTATGTACTCCGTGAGTACATACGAAGAATGCTATTACCCATCTCAATTCGCACGCTATCGCCGTACGTGATAAGATTCGACGAGGCTGTGAAGCAAGATCCCGTCTTTGATTGACAGAATAACGGCAACAGGGACGTGCGGTAGCATGTGCGTCGTCATCAGCATCCCAGAGACATGAAGTGCGGGTTCTTCAGTGACTAGTTATGTGGGAGACCTGCATTGCAATACTGCCGTCAGCTCATCAATGTTCTGAGCCGTGCAACGATAATCGAAGCACATTCGCTGCCGTTCCAGGATCAGCAGCCCACGTCGATCTTGCAGCCCAAGTTGATTATCTTCGAATGTGGGCGGTTCGGCTTTCGAAAAGTGAACGAGGTGAATATCGACAAGAACAGCGGGCTATTCTGAACGTCTGTACTCCGTATGTAGACTGCCTGCCGCCACTAGATACCCAACACCAATCAGGGCGTGCCATACGCGGCAAGTCCGTACATGCCGGAAAATACGGAGTGATCAGCTACATTTATCCAAAGTGCTAGGGCATTGATTTGCCTTGCACTAATTGTAGATCCGGACGTTGAGAAGCCGTGTCAGCAAGCGCTGAAACGAAGCAAGTTGCGGATCGCGGAAAAGCCACGGTGTCAAGAAGGGAAGAAAGAGAAGCAAATGCGTTGAATCATAGGAAAACCAGGAGGGATAGGTATAAGGGAGAAAGCATAGCGTAGATAATATGGAATGCTGAGTTTTGTGAGGTCGATATATACTTGTCCTGAGACTGGTGGAGACAATTATGACAGGCGTTGCAAAGTTTCAAGAGAATGCGACTCCAGGAACGAAACGTTAAGTAGTGTCAATCACCAACGCTGATGTCACAATACAGTAATATGTTAAATATGGGAATACCCGGCCGCGGCATTTGACTCAACACGAAGAATACAGTGCTAGGTGGTATTATTGACAACATACTAGCATTTCACAAAAGTTGTCAGTTAATGGTAATATTTGAATGCCGATTCATACCATCTAAATCGGTCGTAAATTGGAGATCAGGAGGTGAAAGAAACAATGAATGGTCGGACAGTAGCGATCTCTAATCGACTTAGTAGTTCCATCGAAATGCCTATCTATTGATAGAGTATTGGGGGCGAGTAGAGTAACGGTTCTATCAAAGCAAGGCTGGATTGGTATATAATAAGGAGGATGTGGCGCTGCTGTTAGCAGGGTGGGTGAAGATATGGTGAAAAAACGTCGAATTATTGTCTGTCTATACTCAGCCCAGAGAACGCCATCCCATTGCGCACATGTTCACGCTTCCCAGGCGTAACGCCACCGAGGCCCAAAAAAAGCCCAAGTCTCGCAGAAAGGAGTCGATAAGAAGAAAAACAAAATTTAGCATGGAGTAGAGCGACATGCAACGAATAATCCGAAAACACCCTCCCATTATATATGTTGTGAAATTGGGTTTCTCAAAGAAGTCCCTACACTCATCAAGCCTTTGAAATCCAACCACTATGGACCATAAAATCGTAGAGTCGACTCGATTTGGCTCCATCAATCTAGTAAAAGTTTAGGTAAATGTTTTTCGTTTTACCATAATATATTAGAGTATGAGGGAGAAAGCTCACTTTGCACATTGCTCGCGCATCCTTTTTCTTTAGGCTTCCTCCTTGCTTCATGGCCTCTTTTATCATATGTTCCTTAATGACAATATATGGTTTAGGCCGCAAATGTAATATATTGCATAATTCCACCTCTTCTTTTGATAAAAGGTGGATATCGGGGACTTTTTCGTTTTCTAGTCTCCAAGGAGTAGTTCCATTGATTGGAGGAACGACAAATTTGGCCTTTGATAACAAAGGGGTGGGTGCACCATTTAAATTTGCACTAGCAAGCGCTTTATCAAATTCATTGAGGACAGGTGGTGTTTCGATTGGGGAGAGTATATTCTGTAACCGCAAGGGTAGTTGGGGCATTGTTAATTGGGCAGCAGCGGAAGGGCCTTCAGGCTGTTGTTGTATTTTTGGCCGTGCACTGGCAAGACGATCAAAGGCACCCTGTGGAACCACTCTCTGTGCACGTTGCGCCTTTTCCTGTTCATACTTATCCCCAGCTTTCAAGTCCCCAATCCCCATTGTTCTCCATTCTTGCAACTGCGCAATTGCTATTCGAAGATTATGCTCATATTCTAAGCCTTTTGTGAACTCCTCAAAATCTTCATGGCTCATCATTCTAGCGAAGGGTTTTGCTTTGTTTAGTAGGTCACGCTCTTCCTTAGTCCGCTTTTTATCCATAGCTGCATTTCTGCGATACTCCAATAGATTATGTTGGAACAAGATCTTCTTGCGCTCGGTTCTTGCTGTCAAACGGGAATTATAAATGTCTTTTACGGTCATCTTAAGTTCCATCTCAGCATCCAATTCTCCATTGGCATTTAGACCATTTCCTGGCTCAAATTGCATATGCTGGACTGCTTCCTCGGCATCGTTCGCAAATTCAGTCTCAAATTCTAAGCGACCAGGCATATAGCCTTGAACTTCATGACAAGCCGGTACCGAAGCGGTAGGTTTCTGTTTGGGGGTTGCTGGAGGAGCGGCTTTAGCGGCTTCTTTTCTTTCTTCAATCCGTCGTTTCTTGCGAGCCTGAAATTCCTCTTTCGGTATCTCCTCTTGTAACGATTTATCGCTGGGATCCGCAAGCTCGGGAAGCGGAAAATTGGAGCTGTTTATGTAGATTTCAGCATAATGATCGCGAACTTCCTCCTTTGTCCGGTAACCTCCAATATGATCTGCAATGTCGGCCCAGGAGCCTAAACCATAGATTTCAGCACCCTCTAAAAGTAACAGCTCTTCGTCGGCACCCCAATCGGCAGCGTAGATAGGAACGGAGTTCTGTTCGATTACCGAGAATGGATGGGTACGTGGGTCATGGTTCTTTGAGTGCTGGCCTGCAGCAAAACATGGAACGCAAAGGTCATATTCGTGGCAAGCGGAATGCGCGCAAGATATCCGTACCTAAGCTCGGCTCTTAGTTAGGTGAACAGGCCATACTGATTTGCAGGGCGCCGTGTTTACCGTGCTGGTGACGTCGACAGAGCAGACGTCACAGTGATATTTGGTTCCACCATCTGTGCCGCGCGCTGCATTCTTCTTCCTAATAACACCCATTATTATAGCATTTCCCTCCACTGTATATTATCTCAACCGCGTCACAATGCTAGGTGGCGGGTATCGCGCTCGTCTCTCACTGGTAGAGAATACCAGTCACGGATTAAAACACTTGGCCACCGCCTTTGAAGTAGTACAATCAGCGCCTAGAAAAGGTATTGAAGATAGTGTCGATGTATGAACGTCAAGCTTCCGGCACCTCTTGCCCTCAGTATGTAATGTGGTTCTCGTATGGCAATACTAAATCCACGGGCCGACCTAGCTCCGTGGGTCTTGTGCAACGATTGGCTAGCCAACTAACGAACTGCTCCATACTCTGGAGTACTCTAAGCTATTACATACGCATTTGATTATATAATCACAGTTTATGGGGCTGAGACATGTCTTGGCAAGTAACCAAATCCCTTACTACTTAGCAAGGCCGTAATGTCATCAAATGACTAGACGCAAACAAATCCAAGCCACAGAAAGAGGTCTCCGAAAGCGTTCTGATGTTCGAGAAGCGGCAGTTGCTCTGCTCAGTGTGTCATATTTGGGCTCTCTCCACTATAGACTTATATGAACTTGTATGCTTCTTTGAAGTCAAAGGGGCTCCGGCATGTCCTGGAGCCCTGACCAATGCCCACCTCTGGCATCGGTATCGTTCCAGCAGGGGCTCGAAGGCCCATGTGCCATTTCCACCTACTTTTGACTACAAGGCGAGCCGCGGCAGATTTGCTCCTACTAACTCTACTCCAAGTGTGTAAAGGAATATTTTGGAATTTCAGTCTGTTATTAAACAGCTATGTGGAAGGAAAGTAGCAGTGCGAACCAAGGCTCGCCCCAAAAGGTATCAAACATCATGAATTTCGGTAACGGGGAAACTATTATACCGGTATTTCTGAGTCCTGATTTAGGGTAAAAAAGAGAGGTGCTATGATTGGCCAATACTTCATAGCAAGCCTGTGGCTGACGACGGTGTGGCTAGGAGGCCTTTTTCCATGATTTTGATTGGCGAGAAGCGTTAATTTACAGCCTTCCCCTGTAATTAAGCCATACGGAGTAGTTACATGCTCCGTACTCCGTACAGTGAGACGGCTCGATTCGGCTGAGTCCCCTCCCTGGTTCAGGCATTGCGGAACTCCTCAACTCCTCCAACGCATCTCGCAAAGGGGCTGCAGCTCAGGGACGTGAATTCTTTGCATGCCTGCTCCCCTTTGGTTTTTAACCTGCTGTTACTCTCTTAGCAACACTTCACCCCACCCTTCCCATATCCACCACAGCTGACTGATTTGGCTCCTCACCCTTGCACAAGCCGCATGCATAACTATTGAAACAACAGCCTCCTTGCAATAATAACAATCTCATCTTGTAGCCTTACTGCTAACGACTAAGTGTCACCTTATCTACCTTCTTGTCTTGCTATTTGACGCCTTGATCTGACATGATGTCGTGGAAACTCACCAAAAGCAAGTCGTTCCCTTTACTTTTACTTTGGTTCAAAGCTTCAACATTACCCTATTTCTGGTTGCTAATAGATTGGCTCTCCCTAGAATTGAAAGACACCCATCTTGCCCCTCTTACCAACTCATTTAGCCGTACGTCTTCAACATCTACAATCAAACCGGACGCTCTTGAAGATGCGGCTTCACAAGCCTCTACCCCCTCGCCCATTTCCACCCCTAGCAATGGCACAGGTGAGCTCTAGTGGTTTTGATTCAATAATATTCATATACTAATCATAGTATGCTTTAGCCATGTCTGATCCCATGCTCTCCCCTCCTCCTACCCATGTGAAGTCGGGAATTCTTATTGTTACTCTTCACGAAGGCCGTGGGTTTTCACTCTCTCACCAGTATCAACAGTTGTTCAACTCGCACTTCCAGAACAACTATACTGGTCCAATTAGACCAAATTCTTCTTCTTCACACATGGGCCATGGACATGTCACACAGTCTTATTCTCATACAGGCCGACCGCAATCTACCAGTGGTGGCATCAACGCTGCCCCTACAAACCATGGGCGCTATTCCACCAAGTATTTGCCCTACGCATTACTTGATTTTGATAAACTCCAGGTTTTTGTTGATGCAGTATCGGGAACCCCCGAAAACCCACTTTGGGCCGGAGATAACACATCGTTCAAGTTCGATGTTTCACGTGCAACAGAGCTGAACGTCCAGCTGTACCTGAGGAATCCGGCAGCCAGGCCCGGCGCTGGTCGGAGCGAAGATGTTTTCTTGGGGATGTGCCGCATAACTCCTCGCTTTGAGGAAACTCGGAAGTTTGTTGAAGACCCTAAAGCAAGCAAGAAAGATCGTGAAAAGGCGGCAGCAGCATTTGTGCAACAGGAGCGCAGCCGTGGCCAAGTCGGCGCAGAATGGACCACTGTGCAATTTGGCACTGGCGCCATCAGAGTCGGTGTCTCCTTCGTCGAAAATCGACAGCGAAGCCTTGCCATGAGCGACTTTGAATTGCTCAAGGTTGTTGGCAAAGGTAGTTTTGGCAAAGTTATACAAGTGCTGTAAGGTTTACAACTCTACCACTATTTTCAGATTTCTGACATGTTTGAATAGGAAACGCGACACAGGGCGCATCTATGCCATGAAAACCATTCGCAAGGCTCATATTATCTCTCGTTCTGAGGTTGCCCATACTTTGGCAGAGAGATCCGTTCTCTCCCAGATCAATAACCCTTTCATTGTTCCACTTAAGTTTTCATTTCAATCTCCAGAGAAACTTTATCTTGTGCTGGCATTTGTGAACGGAGGAGAATTGTTCCACCATCTTCAGAAGGAGCAGCGTTTTGACATAAATAGATCTCGATTCTACACTGCTGAACTACTGTGTGCTTTGGAGTGTTTGCATGGGTTTAACGTCATTTATCGAGACTTAAAACCCGAGAACATCTTGCTTGACTATACAGGCCACATCGCTTTGTGTGATTTTGGCCTGTGCAAGCTTGATATGAAGGATGAAGATCGTACCAACAGTAAGTATTGGGAAAAGTGTTTCTTCAGATTTGTAGTACTGACTTATTGTCTAGCATTCTGTGGTACTCCCGAGTATCTCGCCCCAGAACTTCTAGCCGGGAAGGGATACACTAAGGCTGTTGATTGGTGGACCCTGGGAGTTCTTCTTTACGAAATGCTTACTGGACTGCCACCTTTTTACGATGAGGATACTAACGAAATGTACCGCAAAATTATCCAAGAACCACTTACTTTCCCCAGTTCCGATATCGTCCCTGGCGCTGCTAGAGACCTTCTCATGGGACTACTTAACCGTGACCCCGACCGCCGCTTGGGGGCCAACGGCGCTGCCGAGATTAAAGCGCATCATTTCTTCACGAACATCGACTGGCGCAAGCTCCTACAAAGGAAATATGAGCCAAGCTTCAAACCGAATGTGGTATGTAGCTCCCCTGACTTTCTGCACGTCCTATCTTTCTTTTCAAATTTCTGACTATCGTTTAGATGGATGCTCGTGATACTGCGAATTTTGATACCGAATTCACGTCTGAAGCCCCTACCGATTCTTATGTTGAAGGTCCTGTTCTTTCTCAAACCATGCAGAAGCAGTTCGAAGGCTGGTCCTATAACCGTCCAGTTGCCGGTCTCGGCGATGGCGGGGGCAGTGTGAGAGACCCCGCCTTTGGGAGTATCGCGGAGTAGGTATATCAAGTATTCGCCAAGCTGCCTTGAGACGCAGAAACGCATTTCTTTGGTTTTTTTTTTTTTTTAACATTTTGCATTCTTTGTTTTGCCGTAAATTATGGGCGTTACCTGCGACTTCGGCGTGATGGCTAGGAGCACATTTACAACCTCAAATTCCTTCAAGCTCTGGGTTCCACGGGATAGTTGTGGTTTTGTCTATTCTATTTCTTGCACTTGCCTTCCACAAATTCTGACTAGCATCTGACTCTTTTCCCCCCAACGACAAGATATCTAGTTTCTTTCGTTCGCAAGCGTCAAAACTTTTATTCTTTGTTTATCTTTCTTCTGAACTAAAAAATAAACCACAAAAAGAAACCCATGTTTAGATACAGTTGGCAGTTATGGGCCCAGATCTTTGTGTTGCATCTTTTCCTAATTCTCTTGATCTACTCCGTACTACCGCGCCTATCCCTAGATGCGTTTACAGAGCTTAGATACCCTTAGCGTTGCTTTCGACATGTCTCTTGCAATACTACTTACTTACTCCCTGTCTCCATCCTTTCCTCAATTTTCATGTTGCGTCTGTGCTCATCCTCTCTATGCCCATGTGTTACATTTAGCCCTTTGCTCCTTGTTCTTCCTTCTCCTTCATCTATGTGGAGTATGAGATTGGCATCGGCCTTTTTTCCTTTGCTTTACTACCTGGCTGTTGGGCTGGTCTAGTGTTTTTGCCTCTTGCTTCCAGCTGTAGTTACTGATTCATCAGCAAATATTGCCATCTTCAAGTATCAAATATATATATATATATATATATATATGGATTCCATTAAATATAGATGGAACACTATTATTTCAAAGTGATCTATGCTCTGCCCTCTTAACACTTCAATGGGCTGCGTTAGTATATAGTCTACTATTCACCAGATCGTTGATTCAATCATCGAAAAACGACCAGGAACAACACAGCGTCAGTTGAAAGCTAAAAAAGGCGAAAACAAAAAAGAATCATTTACAGTCAGCCTTCCCGTACCCGTTTTAAGATCAATCTACTCCTTAGTATCCTCATTAGCCGGCTCTTCTGTTGCTTCTTCCTCACGAGCGCCATCATTATCCTCGCCATTGACATCAATCAGGTTTTCCTCGTCTTCTCCAGCTTCTAGGTTAAGATATTTGCTCCATTCTGGAAACAACTCCTCGTCGGCAGCATCTACACCTGGAGGGACGCCAATTATTCTGGAAACCTTAACCTTCCCGTTCTTTTCAAGACTTTCTTTCCAGAGTACAACTAATTCGGGTGTTCGGCTAGGTTTATATGTCTGGGAGAAAAGAACTGCTTCGGCAGTACGGTTGGTTTGGACGAGAAGGTCGATGCATCCGTCGATGTCTGACAGCTGCCAGAGTGCCGAAAATACAACATTGTGAGCACCGGAATCTTTTGCTTGTTTCGCTAAATTGCGTAGTCCTTCCGGGTTGCAGCTTGAGGAGTGAAGAAGGAGAAGAGAGCCGAGGTCCCTAGCATGAGTGAAGCACTCTTCTGCCAGAGCCAAGTCCCAGGCGTTTAAGGCAGCATCGCCGACTGTTTTCCATCTATGTTCAATATCTGCCTCACGGGCAATTTCAAGGGCGATGTCTAGTTTCCCTAAGCTAAGTGAAAGATCGAAGCGGTGTTCTTGATCGGTGGCGACGTCGAGTGCAAGGTCCTTATATCCTTGCCCTTCTAAAAATCGGGCGATCTTATTCATTTGGTCTTGGGGAATGTCAGATAAGAGCTCAGAAGCGGAATCCATGTCACCCCGCAGAACCAACGTCTGGTATTCGACAACAGAGAGGGAAAGAGAAAACGAAACAACAGTAAGATCCTTATCGGCAAGATATATTCTTCCATCTCTTGGAAGATAACCAAGAATATACATGGGTTGGTCGAAGTGGGATATTGTGTATGTCTGATCGCCGACGAGGTAATTTAGTCGATTTGTCGAATTTGTATAGATAAAGCAGTCGCCAACCCATTCACCGGTACGAACGGTATCACTAATATCTGTGACTACTTCAAAAGCCGCTTCAACACCGTCTTCATCGGCTTCTCCAGCATGAACACCGGCGACATAGTTCTCTCTCGAATAGCGAAGAACATAGAAGGTGTCATCACAAGCTAAAGCAACGAGCTCTCCAGATTCCGACCAATAAACCTAGCTGGTTGTTAAAAATGGGTCTGGGGGAGGGGAATTAGTCTTAAGTACGTACTGCTTTAGGATCGACCTCTATTCTCCGCACAAGGCCTCCAGTTTCCCAGTCAAACATTCCAATTCCACCCTGGCCTCTAACGCCAAGCAACACGCCGCTTGAAAGGCCTTCTGCTTGAAAACCGACATCAAGGCCACCGCTCTTCTCCTTAAAATTGCGGAATATTTTTACACTCGTGGCGGACTCCCGGATTGCATAATCGTTGCTATTATCCTTGGAGCCCCAAGCAAAGTCAAGGGCCTGTCCAAAAGCCTTGTTCCTCCACGCAAGCGCGGTGTAAATTATATATTCGCCATCACCACAAACAGAGACAAATCTGCCGTTAGGAGAGTGCAACAAACTCTGGGGATACACTTCACAGGAGCCAAGGTCTTTCGTGGGAAGACTAAGGGGTGCCCCATCTTTGAGAGTAGAATCTCCCCCTTTTATCACAGTCGATACAACTTCGTTATGCCGGGCCCATATTAGCTTGCCGGACCCATCCATTGATGCTGCTGGCTCTTCTCTGCCCATTTTTACAACCACAGCGCCATCGTCGAAGCCCATTGCAATGCCTTGCTTCCCTCGCTGATAGCCCACACACCACGCACGTTCCAGGCCATAACTCAAGGACTGTTCTAATCTGTAGGTGTTGGCGTTCCAAATCTTAATTGTACCATCTTCCGAGCCGGAGACAATGACTGGGAGTTCCGGGTGATAGCAGGCGAATGACACATTACTAGTATGGCCTTCTAACGTTGCAATTAATGCCTTTGTCGTATAATCCCAAACCTTTACGGTTTTATCATCGGAGGTGGTTAACAGATAGGGTTTGTCGGCATGTGGGTAGTAATCGACATGATTGACGCCCTTTATTTCGTGAGCCTCTAACGTCAAATTAGGGTGTGACGAGCCTAGGCTCCATATCTTGACGGTTCGGTCGAGGCAAGCCGAAGCAAAGGTATTGGAGTCTTTGGGGTTGAAAGCCAACCCCATGACGTAGTGATTGTGGCCCTCGAATACCTGCACACACTTCCATCCTTTGTCCCAATCCCAAAGCTTTATGGTCATATCATCGGAGGCTGTCAATACGAAAGGATGTGTAGGATGAACTGCGATAGATCGAATATAATCGGGATGTGCCTCAAATGAGATTATCTTTTCGGAAGTATTATAATTGTAAACGCGAAGTTGAAAGTCATCCGACCCACAGACAATCCAATTCTTTCTGGAGATAAAACGACCGGCACGAACAGGAACATCTGTAAGTTCGAATGTTTTCACGATTGACTACACATTGTGTTAGTGAAAGTCAGAGTGGTGGGGGTTGGTAAGCTGCACACCTGTGTCTCATATGACCAGATATAGACATGACCTGTCAATATGATTAGTACCAGAGATTATATTAAAAACTTGTAATAGCATACCGCTATAGAGAGTTGTCAAGATCTATTCCAACTGTTAGAAGCAGTGGCACGAACCGGAAGGACTCTAGCTTACCCATGGCTCTGTAGGGTGGAAATCAATTCCTTTGACCCGATCGGATCTAGCAAACAATTGTCTCTAATAAACAGATTAATGAGAAAGCTGTTGGACCGAGGTGGAATAACGAGAATGGCTTGGGTATCCACCAACTTTAACGTCGAATCGCATCTTGACCGATGCTTCGAGAGGGATTCAACGCAGCGTGGCCGGCCGCAGAAAGATGAGCTCCTGGTCGAACCCTTATTTGTCGTCGATCATGCGCACTCTATGGAGGACCTGGTCAAGTAGGGAAACAAAGGGATTGAAATTGATGTTGTTACGAAGGTGTTGATGCTGGTTCAGCATTGCAACTTGTCCACACAAATGACACGCGCACTCAATTTCGCCCAGCTGTCCAAACTGGGTTAAGCGCCAAATCTGGTCACCCCATAGAGTCCATCGCCCAACACTGAACAGCTGAACTATCTCAAACAATTCACATGTTACACTACGGAATATTTTATACTAAGGAGAATCCAGCTTGTTAGTTATCTAAACAATTTCTGTTACAATTCTTTCATATTCTTTAACCAACCAGAGCTATTTTGGAAATAGTAAGGTTAGGCCTCAATATGTATTCCATTTCTGTACTATATGGGATATCAAGGGCTCAAATGGCATAATATACATAGCATTTTGTATTTGTGGGCAGGAGCAGGTCAACCTTCTCGAAATTGCTTAGGTAATCATTCCGCAAAGTTGCCCAATAATCGCAGCATCGCTTGAAATCATCATGACTTCGAAGGCCCTCTTTCAAAGTAGACCCATTGGCCTGGCTTTGGCTTTTGCTCAAGGTCCTCCCAACTGAAGTGCATCAGCATCATTCACATACGATCGAACATTGACAGTTACTTACACCTTGGCTTTAGTCATTTCGTCAACGAGATTTAATTCTGCTTGAGCGGTTTGAATGACCTCTTCAATCAATCCGCTCCCAATTTGTTGTTCGATATCGGAGATCCTGCCATAATTAGCCTCGTCCCAAAGATCGAGCTGTATTTGACCTACTGCGATGCTTCAAGAGCGGGCTCCTGTTCCCATTCCAACTTTGGTTCTAACTGTTTGTTTGCTTCTTCCTGGGCCTCTGCTATCCGAGCTTCCATTTCTTGCTCATTGAGATATGCACCTTCAATTTGGGGGTTAAATGGTTCCCCCGACCAACTTAAATCTTCCTTCGGCTTTTCCTTTTGTTGATATGCAGCGTAGGTTCCATCTGGTCTCAAAGCTGATTTATAGCCATCAGGATTCTCTGCCACGGCAGCCTTGACTCTCTCCAGCCAGGATCCAAAACCAGGAGGTTTTACCGACTCGACAATATTTAGACGGTGACGCGTAAGTGCTTCTGTTGATTTGCGATATACGGAGGATTCAGGGATATCTTTCAGTCTTTCCAACGTCGATTGATAGAGGTAGATAAGAGTCGGTCGCGGATTGGGGTGGGTAGCGAGACCGGTAAGGCCTGTTGGGGCAAATGGCTCAAGATACCGGCCTGGCTTGACATTAGCCAGCAGTCGCAATGTGGCCCTCATGATTGCTATGTAGCAGGGCCGCACTGGTAAGAACAACGCTGCAGGTTGGTTGTCAAGCTGGCTCGTCAATCTTGCACAGTGGATTGGCTGCTGAATGATTACCTAATCAATGGTGTAGTTTTTCGGATTAACTACAGATCCGTGCCTAGATCCCAAAGTTGAAACGTCGTTCAACCAGCAATTCAAGCCGAAGGAAGACGGACAAACGAACGCCGCGTCCCGCCCGGTCCGGCTATCATCAGGGAAACCTACGTACGACTAGCCTAGCCACCTCAGGCTCTTGGGATATTGGCAACACCTTTCACCCCCCGTTACATCCTACGTGTACTCCGTAACTACCCCCCTGAGTTGAAATCCCCTGTACGCGCTTCGATCGATTGCCTGAGGAACAGTCGACCTCCAAGTTGGGGGTTCTTTGATTCGGCCTGCTAGGCCATTTAGCTAACATGAAGGCCGGACTTTTGGCTCTATCCTTACTCGCTGCCGTACTACGGCCGGCTTTTGCGCAGTCCCGTAGCCTGGAGAAAAGAGCAGACGGGAAGGAGGATAACAACGCCCAAAAACCCACGATATTCAATGGTGTAACCGTGCCGCCTATGAAAGAACTTCCAGCGCAGGGATTTGAAGATAATATTAAGGATGGCTACTGGTATTTTATTTTCCGACGCCATAATTTGGATCATGCTTGCTAATTTCGTCTCTTTCACGTAGGTTTATCAAATACCATTCTCCTTACTGCCCCCATTGCCAGGCTGTACAGCCTACATGGCAAACGCTTTATGAATTTTACTATGTAAGAGTTGTCGAAGTCTTGCACTGTTTAACACTCACATTTCATAGACCTCAAACCCTCTAAAGTCATCTACTGTGAAACAAGCATCAAGTCCCGAATCGTCCCTTAACTCCTTCCAAGGCTATTATAATTTTCATTTTGCATCAATGAATTGCGTTACCAACGGAGACAAGTGCGAAGAATTAGGAGTCATGGAATGGCCAACGTTTTCACTGTACCATAACGGCAAATTGGTTGAGAAATTTTCAGATCAAAAGAATATAGAAACACTTAGTCGTTTTACTGAAAAGTGGTTGGAGTCTATTAAACCAGGTTCTCGACCTAGAAATAAAATAGCATTACCGGAACCAGGAGCGACGAAGACCCCCGATAGTGGCTCAGGTCAAAACCCAGGAAACCCGCAATCTGCACCTTCGAAAGACTTGAATAACCCGCCCCAAAATAAAGATGCCGACAAGAAAGGGCCTACACCAAATTTGCAAGGGATATCTGTTCCGCTGACAGCCGAGAGTTTTCAGAAGCTTGTCACTACCACGAGAGATCCATGGTTTGTCAAATTTTACGCTCCGTGGTGTTCTCATTGCCAAGCTCTTGCTCCAGTTTGGAGCCAAATGGCTAAAGATTTAAAGGGGAAACTTAACATAGGCGAGGTGAATTGTGAAGTGGAGAAAAGGCTTTGCAAAGATGCCCGTGTTAATGCCTACCCCACCATGTATTTCTTCCGCGGAGGCGAACGCGTTGAATATGAAGGTCTTCGTGGTCTTGGTGACCTAGTCAAGTACGCTAAAAAAGCTGTCGATGTGGTCGGCTCAGGAGTTCAACTCGTGGACGCCACCGAGTTTAAGAAGATGGAAGAAACTGAAGAAGTCATATTTCTGTATTTCTTTGACCATGCTACAACGTCGGAAGATTTCGCTGCTTTAGATCGTTTAACCCTAAGCCTTGTCGGCCGCGCGCGCCTCGTCAAGACTAACAGTACTCTCCTTGCTGAGAGATTCAAGATTTCAACTTGGCCTCGTCTTCTTGTATCAAGAGATGGAAGACCTAGTTACTATACCGCACTCGCACCTAAAGACATGAGGGATTTCCGCCAGATACTGACCTGGATGCAAAAGGTATGGCTGCCAATCGTTCCGGAAATGACAACTTCGAATGCCCGAGAGATCATGGATGGCAAATATGTTGTGCTTGGTATCCTTAACAGACAGCGATCAGACGAATTCATTCAGGACAAACGGGAATTAAAAAATGCAGCTTTGGAATGGATGGAAAAGCAAACAAAATTATTTCAACTAGAGCGCCAAGAGCTGCGCGACGCCAAAGAGCTTCGTATCGAAGAAGCCGATGACCGAGGCGACCAACGAGCACTACGGGCTGCCAAAAACACCCGCATTACGATTAAGGAAGACGATAAAAAGCAAGTTGCATTTGCGTGGGTTGATGGTATTTTCTGGGATAGATGGATTAGAACCCATTTTGGTATCGATGTAAAGAACGGTGAACGAGTTGTCATTAATGACGAAGAGGTGTGCTTCCTTTCTAAATATTCGTCCGGCTTCAAAACCTTTAAACTATGAGGCTCTTTAACACTGACTTTCGCCCCTAATAGAATCGCCGTTACTGGGATACTACTCCCAACGGTGGCTATATCGTCCCAAGCCGGACTTCAATTTTAGAAACCCTGACTCACATCGTTTCGTCACCCAGCAAACTCAAATCCAAATCAACAGTTGGCGTTGTTGAAGGGTTCTTCTACTCCGTCCGTTCATTTACCACATCACACCCGATTATTACTTTGTGCCTTTTGGCAGTCGCCCTCTTCACCGGATCTCTTATAGCAAGAGGAAGATTCCGAAGAAGTGCTAGATCTGCTGGCGGCCTCTTGGGCAATGCTGGCGGCAGTTCAGGTGGGTTTTTCCACCTGGATGGAAAGGAAGGTATGCTTGGCGGAGGAGGTGGTGGGAAAGTGGACTAAGAAAAGCCCCATATTATTTATGCTGTCAGTTTCCTTTTCACCTTTTTTTTTCTCTGTGATAATATTGCAAGCCTTCGATTGCCTGTTCTTTGACCTATGCCATTTTACTTTGCCATGTTTACCTTACCTTATGTTCTTATCATTAGGCAGGAGTTTGTTTTTCAGGATGCACACAAGCTATATATTTTTGGAGAAACAATAAAGATATCCTCCGATTTTTTTTCGTGGCTGGATGTTATCTAGCTGTGTATCCCATTATTCTACCCCATTTTGCTTTCAAGTTTTCAATTGCTTCAACCGTGTTGATAAACTATAGCGAAAGGGGGTTATTTCCTGCAATAAAAGAAACCCCTATCACTACTAGTCATACTCTGTATCCTTCGAGCATATGCCGCATCCGAAACGTTCAGAATTCTGCCATGGCACAGACTTCAGAGTGCAGCTCTCACTTCAATAGTCGCGCTTTAGGTCTTCTGAAGCTACTGCGTTTTATCTAACCACACATACCAGGAACGGGAAGTAAAGGTATCATGATATTATGGAACTGATTATAGAGGTGTTCCAGTGATATCATCAACAAGATCCCTGCATCACTTCTCACTCCTGAGCATTAAGCTACCCGAATACTGTTTATTGGACTTCCTGAGAAAGACAAGACTCACTCATGTTGGTAAGTATGCGCGATCTTTGGGCGGGTAAGGCCAGACAAGAAGAATTTAGACATCCAAATGCTTGGTAAAATATGTACAGGTTGGTGTTCGATATTAGTGTGGAAACTTTGGATTGAAATCCTTGGGCAGAGAAGCTGGGATCAATGCAATGCGTTCTCACTGCAACGTTAGAATATTGCAAAGGAATTATGGTAGTCAAAAATATTGAGTAACGAGCGGCCGCCCTCATACATTAACATGGCATTGAACCGCGTGGGTGGTTGATTGTAAGGGCATTGGCGCACATGTATAAAATAAATTCAAAACTAGCTAAAGTCATACATACACTTGACGTCGGTTTTAGCTAGCTAGCGCCCAACAACTACTTAGGGCTAGGGAGAAATAAGGGGAAGGAGAAGCGGAAGTAGTAAGATTGTAGATAGTTAACAATTCCAGGCCTATCATTCCCATCTACAAGGGAAACCTGCGAGGGCACGTTCCTCTAGTCTTTGAGTAAGTGCTAATAAGACTGAGCCTAACCGCTGCATATGGCCTTTTTTGTCTGGTACAAAAGGACCGTATTCAGTCATAGTCATGAATGAGTAGTCATCAGTTGCAGTCGTTACTTGAGTAATATAATCCACATATTTTTGAGAATATGTGGCAACAATAACATAGATTTCATGCCGATCTTGAGAGATCATAAGCCGCCTAAGACCCAAATCAGATGAGTAATGTTATAAGAACAAGGGGTACAGTTGACATACCGATAATGTGTTCGACCCTTCTCCTTGTCTGGTTCAGCATAGATCCAGGCAGCCATCTGGGCACTCTCTTGTTTCCAAGGCATTGCGTCAAGTCGAGTTCGTGCCTTGACTTCGAGAATTGCCAGAGAGCGGTCTTCAAATGCCAGGTGACCATCTGTTCTGGCTTGAAACAGTGCACTATATAATTGTTTCCCTCTCATAAGGGTGGATTTCTTCTTAAAATTGAAAGCTTTTCGTTGTAAAGACCACCGCAACTTTCCGATTTTATTGTACCCTCGGCAAATGCACAACAGAAGCAATATCAAGGCGGTATTGACAACCTGCTCGTCTTCCACGGGAGGAAAAAACGCAACCAAGTCTAATGAAACTGGTGATATGGGATCAAATTCTGTTTGAAAGGTCTCTGGAGCTCTATCATCGTCATCGTCGTCATCATCATCATCATCCTCCTCCTCCTCTTCCTCTTCTTCTCCGTCGTCGTCTGTCATATCAATGTCCTCAAGCTGCACAGCCGTTCGCCTGGAAGTCGGGGTGGGTGTTGGTGTTCGATGAGGATCTCGCCTGCGTGATACAGCGGTATTTTCTTTTTTAGCCAGAGCACGGCGAGTTCTGAACGCAATGGGCTGTGTGACTTTAACGGACTCATGATCATTTTTGGGAATGACACCAACGACGGCCTGGAAGTCATATAAACAGCTGTAAATTCCCACATTTGGAGAGCCACGGAATCCATTTTCTGCGTGGCTAACATAGCTTCGCCACTCCAGGTTTTCCAGGTGCCTCTTTGCATCTGACCTATCCACATTAACTCCCATTAGGAGGTCTTCAGCATCCCGGGAAGCCCAGAGAACCCGTAAGGCCAGGTACTGTTCGTCTCCTGTTTTGGAGGCGGACTTAAGATGAATGACATCATGAATGGATTTGTTCCATACACCTTCTGCCTTTGCATGATTCTTCCACGCCGACGTAGTTTCGACAATTGATTTATCGGAAAAAACCATTTAGGACGAGCAACAGTGAATTGGGTATTGGAAAAGGGGGCAAGAGAAATGGTTTCACTGAGAGGTAAAGAAAGTATGAAATAGGTGGACAGAAAAGAGTTTGACAGAGCCGTAATGGGCTGAATTTATCATTCGGCCCCTCCCCAACTCCAACCACGGGAAAGAGAATGGAAGCGCTGGGGCTAGATGCCAGCGGCGCCCAGGAGCCACTAACAAAACATGAGAAAACCAATCAGCTTGTGAACTGGAACTGCATGCGAGGATGCCCAACATTGACAAATAGATACGCTATGGCAGGGTTCCAGAGCAGTTCGCAGCAAAGAAGTACTGGAGAAAAAGATCGATGGCTGCACTCCGGCCCGGGAATTATCGTGACTGGCTGCGTGCAGGCGCCAGTGAGGTCGTATTCGCGCATGAGCGGAGCTGAGCTTGCTCGCTCTCCTCGCTGCCCCTCTTCAGGGCTAGTAGCGGCTAGATGCTACAATGCTTTCATAAAAGCATACAAAGGGCACAGAGCCGCACTAGCCTCTTCTCCGTGACTGTTTCATGAGAGAGAAGTAGTTGATCAAAACTGATCAAGCAAAATCTGAGAGTTAACTAGCAGGAAGGATAACCAGACAAGGCGCCAGGGTTTCCTTGCTAGTTGGCAAAGAAACATGTCAAGGCCATGGTTTGTGTTGGCCGACAGTGATAGTGGCGGTACGAAGCACTTCGTAACTGACTAGTTACATGGTTGTCAGCCCATAAAAGAGATCTCCGCGGCCAATAAATCAGTCAGTATTGATGTTGACGTACACCCGGCTAGTAACTACGGAGTAGCTGCTGCATCGCCAATCAGGACGTACCTCATTTCGGTAGCCAGTGCAAACATGACAAACAGTCCTGGCGTAGTTAATCCCCCGCCAAGTTGGCCAATAACGGAGTTTGTTACGACGTAGGGTTATAATAACTCAGTAACATCAGGACATACGGAGTACTCCGGTACTCTGTACATCTTCGACAACTCATCTCTTAGTACGGAGTACTTCATAAGCTGACACCCCCGTTGTCCCCCGCCTCTGTACTCAATAGTCTGGTCAACCCGCTCCTCCATCGTTGTTTAGACTTTCAACATCTCTCCATCGAAAAAGACGCGATGGGCGCCATAACTCGACGAATCCGTCGCCTAGCTGCCAAAGGGGAGCTTGACCAGCAGACCGCAGACGTGATGCTGAGCAAAGTGCCGCGGATTCTTAAAACAAAACACCTTTACCAGAAGATTCGCGACACCGCTACCTCCAGCTTCACGGCAGAAGACCTCAAGGAGGACTTTGACATTATATTCTGGGATGACAAGAAACCCCTGAACAAGCCCATCTTCTTCAAGCAGCTATCAGAAAACTTTCTCACTTCTCACTATAAGGTGCCGTGCTTCAAACGCCATGGCCCATCAGAGGACACCAGTGGCGCGCAGTTTTGCTACAACTTAACGCTCGACCTGTCAAACTTCTTGGGTGGCATGGAGGCCAAAGTCGACGGTGTCACTTTGCAACTAGACTCGGATTGGAAGAATGATAGGTAGTGCCACCCCTCCGTGTGCTTGCAGTGTGCTGTGCACTGACTGCAGTAGAGCTCTCTACAATAACTCTTCCATCCTAGAATATGACATGGAGGGTGGCAAGAGCAAGCACCGCTATGAGTGGATGACTCTGTTGATCTGCGGACGGCCGGACCTCCCGCACACACTTGTCACCTCTCGCCATATGGTTCATGACCCATCCCATATCCTGCGGAGTGAGTTGATGATCATCCTTCGCGTGTTGTACACGAAGACCAAAGAATGCAAATGGGCTGCGCATAAAACAATCCCAGTGAGCACCTTCATCTTATGACCCTGGACGTTCGTTCTGGCGGCAAAGGTCCCCTAATTCCGATTCTAGGTCCTTCTAGTCTCCATGCGTGGTGGCCAATTTCGTGTCATTGAAGCGTACCACGGCGATAGTAAAGTCGTCTTAAGATACAGCAACCCAATCACTATGCCATATGAAGAAAATGCAACCTCGTCGCAAGCAAAAATGAGCTCGGTTGTGCGATGGATGTTCTCTGACCCGGTTGGGAATACTCTCGCCTCACCACAAAGTGCGAAGTAATTGAAGTGAAAGTACTCTGTATAAGTGCCTGCACGCATTGTTCTAGAATGTGGTCTTTCATGATGGGGCCCAAGCCTGCGCGTAGTATGGCATTAGAGAGAGGCAAAGTTGGCTGAGAGACTCGAGAAACTAGCCAATGTTAAATTGCCCTCTAGTGACAAAATTAGTACACATTCGTCCGCCCGCATCATTCATCATTGAGATTCCTTTTTAATGAGATTTACGATACCCGATTTTACCTCTCCCATTGAATAAACACGCAAAATCAACAACGCGAGATATCACAACCCTCGGTTTTCTATTTCTGGCAGAGACGCAAATATAGTCGGTCTTTTTTTTTTTTTTGGTCAAAAAAAAGGCACGCGATTATAGGGTGTGTTAGAGCAGATCTATCTAGCAGTATTTAATACTACTGATATCCCCTTGTTGTGGCGCCAATCGCCAGTCTCGCAAGCAGGCTTCATGATCTGTGCATGTTCCCAAACCAGTTTTCGCTAACCATGATGGCTGGCTTTGGCGAGAAAGGTCACCAGCAGGCTAAATTGCTTCAGTTAACTCGGGCGTTAATCAGCAATTGGAGGAGCCTTTGCCTTATATATTTTTTCTAATTAGTGTTTTTGAAGATGGCCCATCCATCTATCATGAATAGCCAGGTGCCTGGAGAACTGCACTGGGGTCTTTGGAGAAATCCGGCGCCAGAATCAATCTCCACGTTGGAGTTCATGCCTGTTTGAAGTGGGATTTGCGTAAAATGTCATGAATGTCGGCTCTGCTTAAGAGGCTAAAACTGCCTGGTGCACTTTTAACTGTTGAAATAGTAATCCGAAGATTGGGCTCGCCGCTATTACATATTGATAAAAATATGTAGAATAATCCTATTACTCTGATCCTACCATAAAACATGTATTCGATTCACTTTAGGTAATAAATTCAAGATGATAGGAGTCCTTTTAAGGAAATGTAAGAATGACTTGGCAAAAAGTGGCGCGCCTCGCTAGCTATACTCCTGTGGCATACACACACATTCACTCGCAGATTTAACCTGACTACTTTGGTCAACTCTTTGATATTCAGGTTAGATCCAATTCGCCCCAAAATATAGTTATGTCATCACAAAACTAAATACATCACAACAGCCCGCCCGCTTCTCTTCCACCGCAAGGGGAGAAAAAAAAAAGAAAAAAGGAAGGAACACCAAGATAAGCGCCAGGAATAAACAAGAGCACATCCGCGAGGATAAATCAATGTAATAGGGGAAAAAGGGGGGTGGGAAACCGTTCCCATAAGATAACAGAGAAAGAAGAGGAAATATGGAAAGAAAAAAAAAAACTGAGGGAAAACATCTCCACTTCCTCTCTCTCTCTCTCTCCGCTCTCTTTCTTTCCTGTCCAAAGCGCCACAAAGCATAAAAGCGACGCCAGAAATACACATAGACATACACATACAGACAAAGAGTTTGGCAATGCTGTCGATGCAGGAAAGAAGAAGGGCAAAAAAACAAGACACCTAAGGGAGGCAGTTCCATGCAAAATGCACTCGATCATGTTGCGGTAGAAGAGTGGGGAAGCCGGGCAAAAAGATGGGCAGGAAATGTTGGTAAAAATAAAAATTAATTGCCTCGGAGAGAAAAAAGCATGTCTTCCATGATTCTGGTAATCAAAAGGGCATCTTTACTCTGCGTGGTGGATAGGGATGGAAGTGGGTGGCGGGATATCATGGGGTGACTGCACAAGGTCAACTCGGCGTTCGCCCGTATAACTTTTTGGGAATTAATGGGGTCAAACGAGTGTGCGTCAGCGGGATTGCGGAGGTGGCTTGAAGTCCGTGATCCAGCTGTTTTGGAGTCAAAAAGAGGAACCCTTTTGTTTTTTTCAAAAGTAGACAAGAGTTTGTTGAAGAGACCGTGGATTACTGCCAGCGGTGCGTTAGGAAGGATCTCATTATGTCGGTGAATCGGTCGTGTGCGGCAGCGCATAAATGAAACTCCAGGGGAAAGAAAATCCGACGTACGCCTTGGCCACCCAAAACGGAATTCGAACATCAAAGAATAAAAAACCAGAGGCAAAAACAGCCGTATCCCTCAGATAAGCAAGAAATCCCATCCGTTTTGCTGCATTACGCTCCGCCAATGCACAGTGTGCCCCTGAACACCAACACCGTCCATCATCCCCTGGCCATCTTCACTCTTAACCATCGCCGGCAGGACGTCATCCGCCTCGCGCCAGACCTCCTGCAGCAGACACAGCATGCGGCCAAAGCTGCCGATCTCAGCCTGGTCACCCAAGTTCTCCACGCGCTTCCGCAGCACGGCGCGGAACGAGCTCTCGGGCAGCGAATACGACCCGCAGATCAGCAGCGGCCAGACGAGCGAGCGGTCGAAGCCGTCCGGGCCGCCGGGGATGAGGTCCAGGAGCTCGCCGGCGCGCGAGATGAGGTTGAGCGTGCTGGGCTGGCTGCGCTGGAAGCCCGGGACTAGGCTGCAGAGGTAGATGCGGGCGGCGATGCAGAAGAGCGCAGTCATGTTCTGCGTGAGCTGGCGCGGCTGGAAGGTTCCGTCGGCGCAGGGGTCGATCAGCGAGTCTGGTTGGGGTTCGGCCTGGTCGAGCTGCTTGGCGAGCGTGGTGATGTGGCCGCAGAGGCCGATGTGGTCGATTCTGTTTTCGGTCTTGAGGGCATCGAGGCAGGAAATCTCGGCGATTAGGTACATGATCTTGTCGTCGCAGCCCATGAGGTCGCAGAGGCCTGAACTAGTTCCGTTGAAGAGTTTGGTTCGGTAGGTATGTGCGAACTGGGGCATTTGGCCGAGCATTGTCGACCCGAGGATATCAATCCAGGAGGCCAGACTCATATTAAATGGTGGGTTAATATTGACCTGGTCGGCCTCGACTAACCGACGGGAAAGATCGAGTTTGTGAACGAGACTGATCACGGCCTGGAAATGTTGATGCCAAGGGATATCAGGGAGGGCATCTTTCGGCCTGCCAACGGCGCACTGAAAGAAGATCATGGCCAGAGTGGCTTCAAGGATGTTCACATGGTCTGTGTCCTCATTCAGCGCCTTGCATAGCTCCGAGACGGTCTGGTACCGATGCCTCAGGATATCATTATCGATGGTCTCACTGTCCATCTCCTGCGTACCCTTCAGGTGCACGCCAGTGCTACTCAAACAGCAATGCAGGAAGCACTTATTCGCCTCCACTGCGGGCAAGATAACTTCCGAGCGCACGGCACCGGGACGCTTCGCCTCCAGAATCGGAAAAATCAAACGCACGACCTTGTCGAAGAAGTGGTCCAGCAGGGGCCGGTCCCGGTCCTCGATGTGAATGGTCGACACATGCACGGGGGCATGTGCGAACTCAAACGGACTATAGTCCGCAAATTCCTTGAGCGCCGAGAACGACTCGCGACGGCCCTCCAGGAACTCCTGCTGCGCCCACTCGTCACTCACGATCGACGGAAGCATCTTGTGCGGCAGCGGCGGGCGAAACGTGCTGAACGACGACGTGCTGGAGTCCCGGCGAGTCGGCACGTCGTTGATGTACACCTCGCTTTCGGTCGTGATGTCGACTTCGTACGGAGTCGCGGACACCCAGCACGAGGCGGAGTCGAACAGCGGCGTATCGAACTGGGCGGCGAAAGCATCGAACGGGTCCTGTGCGTGGCATTGTGCAAGGTCGCGCTCGAGCGAGTATTGTGGTTCTTGAGAGGAACCGCGGGTCTCGACGGGGCAGTCTGTGAAGGCTTCTGGGGTAGAGGCTGTGTGTGATAGGGCCGGGGGCGTATACTGGCATGGTCCTAGTCTCAAGTTGGAGGGCGCACCCCGTTCGCTCATCTTGGTGTTCTTGATAACTTCCTTGATGAGCTCCTTGTGGTTTTTCCGCAGGTCATTGTTCCCCCACCACATTGGACGCCGATATTCGCATTTCAACTTGAGGTTTTTGCATGCATTGCAGGTAGGCTTTCCTTCGTCACACTTCTTTCTGCGGAGTCGACAGGTGAAGCAACCTAAACAAAACGACGCACTATTGTCAACTCATGCCCTCTTCCCCTTTTCCGGTGTTACCGTTTCAGTCATTGGGGGTTTGTCCTACCTGACCGGGATCTCTTATGTAACCTCTCCCCTTTTTTGATGGGGGTAGGGTTGCTCTGCACCACTGGCTTGACTGGCAGCTTCGCCGGGGGCTTTCGCGCTTTCTTCTGTTTTCCATTCTTATACCGATCGCTGTGAAAAGCATCTGTTGAAGATGGCGGCGTGGGCGCCTGTGTCGACGGGGCAATCGTAGGGTAAGACATTTTGTGTTGAAGGAGCAGGTGAATATTAGATCTTATCTGGGTAAGAAACGAAGGTAGCGAGCCGCGCAGCAGCGCAAGAGCCAGTCAATGGCGATCTATAGTGGTTGTTTAGATCGAGTTCGGCGGTGTATACATCAGGAGGGGCTCACCTGAACAAAGGAGGGTATATGGAATTAATGCAAAGGCCCAACCAGCAGGCGCTTGTGTAGGATTATTTGCAAGTAAAAGGGACAACAAAAGACAAACCACAACGCGCAAAGCAACCGAACGACAGAGCTTTGAGATCAACCCAAGCACCTCCAGGCCCTTAACATTGTTTTGCTTGGGAGTGGAAATGGCTTTGAGTTTAAACGAAGTTAAGCAGGTTAATAAACACTGGCGTTGTTTCTATTTTTGCCTCGACTTGTGTGCGCGTTTAATCTCGACAGCAAATGGCAGGCCGAGCAGACAGCCATTGGACGGCGGGCGACCAGAGCCTTTTAGTTCAACACACTTTGGTCGCGGTGCGAGTGTTTGCCTCTCTCTGGCGTGGGCCGTGACCGGCATGCAAGAGCCTGAGTGGCCCAGCGGGCGGCGGGCGAATCGTTGGCGGCGGATGTCACCCTTCATGTCGAGCCGGCGCATCCTCCCCCACCCTGGCTGGGCGACGGGCCTATGACGGAGGATTTTCGTTGGCCGGGGGGGGGAGAGGAGGCCCTATTTTTGCGAGCCGCCCTGGCCACCCCCGGCGCAACGCCCGCTGATAGGGCCGGCTGGGGCCAAGGTCGTGCAGGGATGCCGGGCTGGCGCGAGCTGGCGTACCTACATCGTTAGTTCACCTGCAGTCATGCCATGCAGGTCGGGGTCTGAGGCTGGGCGCGCGAGCTTGGGGCATGCCCGGGTGGGGAGAGACGGAAATGCGCATCACTCGCCGTTCCCCTCCCCCCCCCGGCCGCACTGAATAATGAGACTTTGCACGCTCGCCCGCCACTGACACGCTGCGGGCGAATCACAGCCAGGCTATGCCGTTTCTGGAGAGTCGTTAACCGCCCAAGGTTGGAGCGTGGGTTAGCGGCTGATTGTCTGTCTCCTGCCGGGTCGATCCAGCGTGTTATTTTTGGGGGCTCAGGGCGTTTGGGATAGAGTAGCCGCTCGCCGGGTGCGTGACGATGTCGTTATGTAGGCATGTATGAATGCCGGTCGAAGAATGCGGCGCGCAGGGTTTTTCGTCCGTCGAGGGGCAGCGCATGCTCCGTGCCTGCAGGACCAGGTCGGCCGGAACCCTGTATCGCGAGCCAGCCAGCCAGCCAGCCCAGCTCAGGGGAGATTCGACGACGAAGCCAGGTAGGGCAGGGCAGGGCAGGCAGCGGGAGACAGGTCGTCGTCCAGCAAGTTAGTGTTCAATAGCGCAGTCTTCGCTTAGTATCACTAGCGCGTGCGCGTCCGTCCGACTTGGAGGGATGGCCGCCGCGTGCGAGCGTTGCGATGAGTGGCCGTCAACGTTGTTGCGGTGGCAGCTGGAAGGGGGGGAGGGGAACGCGGAGTGGGCCCAACTCGGCCTAGTGCGGTCCGCAACTCTAACTCTGATCGCAGCCTTGGCGCCCGCGCTAAAACGTGACGAACACAATTAGTGGTTAATTTCCGTAATTAGCAGTTAAGCTTGGCGCCAATCCGCCGGTTAACCTGCATTTCCTTATTTAGCCCGCGGGTTAACAGGGTTAACAACCTGCGCGACTTAACCCCGTGGCTGCTATTTTTGGAAATGTATTATCGCCAACTTAGCCAACTTAGCCGGCTTAACCAGGCAATTAACCCATAATTAGCTGATCGACGCTGGTATTTGTCACGCTCGCTGGTGGCCTTCCCAAACAGGAAAGCAGCTCCGATGCCGCCCGCCCAGCCGCCCACTCCTCCCGCAACCTGGTGAAGTTGGCCGCTTAGGCGCCCTCGCGGAGCCCCCGGCTCGCCTCGAGCATGTTTGCTCGTCTTTCTCGCTTCGGCTACGACGCCGCAACCTGCTACTACTGCTGCTGCTGCTCGCTGGACGTATCGAGCCCGGCGTCCGTTCACACGCCAGGCATCCATACATATATGAATGCCCAGCATGCCGCCCTTCCCTCTCTCTCTTTCTCCGCCCAATACCCACAATTATTTTTTTTTTTTTTTTTTTTCACCGCCTCGCCCTGTCTCGCGTACGCCTCCTCAAGCGTCTAGCTCCGAGAAGACCCCAAGAAGAATCTTAAATAACATGCCTCAACCCTGTTTATTGATGACTTGCGTGTAGGCAGGTAGGTCGACGTAGCAGTAGCCGGCTAGCCAGCTGCTGGCCTGCGTTTCTTTTTCCTTCTTTTTTGGCCCTTTTTTCCCCCAGCAGGTCCTGTCCTGGCCCTACGATCATGGAAGTCCAGTAACTAGACCAGCTTGCAGGGTTGCCAGAATGTAACGTGACAGCGGGAATAACCCGGGATTCAAGCGTCGACGGGCGAGACGGAACACGAGGCTCGAAGGGGCAGGAAAAAAGGAGTTCTACTAGTTAACTCCTACTACGACTGCTACTACTACTACTACTACTACTAGCTGGAGGAGTAGCAGCAGGCAGGTGATACTAATTTGAAGGATTCGATCTCGTTTCCCTCCTCTTCTTCCGTCGTCCGCTGCAGCCCAATCATGCGGCCAAGAGGCGTGCGGCCGGGGCCTGGGCACGCACCCACGCGGTCTTGCTGGCGGCCACGGGGGGGCCACCCACCGCCAGGCCAGCGCGCGGCCTTGGGAGCAGGCGTTGCAACTCCACGCCCGCAAGGATGTCGCCTGGGAAAGACTGGCAGGCGGGCGAGCTTACCCTGGCTGGCTTCCGGCCAACTAGTTAACTAGTTGAGTAGTCTGCGATTCTATTGACTCGTAAACGTTTTGCAGTAGTTGCACGATGCCGCCGCCGCCCGCACCGCAGGAGGTCGCCTGCAACTGCGTGCACGTCGTTTGTCGCTGTCGGAGGCCGCCACCCCGCGCACTCCCGCCGTTCTTTGTTATCTTATCAGCGGGCAGAAGTGGGACGCACGAGAATCACCAACAACGCCCGAGCAAGCGTGGATGTGCAGACAGACAGACCCACCGCCGCCATCGCCGCCGCCGCCCGGGCTCTGGCCGGGGTGGGGGGGGGGGGACCACCGCCGTTGCGACATCATCAACCAACCTTGGAGAAACAACGAAAAGAAAAAAAAAAAAAAAAAAAGGGCGCGCGATGATCGCAGAGCCCGCGAACTCTATGCCTGCAATTGGCAATCTATCGTACCACAGCAGGGCGCGCGCGAGAATAATAATGGCCGAGCATCGAGCGAGCGAGCGCACTAGCAGCGAAGCTATCACCACCCCCCAGCCTCTCGATTTGTTTTTTGTTTTTTGCGAGCCGTCAGATCTACGGAGTATAGCTCATCAATTATCATCTACACGGGACCGGGGGGGGGGAAGAGGAAGGTATTAACTAGGTACCTAACTACTAGCCTGCCTCCCCCCAGCACGATATTTCCCCGAGAGGCCCGCGCCAATCTCATCTAGAAAGAAGAGGAAGAAGAAAAACGCAAAGCCCGCTCGGATCTCGAGATAGGAGGAGGAGCATGAGCTTGGGCCTTGAACGAGCACATGTGGTCGCACACCTCTCTCTCTCTCTCATAACCCCATTCCCTCACGTCCCTCCTGACCGACCCTCGTCATCCTCTCCTCCAACACCAGGCCCCGCACTCCCATTGGCCCCCGCTGCCTGGGACACGGGCGATGCTACGCCCGTGTTTGTGTGTGTTGTTTTTTGTCTTTCCCCCTCTCCCGGTGCTCTGGTTCGCAGCACAAACATGCAGCACATATCACACTCGAGAAGCGAGAATAGAAATCAAAAAGAGAGAGAGAGAGAGAGAATTCGAGGCCACGGTGACTCGCTGTACGCCCGTGTCTCGAATGCTAGTTAGTTAGTTAGCTCAACCCCCGCCCCGGCGCAGAAGGAATGCTTCCCAGCACGACGACGAACCGGTTCGCGCGGCCCGGAGAGGGAAATAGTCATAGCCGGAGAGAAGAAACAACCGTAGATATTTTGTAATGTGACCAGGCACATACATTTGTGTATGCACATCCGTAGACGGGAAAGGTCTGTATGTACACTGAATTCGGTACCGGATTGCCGGATGCTCTGCGACACAAACCGGTCTGTGTACCCATCTCTCCCTCTCTTTCTGTGAGCGTAGGCCCAGTCAACAACAACAACAACAATAAAAGCATCAATTGCAGTAGCGTACAAGAGACAAGTGCTGGCTTAGTTGATTATGCTTCTCATCCCATCTCCCACCGCTCCTGGCGGTCAAGCCCAAAAAGGGAGGCTATCAGGACCAACATAACCCCCCCCCCCCCCCCCCGGCCCCTGGTCGTCATGCAATAATAATATGTGCATGACCTGCGCATCTTCAGATGCATCAGATATGCAGATATGTGAAAAAGTGCCAGGGCCCTGCAAGAAAAGAAAAGAAAAGAAAAAAGATCAATAATTGAAACGAAAAATTCTTCAATAATTCAAAGTTTGGTTCGCAGCGGCAAGGGCCGTTGTTTTAGCGAAACGAAACGAAATAGACTTGCCGGGGAGGGGCCGGGCCTTTCAGAGCTACCATAGGAGTAGTTACTTGACACAGTAAGCAACAAAGAAAAAAGAGGTTGGCAAGAAAACGCCATGCACCCGAGTCCGAGTCAGGACAATCGGCAGGATGAGGGGAGTCCCAGTGTGTGCTGTTCAGATATAGTCAGTTAGTTAACTACTACTGTTTTTTTCACACCACATGTACATGAAAATGCACGTCGGCGGCACCCGAGACCCAAGACTCGAAAATTCGCAAACAAAAAAAAGAAAAAAAAAAAAAAAACCAGTGCCTTTCGAGTCGCGAAAAAAAAAAGAACAAGGTCAGCAGATCGCAGCACACAAATAATGAATGAATAGGAACGCTACTACCGGATGGTAGGCAGACAGAGAGAGAGAGAGAGGCCATTGA